TTCTGACATTTTCAAAACATCAGAATCTCAGAATATCATATTTCCAGAAAATCGATTTTTCAGATTTTTAGATTTCCAGAACTGAAATTTCAGTATCTCAGAATTACATGATCTTTTTTTCCAGAATTTATAAAATGGTCAAATTAGCCGCAGAGAAGCGAGAGCACTCTCGCTTCTCTGCGCCTCTTCCCCAATCTTTTAAAGGCGCATAACTCGCTTTAAAGGAAAGCTAGAGCTATGAAAATAGTACAAAATTATTGGAAATTTTGAGGGCTTTCAGGTAATATACAATTCACCGAAAAATACGTTTTTGTAACAGACGCCCCCCCCCCCCCCCACCAACTTATAACTTTGAGCTCAATTATCTCATTTTCTGTGAAAGATATCAAAAAGTGGTCAATTGATAAAATGTTATTCGAATTATGATAAACATTTTATCAGTTGACAAAATGTTGATATCGTTGATGGGAACCAAGATAAATGAGCTCTAACGTTACAGTGTGACGGGCCCCTTTTCTTCTCTAACTTTGTAGATCACATTGCCACGTCATCAATGCCATTTCTTCCTTTTCTGAAACCTACGACGTCTTCTTCTTCTTCTTCTTATTTTCTTAAGATTCCTGAATAAGTAATCCTTCTTCTTCTCCGACTAATTCCTCTTTATTCTCAAACTAATTAAAAACGGAGCCTCCTACTCTTCTTGGGTTTCCTTTTTCCGTTCTGAAAAGAAACCAATGAAAAACATGTACTTGATTTATTTTTATGGGGAAGAGAGGGGTCTTAACGTCTTCTGAAGATTCTGAAGACGTTGCGGGACTTTTCGATTAAAAAAATTTCAAAAAAATTCATTTTTTTATAAAACTTCTTTTAGAATTATCACCAATTTTGGGGAGGAGAGACGATTTGGTATTTGAGGGACCATTTTTTTCACGGACCGTATCTGCACTTTTAGATTGGCTCATGGTAGTTTTATAGTCGTTTGGAGTCACTGGGAGAGGATGCTGAAATTTTGAAAAAAATTTTGGAAAATTTGTTTTGAGCTCATTTATCTTCTTGTGACTTACGAATCCCAATTTTCCAACAACACTGCTAAACTAGGTTTGTCTAGAGCTTCAAAATGAGCCTAAACACGACTAGGCTCCGCCCACTTTGATTTTTTGGGCGCGTCGCGGTCGGTGCGCCGCGTGTCGATGGGAAATTTCAAAATGGGCGGAGCCAAGTCGTGTTTGGGTTCATTTTAAAGCTCATATTAAGCTGAATTCAATACTACTTGGCAAATCTGAATTCCTAAGAAAACTGAACGAGTAGAATGACTTTTTTTTTTTTAATTTTTGGAATTTTGAAAATCCGTTTTACTTGTGAATTTTTAACTGTTTTTATGAATTTCGCTTGTTATGAGCTTCAAAATGAGCCCAAACACAACTAGGCTGCGCGCACTTTCATTTTTTGGGCGCGTCGCGGTCGTTGCGTCGCGTGTCTCGGTGAAATTTCAAAATGGGCGGAGCCTAGTCGTGTTTGGGCTCATTTTAAAGCGTTTTTCAAACAAATTCAATGGAAACATCAAGAAATGTCAGAATTAGCTGAAAAGTAGATTTATTTAGATTTCAAAATGTTTTTAATTTTCGAAAAAAATGTTTTTTGATGTTTCAGAATTTGTTAAAAGTTAATCTAATCGTTTTTTTTGCTAAAAAATGACATAGTCTCTTTTGGTGAAAAAACCAGTTTTTTGTACCGAAAAAAATGAGATAATCTCACCTAGTTTAGCTAATCTCATGTTATATATTTTTAAATAAAAAATAATCCTTATTATTTTTTTGATCTACCACTCACCATCACTTTATGATCTCTCCCAAAACTTGTACCCATAACACGAAGATGTGGGAATTTATCTCTCCAGAGAGCAGCTTCACGGTCCAGTTCGGGATCTGGAAAATTGAAATTTTGTTTTGGATTTTTCAAAAGTTTCATCACTTTTCAGCTTTTCTTCTAATTTTAATCAAATTTGACATGAAAAATGCTTTAAAATGAGCTCAAACACGACTAGGCTCCGCCCATTTTGAAATTCCCCCATCGACACGCGACGCGCCGACCGCGACGCACCGGAATAGCTAAAGTGGGCGGAGCCTAGTCGTGTTTATGCTTGTTTTGAAGCTCACAACAAGCAAAATCTGATAAAATAATAGAAAATCCGAAAATATCGCAGGAATTTCGAAAAAAGCCAATTTTCGAAATTTCCAAAAAAGTGGAATTTTCGAGAATTCAAGAATTCCCACCACTCTTCAAATTTTTTTATGTTTCGGTGGGAAATATGTATTTCAAACATTGAGAGCTTCAAAATGAGCCCAAACATGACTTGGCTCCGCCCATTTTGAAATTTCCCATCGACATGCGGAGCACGGACCGCGACGCGCCCAAAAAATAAAAGTGAGCGGAACCTAGTCGTGTTTAGGCTCAGTTTGACGCTCACAACAAGCAAAATTCAATAAAATTGTTTAAAATTCAAAAGTATTGCAGGAATTTCAAAAAAAGACCGATTTTCAAAAATCTCAAAAATTTGAATTTTCGAGAATTCCCATCATTCTTCAAATTTTTCATGTTTTAGTGGAAAATACGTATTTTAAACATTGAGAGCTTCAAAATGAGCCCAAACACGACTTGGCTCCGCCCATTTTGAAATTTCCCATCGACACGCGGCGCACCGACCGCGACGCGCCCAAAAAATCAAAGTGAGCGCCGCGTGTCGATGGGAAATTACAAAATGGGCGGAACCTAGTCGTGTTTAGGCTCATTTTGAAGCACTGGACAAGCCTAGTTTAGTTTTATTGTCAAGAATATGTAATTCTAAAGTGTTTAAGTGATTCGAAGCGAACGAAATTTAGAAAAACCACAATTTTTAAAAGAAAAATGTGTTTTAGGTCGTTTTTTTTAGAATTTCGGTTTTTTTTTTGAATTACCTCCAGTCGCTTTTCCATCAAAAACAGCATCATCCCATTTTTTCAGAAATTGCTCTCCCAATTTGGATTCTTGTTTAATATTTTGACGGTTATTGGGATTTAAAGAAGTGGTTGAAGTGCTCCAGGTTAACATTTTAATATAAAAATAGGGAAAAAAAGTGAGTAACCTATAATTATAAAAGTGGCGGGAATTCAAAATTATGGGGTTCTCTGGGGGAGGAAAGCGAAGAAGACGAAAAAGGGGAAAAAGAGAGGAAAATCGATGAAAGTGGACGTCACCAGGGCAACTAGAAGACGTGAGAAAAAGGGGAAGCATTTAGAAGACGTTAGGCAATATTTTGTTTGAAAATTTTTCTGAATTTTTAAAATTGTCTTTTCCTTAGCCTCAAAAAATTTCCTACATTTTAATTTTGAATTTTTTAAATTTTCTCAAAAAAAAATTTTTTATTGCTAAGCCTCAGTGAAAAAAAGTAATTTTTTTTAATTTGAAAAAAATAAAAATAAATTTAAGGTGATAATTTTTATTCGAAAGTAAAAAAAATTCTTAAGCCTCATTAAAATTTCCTAAGCCTCAGTAAAAATCCTAAGCCTTAGTAAAAATTTCCTAAGCCTCAGTAAAAGTTCCTAAGCCTCAGTAAAAATCCTAAGCCTCGGTAAAAAACTCATAAGCCTCAGTAAAAATTTCTAAGCCTCAGTAAAAATTTCTAAGCCTCAGTAAAAATTTCTAAGCCTCAGTAAAAATTTCTAAGCCTCAGTAAAAATTCCTAAGCCTCAGTAAAACTAAAATCGCTATAACTTTCTTCAAAATTGGCCTAGAAAGTTTGTTTTTTTGCCAAAACGTCTGGAAAATTTTAACGATGCTTTCCAAATATTTCCAAATATCAAATATTCAAAATCAGCTTCTTGAGAGCTTCCAAATGAGTATAATAATGATATGATTCTCGAAAACGAGTTTTGGACTCCTCGTGGACAAGTTGTGGCGCGAGATTTGAAATTTTCGCAGAGTTGGGTCATGATTATCTTGAAATTTCTCTCTCTCAAACAAAAAATCAGTTTAATTTTTTTTTTGAAATTCCAAAAATTCAATAAACCCATATTGCACCACAAAAAAGATCGTTAAAAATTGGCAAAAAATATAATTATCTCCAATTAACTGCAAATTAATTAATTAATTAATTATCTCAAATAGCTCTTCAAATCAATTGGTGCTCCACTCATGGCCACGTAGTTCACTTTTCCAGCCTCCTCCATTCCAAAGACCACATTTCGAAGTTGGGAAAGTTCCGAAATTTTCAGTGGAGCTCCAGTGACTCTGGAAATTCAGATAATTAGTGTTAATTAGGGCAATTAAGACATAAAAATTAATTTTTTTCACTGAAAAATTCTTTGAAAAAAAAACTAGAAATCTTATTTTTGGTCATAAAATGGATTTTTAAAAATTCAATCTAAAATTTTTTTAATTTTTAATTTTTTTTCTAAAAATTGCTTACTGATAACAAATCAATGAAAATAAGGGTCTCGCAGGCAGTCGATGCGAAAACGAAGCCGGCGAAAAAACATGAAAATCCACATTCTCTACAGTAATCCTCTCCCGACGGATCTGGTCCTTCGGCGGTGGGCGGAGCCTAAAACATTGATTTTTTTTTTGAAAATTTAAATTTTTGAAAAATCGATATTTCACTCACTTTCGAAATCGTTTCAAAACCATCGCCTGTCTCGTTTTCTCTTCCTGAAACCGAAATTCGGTCCAATTTGCCACGTGGCGATTCGCCAGCGGCTGATACGATGGGCGGCACGGTTTCGGGCGGTGGGTGAGGGGCTGGAAAAGAGGCGGGAAATTTGAAATGTTTGTAAAATTTCAAAAAATAGAAACCTGAAGGTTTCTCAGCGATTTGTCCGTTGAAATACTTTCCAGAACGTCTGGTGGCAGGAAATTTACAAGCGATGGATTGGTGTGAAGGACTGAAATTTTCACTGAGGCTTAGGGAATTTTACTGAGGCTTAGGAACTTTACTGAGGCTTAGGAATTTTTACTGAGGCTTAGGAGTTTTTACTGAGGCTTAGACGTTTTTACTAAAGCTTAGGAGTTTTTACTGAGGCTTAGGTTTTTTACTGAGGCTTAGGTTTTTTACTGAGGCTTAGGAATTTTTACGGAGGCTTAGGATTTTTACTGAGGCTTAGGATTTTTACTGAGGCTTAGACGTTTTTACTAAAGCTTAGGAGTTTTTACTGAGGCTTAGGTTTTTTACTGAGGCTTAGGTTTTTTACTGAGGCTTATGGTTTTTTACTGAGGCTTAGGTTTTTTACTGAGGCTTAGGATTTTTACTGAGGCTTAGGATTTTATTACTGAGGCTTAGGATTTTTACTGAGGCTTAGGATTTCGTATAATCAGAAATCGCCATAACTTTCTTCAAAATTGACCTAGAAGATTGATTTTCGTAGCAAAATGACTGAGAAAATTTTGACAAATGTCGAAAAAAACCAATTATGAGATTTTTTGCAAAATGTTCTTTTGAAACTCTGAAAATCACTGAAAATGAATTTTCAGAAAAAGTGGAAATTTTAATTTTTTTAATTTTTGAATTTTCAAAGAATAATCCAAAAAAAAACTTCCTTCTCAAATTTTGCAGATTTAAGATGTCCGAGAATTTCCAAAAAACAAAATTTTTCAAAAAATTGGAATTTAAAAAAAAACTAAAAATCGCTATAACTTTCTTCAAAATTGGCCTAGAACATTGATTTTTGCACCAAAATGACTGGGAAATCCTAACAATGCTTTTCAAATATCAAATATTCAGAATAAACTTCTTGAGAGCTTCCAAATGAGTATAATAATGATATGATTTCTCGAAAAAACGTTTTGGACTCCTCGTGGACAAGTTGTGGCGCGAAACTTGAGATTTTCGCTGGAAATTTCTCCTAAAAACAAACCTCTCATTCTCATCGAAACATCCCCATTATTTTTTTTCACAAAACTCGGAAATGAGTTTGCATTCGGAATCCGGTCCTGGGGTACCGTATTCATATGGACCAGCAAATCGAACGTCTTCTCTGCGAATTTCTGTTTTATCTCCTGTTCCACGTGGCGAGCTTTTTCAAAATCGGTTGTTGATTTTCTGGATAATTAGGTTTTAATTGATAATTGGCCAATTAAAAAATTAAAAACCTCGGTCTCAAAACGACTAATCCTGTCAATTTGACTTGTTTATAAATCTCATATTTACTCATTGAGATGGAATTCGATTCCAGAATCGAATAGGACTCCAGAAGGCTCATCTCGGCGCCGGATGGTGTGAGAATCGTGCCGGAGCCTGTCTGAAAATCCAATTTTTCAGAAAATTGATTTTTTACTGGAATAAATACTTTGAAACTTTCAAATTTTGCCAATTTTCAGATGTTTAAAAAATTTCCAAAAAAAAATTTTTTTTCGAATTTTTTCAAAATTTTCAGATTTTCCAGAAACTGAAAATCGCCATAATTTTCTTCAAAATTGATCTAATAACATGATTTTTGTACCAAAATGACTGGAAAAATTTGGACATTAATTTCAGCAAATATTCCAAAAAAACGAAATTTTGGCATTTTTGAAAAATCCCCATTTTAACTCTGAACAATTCTGAAAATCATCATTTTTCAGAAAGTTGAAATTTGAAACTTTTTCTGATTTTTTCAAATAAATACTTTTTTGCTGATTTTGCCAATTTTCAGATGTTTAAAAAATTTCCAAAAAAAAATTTTTCAAAAAAAATGGACCCTGATTTTTATACCAAAAAGACTGAAAAATTCTGACAGGGCTAATATATTCAGAATAAGCTTTTCGAGGGCTTCAAAATGAGTATATTATTGGCATACTTTCTCGAAAACGAGTTTTGGACTGCTCGTGGACAAGTTGTGGCGCGAAATTTGAACTTTTTGGGATTTTTAAAGCTCAGCTCTTGTTTTCTCAGTATTTTCATAATTTCATAAATTACTGGATTTTAGAAATTTCCAAAAATTCAAAAAATTGAAAATTCAGAACACAAACCAAACTGTTTTGAGCTAAACTTTAGGCTCCGCCCCTTTCCAATCTAGTCTAAAAATTTGGAAAATATTTTAAGGCTCAATAGAAAACTAAACATCGGCTCCTAGAGAGCTTTGAATTGACCCAACTCCGCGAAAATTTCAAATTACGCGCCACAACTTGTCCACGAGGAGTCCAAAACTCGTTTTCGAGAAAGTATGCCAATATTATACTCATTTTGAAGCTCTCAAATCGCTTATTCTCAATATTTGATATTTGGAAAGAATAGTTATGATTTTGCAGTCATTTCGGTGCAAAAATCATATATCTAGGCTAATTTTGAAGGAAGTTATAGGCAATTTTAGTTTCACTGAGGCTTAGGAGATTTTCGCTATAACTTCATTCAAAATCCACCTAGAACCCTAATCTTTCTACCAAAATGACCAGAAAACTCTAGAGAATCCCACAGTACCTCAACTAAATAAACCGCTTCTTCCGGAAACAGCTCATAACCATTTTTCACCGGATTCCCCATTGATTCCAAGTGTTTTCCAGTCACTTTTGTCACTTTTAATGTCGAATTCCCGGGAGAATATTGGATTTCAATCGTTTTTCGTCTGGAAAATTTGTCTTAAAATAAAATTAACTAATTAATCAATTAAATGAATTCAATTAGAAAAAAAATAAAATTCTAACTTTCTCTTCGCTCGACTCCAATCTCCATTGCTATTGGACATCTGGAAAATTGGAAATCTGGAATTTTTAGTCAAAATTTTGAGTTTTTTTCCAAAAAAAAAAAAGGTTAAAGTATTCAAAAAATCTCAATTATTTTCATTTTAGACGACCAAAAAAGCCAAAAAAAAATAATATCAAAAAATCTATATTTTGGTCCATTAAAAAACGAAAAACATTATCATCAGAAGCTTCTAGAGGGAGAATCACAGTAATCATCATTAAACTAGATTTTTTGTTTTTTTAATAAAAAAATGGGCGGGGCTTGTGGTCACAACTAGAAAAAAGGGGGCGGGGCACTCGTATTAAAGAGAAAAAATTGGGGGAAAAAATTTTTGTGTTGATTAGAGACATAATTTCGCTAATAGTACAATTATACAGAAAGAAAACTTGGTATACAGTGAAAGAGATCTGGGACGTTTTTGGCAACCGAGACGTTTTGTAACTCTGAAGAATCCAATAAATTTGAAATTTTTGCAAAATTCAAAAATTCTGAAATTCAGATATTTTAAAATTCGGAAATACAAAAATTTAGAAATTTAGAAATTCAAAAATTCGGAAATTCGAAAAATTCGGAATCGAAAAATTTAAAAACTCAGAAATTCTGGAATTCTAAAATTTAGAAATTCTGAAATTCAAGAATTTAGAAATCCAGAAATTCCCAAATTCTAAAAATCCAAAATTTTAAAAATTCCGAAAATCTAGAAATTCGGAATATCAGATATTCTGTAATTCAAAAAATTCGAAATTCCCGAAATTCCTGAAATTCCAAATGCCAAAAAACCAAAAAATTGAAAAATTCTCAAATTCCGAAAATTCAAAAAATTCCGAAATTCCAAAGTTCTGAAATTCTGAGATTCTGAAATTCAAAAACTCGAAGAAGTCCGAAATTCGGAATCTTGAAAAATTAAAAATTCGGAAATCCAAAAAACGAAAATTCGGGAATTCAGATAATCTGAATTTTCAAAAAATCACAAATTCAAAAAGTCCCAAATTTGAATTTTTCCCAGATTATTGTAGCCTCAAAATGTCCCAAAAAATCCCAAAAAAATCATCATAAAAAGCAATTCAAAAAAGTGATTAAAATAGGTCTAGAGGCATGAAGACTTTTCGGCACGCCCGTGTGACATGGGACAACGGATGATCTTGTAGTGGCAGGATTTCTTTGATTTTCGGCGGCAATTTATTGGATTCCGAATCATATTGAGAGTCCAGAGCGTCACGAAGCAATGCTCTTCCAAAGAGGTCGATCGACGCGAATTGGATGTCTCTGAAAATCATTGAAATTAAAAAATTTTCCAGATTTTTCCTGTCATTATGGTACGAAAATCAATCGTCTAGGTCAATTTTGAAGAAAATTGTAGCAACTTTTAGTTTTACTGAGGCTTAGAACTCCTAAGCCTCTGTAAAAATTGCTAAGCCTCAGTAAAAACGCTTAAGCCTCAGTAAAAATTCCTAAGCCTCAGTAAGAAATCCTAAGCCTCAGTAGACATTCCTAAGCCTCAGTAAAAAATTCCAAAGCCTCAGTAAAAAATTCCTAAGCCTCAGTAAAAAATTCCTAAGCCTCAGTAAAAATCCAATGCCTCAGTAAAAAAATCCAAAGCCTCAGTAAAAAATTCCTAAGCCTCAGTAAAACTAAAATCGCCCATAACTTTCTCCAAAATTGACCTAGTATCCTGATTTTTGTACCAAAATGACTGGAAGTCATAACGATGCTTTCCAAATATCAAATATCCAGAATAAGCGATTTGAGAACTTCAAAATGAGTATAATATTAGCACACTTCCTCGAAAACGAGTTTTGGACTCCTCGTGGACAAGTTGTGGCGCGAAATTTGAAAATTTTTTAAAGTTTCGTGATTTTGAAGCTTTCGAAGAGTCAAAACCATCGAGAGAACGATTTCTAGTACTCTCAACAGACGTTCGGAGCAGGCCTGTGCGGCAACAAATTGCCGAAATTGCCGAATTTTTGTTGCCGAATTGCCGTTGCCGATTTCGGAAAAAAAAATTTCGGCAATTTCGGCAACTGAAATTTTTTTGAATGTGGAGATTTTCACAATTTTTTCAATCAAAAAAAAAATGATTTCGAGGTTAGGGTTTCCATTTGGGGGGCGATTCACCCGCCCGCACCTACCCGGGGGGCTCACCCCCCGCGGCCCCCCGTTGACCCCCCGCGAATATTTACGTGAGGAAAATATTATCTTTTTTGTAGTTTTTTGATTTGAGAAACTCAGTTTTTCTTGGAAAATACCGCTTCTTCACCCGCCCAAATGGAAACCCTATTCGAAGTTCGAAAAACCTAATTTTGAACACCATTTTCCCTCAAAGTGAATTGAAGAGGAAATGTGCCCCAATAATCATCAAAAATACTTGCATCGCTCCTCAAATGGGCTTCCAATTTGTGATCATAGGATAAAAGTAGATATCATGAGTCGCAACTCCTCTAAAAATTATCCAATCTGTCTAAAATCACTAGAGAACGTGTGTCGTGAGTTGCCTAACAAGTTGAGTACACTATTTTCAAAACTCACAATCAGAAAAAATATTTTCAACCATTGGAATACTATCTATTGTTCAAGATAAGTAGTTAGCATAAAAAATGTGATTTTGAGTTGCCAATTTTTGTAGTTGCTTTGTTAGGAAACTCATGACACACCTTTTCTGTAGTTTTGAGCCTGATCGGAGCATTTTCAGGTGATCGATATTACTAAAAAAAGACGCAAACTATTGTTGCCGAAATTTGCCGAAACTTGCCGAATTTGCCGAGTTGCCGAATTGCCGAAACATTTTTGTTGCCGCACAGGCCTGGTTCGGAGCTCCGCCTCTCACTATAGAATACATGAAAAAGGGGGCGGAGCCTAGGGGTGCCTGCTGGGCTCCGTTCCGTCGAATTCAGTTCAAACATCGCAAATTTTTCATCAAAAGGTGTTATTTATTTTGACTTTTTAATAAAAATCTTTTTTTTAAATCCCTACAAACCTAAAAATGGGAAAATGCGCTCCAACGTGCACACTTCCATTCTTGACGAGTCTCGACGAGTTGACCAACTCCTGAACCGCTTTGAATAGCATATTCTTATTCACCGAATCGGTCACCAGTTTCCACGACGCGTATCGTTTCGTCTCTTTTCCATCCTCGGTCTGTCTCAAAATCTTTCGATTGTAATTCCCAAAAATCGGATCTCCATCGTGATTCGGGTTGAAGAAGTAGAGGGGCATTCTGGCGTCGTCGTGTGCCGTCGGAATATCGAATACACATCTGATATGATGTCTTTCGGATATCCATGAGAATACATGAGATGGCAGGGAGAGACGTCGGAGGTAGTAGATGAGGTTCCAGAAGACAACTGGATGCGTCGTTCGGATTGATTCGTTCTTCATGGCGTCCTTGTCGGAGGTCAGGATGGTTTCCAGTTCGCGGCGGAGGACCAGAGGGCTCACGAAGGCTACTTCTAGACAGGTTTCAGATGGTGGAGGGGTTTTTTCGGGAGTCTGAAGGTTGGAAAATTTGAATTTTAGAGAGTTTAATTCAATACAAGGTCCATTCTACCCTTTTTGTATTATCGACTCCGAGGGAGTCTAAAGCAAAATAGGTCCCGGAATCCCAGGAACCATCTTTAATATTAACAATTACCAAATTCTGTGTGTGTGTGTGTGTGAGTGTGTGAGTGTGTTCGGTGTTCCCGGGTCGCCGACCCTAGCGCAGTCACCGCGAGATGATGCCCGACTTTATTGTTTTACGAAAGTTTGTTTCTGACGTCTTCTGAAGACGTTAATTTATTTCTACAGCGGAAGCCAAAAGGTTGAGCCCCGGGCAGGAGGCGTAAAACCGACTGGTTATAAAAATTGGAAAATTCGAATTTTAGGGAGTTTAAAGAATCCTAGAGTTTCAAGAACCTCTATTATAAAGGCTTTATACCATTGAGAATTTGAAAAATTTAGAATTCGAGATCTAATAGCAATTGTATAAACTAAATTTTCAAAAATTGAATTCTAGGGAGTTTGGAGCGGGAGAACTCTTTTTTATTGTGGTCCAAAATACCTATATTTAATGCAAACGCGCCCCACTGAACACCACACCAGCTGGGGTAGTAACATCTGCGAAGTTAATGCGGGGTTTCGAGGCGAAGCAGCTGTGGTGGTTTCTATTTTTACCTAAATTTCCATTTTTATAGAAAATTCCGAGAATTATGGATTTCTCAAAATTTCAGCAGATTATTAATTTAAGATTTGGCTGACAATTTTGAACAATTCAAATTTAAGAATTTCGGAAAAACTCAGTTTCAATTTTGGCACTTTTTTAACCCTTTCAATATGGTTTTCATCATTAGAGCGGGTTCAAAGGCTAATTCTGTCGACAGTACCCCCGAATTTGCTATAGAGCGCGTTTACATGAAGAATTCTAAGGTTTTTCCAGAAAATGGTCCATTTTGAGCAAATTCGGTATCTGCGTATGTATATCGCGCGCTCTTAGACCTATTCAAAGTTAACCGATTGAGCTGAAACCTAGACAGATAGGTCAGAAGTGTGTCTTAGTTGATGCCCAAACTCTTCTTTATTCGAAATTTTGATTTTAAAGTCTTCTGGAGACGTTCTTTGTAGGCCAGGTGGTTAAGCCCCCCCCCCCCCCCCAAATGCGCCCTTGGCCCACCCTTAACCCTTCCTTACCGTATTCCTACTTTCCTGCAGCCCTCCCGGTTGATACCAACTATTCCTCATCTCCTCAATCCAACGCATTCTGACTTTCAATCTCGGCGCGAAGACGCTCTCCAGATTCTCAGGGCTCGCCACCGCATCCGTTGCTCCTTGGACGTTGCCTGAGCAATGTGGACAAATCGTGTTCAAGTTCTGATCATCCACTTTCCATCCAGCCATTATTTCCTCATCATAGACCATAGTTTGACACGATGGACAGTGTGTGGCAGTGCAAAGAATCACTTCTAGCTTCCCAGGGGATTTGGAGGAGAATGGGAGGGATTCAGAAGTCGTGACGTCTTCTGAATCTGTCTTTTGTCCTTTCTCCATTCTCTCTCGACTCCGTTTCAGCTGTAAATACACCTCTCTCATCCAGTACTCCTCTCTTAGAAGACAACACGGACTTCCAGAATCCAGGATGTATGCTGGATCCTTGTTATTCACAAAGAATGGATTCTCCAGTGACGCTCCCTTATCATCTGAATAGATCATTCCACTGCCCATTGCGCCGACGGATTTGTTCAAAAGTGTGGAGACGCCTAGGCGGAATCTGGAAGGCATCACGTCGTCGTATCCCTTCTTGAAGTGATTGACAACTGAATGGAATGATGGAGACGCGCCGCTGGTGATGGAGCCAGCATCACTGCTATCAGTCGAGGTGGGTTTTGGTGAGGAATCTGAAAATTTAGTTTTTGATTGTTTACTGAGACTTAGGAATTTTTACTGAGACTTAAAAGATTTTTACTGAGGCTTAGGAATTTTCACTGAGGCTTAGGCGTTTTTAATGAGGCTTAGGAATGTCTACTGAGGCTTAGGATTTCTTACTGAGGCTTAGCAATTTTTACAGAGGCTTAGGCATTTTTACTGAGGCTTAGGAATGTTTTACTGAGGCTTAGGAATTTTTACTGAGGCTTAGAAGATTTTTACTGAGGCTTAGGAATTTTACTGAGACTTAGAAACATTTTACTGAGGCGTAGGCATTTTTTACTGAGGTTTGGGATTTTTTACTGAGGCTTAGACATTTTTACTAAGGCTTAGGAATTTTACTGAGACTTAGAAACATTTTACTGAGGCGTAGGCATTTTTTACTGAGGTTTGGGATTTTTTACTGAGGCTTAGACATTTTTACTAAGGCTTAGGAATTTTACTGAGACTTAGGAACTTTTTTACTGAGGCTTAGGAAATTTTTCGCCGTAACTTTCCTCAAAATCGACCTAGAGCATTGATTTTTGTATCAGAATGACTGGAAAATAATGGGGAATATATTTTCAATCCCAAAAATCTTAATTTCTTACCAAAAGTGGTGCTCTTAATCATCTTAAACATCGGACTATTCGCGATTCCTTTAAACCATCCACTTTTCTCCGCTTTTTTATCCGATTTAGGTGTATTTTCATTGGAAAACGGTAGAGTTGCATGGTCAGCAAAGAATTTCGCTCGCGATGGGGACATTCCGATTTTTCCAAGCGATTTTGACCGCTGATCTCTCGTCTTGTCTCTTTCCAGCGCTTCTAGGCCGCCCATGGCTCCTAGAGGGTCCATAATTTCACTAGAAATGGAGCTCTTCTTTTGTTCATTTCGCTCCTTTTGCTGCTCCTCAGTATCTTCCAATGGATACGACGTGATTTGATAGTCTACAGTAATCTCAGTGACCACGCCTTCTTCAGAAGGCGTTTTCGGCCGCTCTTCTGACAGGGGCCTTCTTTCCACATTCGCCCATTTCCTCATTGCCTCTGCTCCCGTCACCACGATCTTCAGAATCGTCCACATTTTGATAGCGCGGGTTCTCGCTGGCGTCGGCCACGTGGCATCCATCACAGCACGATGATAGATTCCATAGGTGACGGCGTTCTGTTCCAGCCCCGCCCTCTGCATGGCTCTCATCACTTTAACAGCCATTTCCGGTTGATTATATTTGCCGCAGAGCTCGATGAGGATACGGTAGCACACTTGATCCAGGGGGAAGATTTCGGTCTTTTCCATTCGATCCAGAACGTTGAACGCGAGACGGAGGATCTTCTTCTTGTTCGGAGCGGCGGTTAGGAGACTGTCCAGCTGCATGAACCAAAGGGTGTACGAGTAGAAGAGAAGCGTTTTGGACCACTGCAAAAAAATTTGAAATTTATAAAATTTTCTGGGCAAAATTGACTTTTTTGACTGTCACATGCTTCAGAGCGATCCAATTGACCCAAAAACTTAATTTCTAGACTTTTGAAGTGTTTAGCTTCGAAATGAACCCAAACACGACCAAATTCCTTCGATTTTTATTTTTGGCTAAAACACGCGACGCACGACCGCGACGCACCCGAAATTTTCCTAGATCATAACATACTTTTTTCTAGGTCATTACCTAATTTTTCATGACCTAAATATTTCCTAGGTCACGACCAAATTTTATCCAGGTCATGACCTAATTTTTCCTAGGTCATGACCAAATTTTTTCTAGGTCACGACCTAATTTTTCATGACCTAACTTTTTCATGACCTTATTTTTCACGACCTAATTTCTTCACGACCTAATTTTTCGTGACCTACTTTTTCATAACGGGGTTTTTAAAAATTTTTTAGGATTTTTTTTTCGAATTTCCCGATTCTTACATGTAGCGGATTCGTCTTGACGGCGTTCGTCGCCGCCAGCAACGATGATCTCGTTTCGGGTTTCGTTCGAACTGCCGAGCATCGGGAGGCTTCTGAAAAATCGCATTTTTCCGAGTTTTTTGAATTTTTCAAAAATTCAAATTTCCCGCCAGATCGCTAAAATTTAAAATTTCCCTACCAAAATGCATGGGAACCTTCTCCCCATCCTTCCCACTCTTCTCCAATCGATCCAATTGGAAATACCCACTGTTCATTTTTGTGGGGAATTCCTTAATTGAAAAAATATTAATTGGTCAATTAAAAAATTAATTACCCCATAGACAAATTGCATTTCCTCTCCGGTTTCTTGGTTCACAAATGGTTCCGGTGCAGGAATGAAAACCTGAAATTTTTGGAATAAAAAAAAATTCAAAAAGCTTTTGGTGTCAGAATAGTTAATTAATTGGCCAATTAACTAGCCAATTAGTGTGTGTCCTGGTGATGGTGACGTGGCGAGGTTACTGTAGAAGTTAGAAGCGATTAAATGGGTAAAATGAGGTCATGCAACATATATAATTAGGGAAAAGCAGGAAAAAAGGCAAAAAATTAAAGCTTAGCAATCCAAAAAATCTAAAAATCTAACAATAAAAATTAGAACCAACCATCGCTGTCCTCGTATCTGTCAACGCGTTTATCGACGGCTAAAATGGGTATTATCTCACAAAAGCTACACAACATCAAAAAATTCAAATTTTTAAGGATATTTTGCATTCTAAGAAAATTTTTTCATGCTAAAAAAATCTGAAAATTCTAGAAATATCCGATTTTCCTTACCGTAGTATGGCTGTGCGATGTGTCCGGCTCCAGAAGTTGAATCTCATTGATGTCTCGGCCGTCTGAAAGAGATTATCTTATGTGGCTCAGTGAGAGCTTCAATGAGCCCAAAGAAGACTAGGCTCCGCCCACTCTAGTTTTTCAGGCGCGTCGCGGTCATGCGCCGCGTGTCTCGGTGAAATTTTAAAATGGGCGGAGCCTAGCAGTGTTTGGGCTCGTTTTAAAGAATTTTTGAATTTCAATTCCAATTAAATATTCAAAATTTCCCAATTCCCAAATAAATCAAGAAATTCTGAAAAAAATTTTGGCTGAAAGTTTTTTTTTCGATTTTCAGCTTTTTTGGCTGAAAATCAAAGAGTTCTCATTTCTAATCAAGTTACTCTTATTTGGGTGGCTGAGAGCTTCAAAATGAGCCCCAACACGACTAGGCTCCGCCCACTTTAGTTTTTCAGGCGCGTCGCGGTCGTGCGTCGCGTGTCTTGGTGAAATTTCAAAATGGGCGGAGCCTAACTGTTACATTCTACGCCTATTCTTATAAGTTGGATGTATTATTATTATTTGGTGACGTGAACTACCCTGGTTCACTAACCCTTTCTATTTCCTCCACATATTACACGTGGATTTCTTGTCTCTTGAGAACTCCTAAGTTCTCAAGATCAGTTTCTGTATTGTCCCTGAATAAAGACTTTCATTATAACCACTCTCTACCCTTCCTGTGTCTCCTATCATGTCTGGACCACGGGACACAACACTAGCAGTGTTTGGGCTCATATTGAAGCTCGTGACCTCATAAAGCGTTTGAAATAGATTTCGAGGCAAAATAATCAATATTCAAGGTTCTTGAAGCCAAAAAGGAACTTGGAAAAAATTTCTAGCCAAAAATTTTTTTGGCTGAAAATCCCAGATTTTTACCTTCTACAGCACTCGTCAATTTGATGATGCAATCATCAAAAAACGCATTATACGTATTTTTATCCGATACAAAACTTCGTTCCTCTATAAATCGCATAAACGATTGGGTTTCCGAGAATCGCTTGTAGAAATCCGCTGACGACCGATCGCGGGATCTGAAAATTCATTAAAAATTTGAAATTGACGATAATGCAGGTGTGCTCCATTGTAAATCAGCGTAAAAGATCGCATTTTGATAGCCAGAAAGCTCAGAAAACGATAATTCTCAATGGAGCGTACTTTCAAATCAAGCATTTCGGGGGCAAATTTGGTGAACATATAAGGTAAGACTGCAAAAATATCGATTTTTTCAGAAATCTTTTTTTGTCTCACCGTTCACCAGCTAACGTGTGCATCGATATCCGTCCAACGTTCGGTATCTTCACACTTCTAGACTGTTTTTCTAGATGTTTGTATCTAAAACATTTAAAGGATCTACAGTACCCCACTCGAGCAGGAATACTGTATTTCTTTCATGAGAACTAGTTGAAATCGAAGAACCTACAGTATCCCATGTTAACTTTAAGCTCAATTATCTCAATTTCTGTAAGTGATATCATAAATCTGTCCGCTGATAGGAACTACTGATATGATAATAAACATTTTATCAGTTGACCCATTTTTATATCTCTCACAGGAGCCGAGATAATTGAGCTCGAAGAACAAAGGTCAAGTTTTGGAATTTTTACTGAGGCTTAGGAATTTTTACTGAGGCTTAGGATGTTTACTGAGGCTTAGGAATTTTTTACTGAGGCTTAGGATTTTTACTCAGGCTCAGCCATATTTACTGAGGCTTAGGATTTTCTCTGATACTTAGGAGTTTTTCCTGAGGCTTAGGAATTTTTACTGATGCTTAGGAATGTTTACTGAGGCTTAGGAATGTTTACTGAGGCTTAGGAAATTTTTACTGAGGCTTAGGAATTTTTACTGATGCTTAGGAATGTTTACTGAGGCTTAGGAATGTTTACTGAGAGGCTTAGGAAATTTTTACTGAGGCTTAGGAATTTTTACTGAGGCTCAGGAATTTTTACTGAGGCTTAGGAATTTTTACTGAGGCTTAGTAATTTTTACTGAGGCTTAGGAATTTTTTACTGAGGCTTAGGAATTTTTACTGAGGCTTAGAAATTTTTACTGAGGCTTAGGAATGTTTACTGAGGCTTAGGAATGTTTGCTGAGGCTTAGCATTTTTACTGAGGCTTAGGATTCATTTACTGAGGCTTAGCAATTTTTACTGAGGCTAAGAAATTTTACTGAGGCTTATGACTTTTCACTAAGGCTTAGAAGTATTTATAATTAGAAATCGCCATAACTCTCTTCAAAATTGACCTAGAAAGTTGATTTTTGTACCAAAATGACTGGAAAATTCTGCTGGAAAATATTTTACCTCAAAAATCCATCCAAATCAAAAAGATTCCCAGTATCCGTGGCGTGTGCACTGGCTGGAGCACTCTTTATAGGTCTCAAGAATGCCTGATATCCCTTCATAATCGAAGCGATGAACTTCAAAAATGCGTCGTGTATCGCATTTTCGTATTCCCTCCGTTTTTGTTGCTTTTTCAAGTCTTGATCAACCGGAATAAATCCTCCTTCTGTCTTTCCTTCATTCGATGAGTAATCCAGCTGTTGGAGCTTCGCAAACACATCCTCCAGCGTTGTTTTTAGCTGTTTAGCTGGCTTTTTCGGGAGCATAGAGATCTTAAAATTGGCTCGAACCGATGAGAAGCTAATGGTGGAGGTGTCCAAATCGAAGCATGTCACGTCATCTGGCGGGTCTTCATAGAGCTCAAAGTAGCGGGAATCGACGCCAGCGATGAATGGTAGTGGGGCGTGAAGGACGCCGGCGAGGCCTAGAGGGCACTGGGGGATGTAGGGACATTGCCAATGGAATGGGAACATTAGAGCGCACACTGATTCGGCGACAGCGGCTAACATCCAGGGTCTGGAAGATTTTTAAGGTGTCCAATTTGGTCAAAAACCTTATTTAATACACCAAAATGTGTAGAAAAATATGTGGATTCGTATAGCAACTATGGAAAAATCTCTTAACTTCAAAAATCGCTGAAAAAAGCGAAAATTCGAATTTTGTCGTAAAATCTAATACATCGCTTCGGTGTTTGCACAGAATTCCATCTACAGTAATCGAGGAGCCTAGAAAACGATTTTAGAGTCATTTTTCGTCAGTTTTCCCCCGAATTTTTGTTGTTTTTAGCTGGAAATCGTGTTTAAGCGCGAAAAATGAATGACCATAGGATTACTGTTACAACTTGAATTTTTGACACCGAATGAATGCGTTTATTGGTGAAAAATGCGAAAAAAAAACATTTTTCTACCGAAAATTCAAATTTTGGCGTCAAATCTTTTTTAGACTTTTTTAGGGTTTTCAGCTATTTTCGAGCATTCTTTTTCGATTTTTCCGAATTTTTTTGTCTGGAATTCGATGGTTGCCTTGAAGATTACTGTAGATTACTGTAGAAAACTTTGTAGTTTGTAGTTTTTTCCAACACGTCAAAATGCATATATTTTTTTTTTGCAAAAAAGAAACTACAAACTACAAGATTTACTACAGTAATCTACAGTAATCTTCGCGAACACCATGAATTTCATACAAAAAATTCGGAAAAATTGAAAAAGAATTTTCAAAAATAGCTGAAAAACATAAAAAGATCTAAAAATTCAGCAAAAAAATCGATGAGAAAACTTTTTAGCGTTCAAAAGCTCATTTTTAATGAATTTTTCCGGTTTTTTACCCCAATTTTCGAAATTTTCCGTGTTTTTAACTCGAAAAGCGCCTAAAATCAAATTTCCAAGCCGCTGGATTACGGTAGTTACCATTCTGTGCAAACACCGAGTCGATGTGTTAGATTTGACGACAAAATTTGAATTTTCAGTGTAAAAAAAAGGTTTTTCGCATTTCTCACCAAAAAACGCATTGGCTCGGTGTTTTTTTTACAAAAATTGAAGTTACAGTAATCCTAGGTTCATTTTTCGCGCCAAAACTCGATTTCCAGCTGAAAATATCAGAAATTCGGGTAAAAAACGAGAAATCAACCCAAAAATCGAATTTCAAGCTCCTGGATCACTGTAGTTTGAATTCTGTGCAAACACCGAGGCGATGTATGAGATTTTACGACAAAATTTGAATTTTCGCTTAAAAATGCGGAAAGCGTAGTTTTTTTCGCTTTTTAAAGCGGGTTTTCGAAGTTTTTTGGAAATTTTCGGAATTTTTTCTTGTTTCTAGGTAAATCTACATATTTTTTCTACACATTTCGAGCTCTAAAAACCCTTTACAATCGGTTTTTCAGAGCAAAATCCCACCTCAAACTGTGTATCAATATTTTCTGTTCCAACAGTGCCAACAGCATTAAATACATCAAATTATCACTTCCCAAGTATTTAAGTGTGTCTAGTAGCTGAGCACCGTTTAGGGGTAGCTGACTATCATCATGCGAGTCGAAACTGATATTTTCAGCTCCCAACTGCATGAAGACACGTGGACGGCGAGGTGTGGGGAACGACACTTCGTACATCTGCAAATTCAGAATTTTCTGGAATTTTTAAATCTCAAAAAACTTACCAAATGCGAAATATATCGTTCTATGGGTACTGGATGCGTGCAATCCGGGGTGTAGGACATTCGATGGAGAAAATAGAGAAATCGTTTGAAGGAGTTGAAAAATGGGAAACGAGAGATCAAACATATTGAGATGTTTTTGTAGAAGAGGACCTGGAAATAGGGGAAATTAAAGAGAAAAATTGAAATTTCTATCCTTTTTTACCCGTATTTTGACCTAGATTTGGTTTTAAATATTCAAAAAATATGATGGTCGAGAAATCCAACTTTCTAAACCACTGGCTCAAAATCCCAAAAATCTGAAAACGCCATTGAATTCCCCATCCTTTGTTACCCCTAGATTCCAATTTTTAGATTTCTAGCTCAAAGTGTCGTAAGATGTGATGTTACTGTAGCTTGGTGTTTGCGTACTGTGCCTCACATATTACGACACATTGAGCTAGAGGGCTCAAATTTGCAGGGTAGGGGTAATGAACCATGAGGAATCCAGTGGTGTATTTAGGTTTTTGAAATTTTGAGCCAGTGGCCTTATATGGTTAAAATCGATATTTTTAGCTTTTTTAGAGCGATTTCCCCCAAATTTCCACTATCTTACATCTCAGCGGGGTCATTATTACTGTTCGAGTCGCCAACTGTGCCTCCCTCGTGCTCCAACTCTCCACCACATCTCAAATCCAAATTCTCCAGCTGATCTTCGGTTAGCTCTTTGGTGTACTTCTCGTAGAACGTCACTGCCGATCCGTAGAATTTGGTGCCGTTCTGAAAAACGAAAAAATTTTTTGAAAAAATCTCTAAGCCTCAGTAAAAAATCCTAAACCTCAGTAAAAAACTCATAAGCCTCAGTAAAAATTCCTAAGCCTCAGCAAAAATTAATAAGCCTCAGTAAAAATTCTAAGCCTCAGTAAAAATTCCTAAGCCTCAGTAAAAATCCTAAACCTCAGTAAAAAATTCCTAAGCCTCAGTAAAAATCCTAAACCTCAGTAAAAAATTCCTAAACCTCAGTAAAAATTCCTAAGCGTCAGTAAAAATTCCTAAGCCTCAGCAAAAATTCCTAAGCCTCAGTAAGAATCCTAAGCCTCAGTAAAAATTCCTAAGCCTCAGTAAAAAAATTTAGAGCTCCAAAAAAGCGGGTTACAGTAGACCGATTTTTCTGGAATTTTCAGAAAACATGGAACAAAGCTCGGGCTTCATTTTTGAAACATTTTTTTCTTGAAAATTTGGGTCCCTAAGCCGGAAAATGACATTTTAAAGTCACTCTCCTGTTAGGCAGCCTATCTCTTCAAGGACAATTTTTTCCAAAAAGTTGTCAATTACAAAAATGAAGCTCAATTTTTGTTTTATATTTCCAGAAGTTTCCGGAACAATAGGATTACTGTAACCAACTTTTTTGGACCTTTAAAATCTGCAATTTCCCACTGAACGGGTTTTTTACTGAGGCTTAGGAAATCTTGAATACATTTTCTGAAATTTTCAGAACAATCGGACTACTGTAAGAGCCCTAAACTTGCAAATTACCACTGGAAAATGCTGAAACAAACCTCATCAGTAAGCACAAAAGTGGAAAAACTCCTGTCCGGTGGAGCGCACTTCGTCGGCCAACACTCTATGAGTGCACCCATCGGAAGACAGAACATAGCTACATTCTGAGCCAATTTGAAGTCCTCCATCTCCTCCGAATAGTCCGAACGAGGGAAATAATCCAGAACCGCCGGCTTATAAGCCAACCTCTTCGCAGTTCCCTGTGATTTTTTATAACAAATGAAGACGTCCGAGCCGACGAGTCCTTTATTCAGATTTTTGGTTATTTTGTAGTATGTATGGGGTGGAATCTCTCCTTTGTTCGCCAGAATCACTTTTATGTCTGTTACCACGAATTGGGATTGGGAGGAGTTGGGTGGAGCACGACGGTAGGTTAGGAAGATTCCCTGGAAAACGAAAATTGAATGGTTTTTAGTAGAAAAATCAGTTTTCTAGCTAGATTTTGATTTCCAAAAGTTTTAAAAAGGGGCGGAGCCTATTTAGTAATGCCTTTTAGGAACTAGGGATTCCCTATAGAAATAGCAGTGCTCTCATTGGTTTGAGCTTTTTGAGAGCTTCAGAATGACTAAATTGCGAGAAAATTTTCAAATTTCCCGCTACAACTTGTCCATGAGTAGTCCAAAACTTGATTTGTAACTGGATGGCATAGTCAGGGGGTTTTCATTCATTTTGGTACAAAAATCAGTTTTCTAGGTCAATTTTGGAGAAAGTTATGGCAATTTTGGCGTTTTTATGCTGAAAATTTTAAATTTCGCGGCACAACTTGTCCACGAGGAGTCCAAAATTCGTTTTAGAGAAAGTAGGTCATGATTATACTCATTTTGAAGCTCTCGAAAAGCTGATTCTGAATATTTAAGCATGTGAAAGAATTGGCAGCATTTTTCAGTCAAATTGGTACAAAAATACGATATCTAAGCCAATTTTTAAGAGAAGTTATAGCGAATTCAATGCGTTGAATGTTGAAAATTTCAAATTTCCCGCCGCAACTTGTCCACGAGGAGTCCAAAACTCGTTATCGAGAAAGTCTCTTGAAAAGCTGATTCTGAATATTCGAGCCTAAAACAAAATTCAGGTTGCTAGGTCAATTTTAAGGGAAAATATGATTTAATTTCAAATTTTATGACTTCAGCGATAATTGGGCTCAATGTTTTGGGGTTTTTTATGGGAAACCCTACGATCTAGCTTTTTGAGAGCTTCTAGAAGCCCCAACTTCAAAATAATTTCAAATTTCGCGCCACAACTTGTCCACGAGGAGTCCAAACCCCTTTGTTGAGTAATAAGGTCGTTATTATACTCATTTTGAAGTTCTCGAAAAGCTTATTCCGAATATTTGGATCTGGAGAGCATTGCCAGGATTCTCTAGTAATTTTGGTACAAAAAATCAGATTCCTAGGTCGATTTTGATGAGAAATATGGTGATTTTAAAGATTTCTCTCTAATTTTGACATTTTTTGAAGCTCAAATTGCTGCAAAATGCAAATTTTAAACTTGTTTGAATTCTACAAACCTGTGACGCATTATTAACATTTGCAGACCTTCCAAACGGTGTTGTCTGCACTACATTCGAATCAACCATTGGCTTATCCCCTCGTCCCTCGTCCAATATTCCAATATCCACTAGTGGAGCCTTATGGTAGCCACGTCGGAAGCATAGAAAACACGATTTTTGAGCCATAATTGAGCCATGGTTCAGGTCAGCCGGGTAGCCCAAAGTAGTTGTTTCGATGACTTCGAAGCCATCGGGAGGCTGGAATTTTTGGAAAATTTTGGACAAAAAATTTTTTTTTTGGGAAATTTCCGCTTTATAATCGACATTTTTGTAAATTTTGAAGAATTTTGCTCATTTTTAAGCTAATTTTCAGCTTTTAAACCTAGTAAAAAGGCTTAAAATTGAAATTTCAGATATTTTTTTCAAAATTCAACAAAATTTCGTACTTTCTCTCCAAGACTCGGAAAAATTACAGCAATATCTGTAATTGGAGCCAGAGGTTGTGTATTTCGAAGGCCGCATTCTTCAGAAGACGGTGTTAGACGTTCCAGTGGTTTATTGTCGGCCAATCCTGCAAATTTTGTTAATTTTCCAGCTTCCTAAGTGAAAAATAACACAAAAATTCGAATTCCACGGTCAAAACTATTCTAGAAACGACTTAAATGTCTTTTCTAGCTCATTTAAATATATTAATATTCCAAATTTTTAAAACATTTCAATTTAATACTTTTAAAAAATTTTTTTTCGTAATTTTCCAGTTTTCTAGGCTGAAAATAACCTAGAAATTCGAACTTTCCGGTCAAAATTATGTTCGTAACTCTTTTAATGTGTTTTCTAGATCATTTTATTATTAAAATTCCAAAAATTTCAAATTTTCATTTTGATACATTTCTCAAGCATTTTTTCTTGATTTTCCACTTTTCTAGGTGAAAAATAATCTAAAAATTCAAATTTCCCGGTCAAAAATATACTAGAAACACTCCAAAGGCCTTTTCTAGTTCATTTTAATATTAAAATTCCAAAAATCGATAATTCACCAGCAATGACGAAATGTTCGAAGAGCCGTCGTTCATCGTGTGCACCCGGCAGGCCGGCAGCACTGCTCATCGATTATTCTGGAACAATTTTTGTCGTTAATTGGCTCAAATTTGTCTGATAATTGGCTGAAAATCGGCGAAAATTTTGCGAGTTCTCAATGGAGCGCGTTTGCATACTCATCACGAGTGGGGGGCTCGAGTGGTGGGGAACAAATAAATATATTTTTAGCCTGTTTTCTGCGAATTTTTGAGAAAAACGACCACAAATTCATTTTTATGTCAGTATTCAATTTATTTTGGCTGTAAAATTTCAAAAATATATATAAATTCGGCGAAAAAAAAGTGAAAAAAGTAAAAAATTGAACAAAAGAAGAAAGTGAAAATATATGATTCATGATGCCTAAATAAAAGACAGCAATAATAAAAGAAAAAAATGTGTCAAGAGAGAAAGTAAACATAGCAAAAAATTGAAAAAAGAAGAGGAAATTTTTATTTTCCGTGCAAAAAAATAATAAATTTTTCTCATGGGAATATGTAAATAAATAGGCTGCGACATAATTTTTTTCACAGTTTTGGAGAATTTTTTTGAAAAAAAACCGGCAGAAATTGAAGAAAAATTCAAAAGTTTCAGAAAACATTTTTTCAAAAAAAAATATGTTTTTCAATTTTTTTTTCAATTTTAGGTTAATTTTTTTTTTCAAATCAGAGGCTTTAAAATGTGAATACTGAAAATCAGAAGGTTCTAGAATACAGATTTGTCCTAGGTAAAATATTTAATCCTCTTCCTCCTCCTTTGGGTTTCCAAGGAGATGTATCTCTTCAGGACTGGTACCACCACCAACACGCACGTCTTCTTCTTCATCTGAATAGAAAAGCGAAATAGTACAGGAAAATGAGAGAGGGAAAAGAACAGAAAGGGGACGGAACAACGGAAATACACCGGAAATGTGTGCATAAGGCATGGCCTATTATTATTTGATGAATGAGGCAGAAAAATTGGTTGAGAAAAAAAAAAGAATTTCAGAAAAAAAATTGGGGAAAAATAATGAATTTCAGACAAAAAATCTTCTTAAAGGGGGACTCCGACCAGAAATTTTTATTGCATTAAAATGTGTTAAAATTTATCTATTTTTCAAATATTATTGCGAAAAAATTCAAAGAAAATCCGAAATCCCCGAAAAACGGCGTTGAAAAGGAAGAAAATTCAAATTAACGCTTCCCTCCAAAACATCTTCTCTGCGTCTCATCGTTTCCCCCACTCTTTCGCCTTCTTCTCAATGGAGCGTCATTGCGTACCTGTAGAAATATTTTCGATTTTCAAGCAAAAAATCTTGCGAAAAGCTCATTTTTCTTCGTTTTTTTCCGGAATTTTCATGAATTTTCTTGTTTAATTCAATAAATCGAATATCTTGCTGTGTTTTGAAACAATTTTCAGCCCTAAAAATGCCGCTTCCACCGGCGCTTTTGGCTCGTCTTCAAAAGCGAGGAATTATCAAGCAAGAGGAGGAAGTTATCGCTGAAAACTATGATAAAGAGCCGGAGAAAAAGCAGCGATTCGAGGAGAACGCCTCCGGAGCGCCTGGCTGTCCGAACAAATATAATCAATATCATGTCTGTGTGGAATTTTGCTACGATCATTGGGGAGACGGTACTCCAGAATATCGTTTGCCAGAAAAATACGTGGCGAATAAGAATCGAATGCTAGCCAACTTCCCTTTGCCAGAAAACTGGGTCGAGGTGTATGATGAAGGAATTTCCAAGTACTATTTTTGGAATAAGCTCACTGATGAGGTCTGCTGGTACTCTCCACGTCATCCTCGTGCTATTATCAGTGATCCAGCACCCAGAATTGCCAAGGAGCATGCGCCGGCACTTTTCGGAGATTCTGGAGCAGGAATTCCGGAAGAGGACAACGTGGCACGACGGAAGAATCGAGGTGGAAACGAAAAGCCACGTGGCGAGAAGCGGAAAAAGGGGCGGGGCGATCCAATGATGCAAGATGGACCGGAATCTGATGAGGATGAAGTGCAGGAGATGAATAATAGGGATCGGCTTAAAAGAGCGAAAAGGAAGGGAATCGATCCGATGGACCCGGCGGCGTACGGTGATGCTCCTGTGTGAGTTTTTTGAAAACTTTAAAAATCGCATTTGTTTTCGATTCTAGAGAAAATTTCAGTGATTTTGGTAGAAAAATCAATGTTCTAGGTCGATTTTGAACCAAGTTATGGTCAAATCAAGTTTTACTGAGGCTTAAGAAATTTTTACTGAGGCTTAGGATTTTTACTGAGGCTTAGGTAATTTTACTGAAGCTTAGGAATTTTTACTGATGCTCAGGAATTTTTACTGAGGCTTAGGAATTTTTACTGAGGCTTAGGAATTTTTACTGAGGCTTAGGAATTTTTACTGAGGCTTAGGAATTTTTTACTGAGGCTTAGGAATTTTTACTGAGGCTTAGGAATTTTTTACTGAGGCTTAAGATTTTTCAGTTTTTTTTCTAATTTTTGCTCGAAAAACCACCGTCTTCGGTTCTAAAATACACTACACTCTACCCATTTTTTATCAATTTTTATAAAAATTTTCAATTTTTCCAGCGGCAAATGGTCAGACGGACTTCGTGTAGATCAAGTGACCGGTGCTGACGTCACCGCTGGTGGACCGCTATTTCAACAGAGACCCTATCCGGCTCCAGGAGCAATTCTCAGGAAGCAGAAGCCACAAGACGAGGAGGAGGAATAATTTTTTGCTGTTTTTTTTTTGGAATTTTCTCAAAAATCGAATTTTCGGCTTTATTTTTACCCTGAAAAGTTGCTTTTTGTCGGATTTTTCTCGAATTTTCCTGCTCATTTCACCCTGCAAACCACCAAAACTACAAGAATAATGTATTATTTATTTACTCTGTCCTTGTTGCTCTTTTTCTCTGCGTCTGCTTTCTCTTCCTCTTTTTCTCATACTTACACACACTGTATTCTTATGGTTTCTGACAGAAATTTTCTGTGTTTATGAAGTCAAACAACTCGGAAATTTTGCCAATTTTCATGTCAATTCTTAGTGATAACGACCACTTTTCCATCATTCTTTATTGTTAAATTTTGTCTTTTTTTCCGGAATTTTTATAATTTTTTATTCAATTTTTGTTTTAGTTTTAGAATGGAGTCGGTGAAGCATGGAGCCGAGGTGGTCGTGGATTTGACAAAAATGCACTATCATATGATCAATGATAGGTAAAAATTTGGGAATTTTCGAAGAATTTCCAAATTTCAGAAAATCGAATTTTTGAGAAATTATACAATTTTCAGAGAAATGGCTTTAAAAAATGAATTTCCAGAATTTTGGAAGTTCGAAATTTCAAAAACTTTTTGATTCTTTTGATTCTCTCTAGATTCCAAAATTCTAGAAAAATCTGAAATTCCAGAAAATCGAAAATTTTCAATTTTTTGGAATTTTTAGCTTTCTGGAATTTCCGATTTTTGCAAATTTTATGTAGAAATTTCGAGAAATTAAGAAAACTGAAACTTTCAGAATACTGAAAAACGTGAAAATTCCTGAAAATTAAAAAAAAATGAAATTTCAAGAAATTCTGAAATTTCAAAAATTTGGAAAATCTGAGAAAACTTGAAAACTTCCGGTTCCGATTTTTCCAAATTTCAAAATTTAGAAAAGTCTAGAAATTTGAAATTTTCTGAAAAAAAAAATCAAATTTTGAGATATTTTTTGAAAATTCAAGAAAATAGGAAATTTCAGAAAAATTTCGAAAAAATCAAAATTTTCAGAACATTCGATTTTCAAAAAAAAAAATCCCAAAAAAAAATTTTCCTGAAAAATCTGAAAATCTGGAAATTTCAGACTGTCCCGCTACGATCCTGCCGTCCTGGTGCTCGCAGTGTTCGGTGGAACACTAGTCTACACAAAAGTCGTTCATTTGTATCGTAAATCTGAGGACCCGATTTTGAAGCGGTACTTAAAATTTTGTAGTTTCGAATTTTTAGAAAACTTTCAAAAAAAATTATTTTTTCAAAAAATAATATTTTTCGAAAAACTCTGAAATTCCAATGCTTGCAGTCTGAGCAGCTACGTCTTCTCTCTGCTGCGCAAAATTCCATCGGTTCGCGACAGAATCGAAAAAGAGCTGTCGGCTGAGAAGCCGAAATTGATCGAATCGATTCATAAGGATGATAAGGATCGGCAATTTATTTCTAGTAAGGGGAATTCGCTCTATTGATAACAAGAAATTTGAATTTTCCAAACAAAAAAAAAGATTTTTCTCTAAAAATTGTTTTTTTTTTTCAGAAAAAAAAATTCAAAATTTGTCGTTGAAATTCTGTTTTCTGCAGTTTTTTTTTTCTGAAAAAATCAGATTTTTGACCGAAATATGAATTTGGATTTTTTCTCTGAAAAAAAATGAAAATTTCAGCCGAATTTTTGTTTTTTTTTTCGCAAAAAAAATTCAGATTTTTTGCTGAAATTTGAATTTTTTCAAAATAAGGTTCAGATTTTTCGCTGAATTTTTCAGCTCTCCCCATCTCTCCTCTCTCCCAGGAATCCATTCTGGAATTGGCTGAAAAATACGAAAACTACAATACATTCAACATTCAAGGCGGTCGAGTCTCAGGCGCAGTCTACACGAATCGTCACGCTGAACATGTCAATTTATTGGGGAAAATCTATGAAAAATACGCATTTTCCAACCCCCTCCACCCTGACGTCTTTCCCGGCGCCCGTAAAATGGAGGCGGAGCTTATTCGAATGGTCTTAAATTTGTATAATGGACCAGAGGAATCAAGTGGAAGTGTGACTTCTGGAGGAACCGAATCCATCATTATGGCCTGTTTCTCGTACCGTAATCGTGCCTATTCGATGGGAATTGAGAATCCGGTGATTCTGGCGCCGAAAACCGCCCATGCCGCATTTGATAAGGCCGCCCATCTATGTGGAATGCGTTTGAGACATGTGCCGGTGGATGAGGAGAATCGAGTGAATTTGAAAGAAATGGAGAGATTAATCGATTCGAATGTTTGTGTATTGGTTGGAAGCGCACCAAATTTCCCATCTGGAACGGTGGATCCCATTCCCGAAATTGCAAAGGTACAAAACAAAAATTTTGAATTTCTAAGCCTCAGTAAAAATAGCCTAACATTTCCTAGTCATTTTGGTTTTAAATTAGAGTTCTAGATCAATTTTGAAGAAAGTTATGGTGATTTCTAATAATAACATTCCTGCCTTAGTAAAAGATTCCTAAGCCTCAGTAAAATATCCTAAGCCTCAGTAAAAATTTCTAAGCCTCAGTAAAAATTAATAAGCCTTATTAAAAATCTCTAAGCCTCAGTAAAAAGTCCTAAGCCTCAGTAAAATATCCTAAGCCTCAGTAAAACTTTCTAAGCCTCAGTAAAAAGTCCTAAGCCTCAGTAAAAGATTCCTAAGCCTCAGTGACATATCCTAAGCCTCAGTAAAAATTCCTAAGCCTCAGTAAAACTTTCTAAGCCTCAGTAAAAAGTCCTAAGCCTCAGTAAAATATCCTAAGCCTCAGTAAAATATCCTAAGCATCAGTAAAAAATCCTAAGCCTTAGTAAAGAATCCTAAGCCTCAGTAAAAGTTCTCTAAGCCTCAGTAAAACTTCCAAGCCTTAGTAAAAATGCTAAGCCTCAATAAAACTTCTAAGCCTCAGTAAAAAATTCTAATCCTCAGTAAAGATTAATTTTTGCCTTTTTTCTGATTAAAAAAATAAGTTTTCGGTTTTTCGATGAGTTTTTCCCAAAAATTAGAAAAGTTTCAAAATTTTCCAAAAATTCGAAAAAGCCTTACAAGCCAAAACCCTCTAAAAACAAGCTAAAATGTTTGCAGCTCGGTGAGAAATACTCGATCCCAGTGCACGTGGATGCCTGCCTCGGCGGTTTCATGATCCCCTTCATGAACGACGCCGGCTACCTTTTGCCGATCTTTGATTTCCGTAACCCAGGTGTCACTTCCATCTCCTGTGACACCCATAAATACGGATGCACCCCTAAAGGCTCCTCCATCGTCATGTACCGCTCCAAAGAGCTCCATCACTTCCAGTACTTCTCTTGTCCGGATTGGTGTGGTGGAATCTATGCGACACCGACGATCGCTGGATCTAGAGCTGGAGCGAATACAGCTGTTGCATGGGCGACACTTTTGTCGTTTGGAAGAGATGAGTATGTGAGAAGATGTGCGCAAATTGTGAAGCATACTAGGGTGTTGGCTGAGAAGATTCAGAAGATTAAATGGGTCAAGCCTTATGGAAGTTCGGATGTATCGCTTGTGGCATTCTCTGGCAATGGAATCAATATCTATGAGGTGTCTGATAGAATGATGAAGCTCGGATGGAATTTGAATACTCTTCAGAATCCAGCAGCGTGAGTTTTAAGCTAGCTAGCTTGTAAGAAATCCAAAAAACAAAATAAAGTTTCCAGAATCCACATCTGCCTTACTATCAACCAGGCTAACGAGGAAGTCGTCAACGCATTCGTCTCTGATCTTCAGAAGACGTGCGAAGACGTCGCCGCTGCTGGAAACCAGAAACCCGACCACGGAATGGCTGCGATGTATGGAATGGCGGCGCAGGTGCCGAAATCAGTGGTTGACGAAGTTATCGCGCTCTACATTGATGCTACCTACTCAGCGCCACCGGTGGAGAAGAAATAAGAGCTTTTTTAAATTGTGATTTGAATTAAATAGAGTTTTATTTGATTTTATTGTATCTACTAAATAAAAATATTTTTGAGAATTTTTTTTTAATTCCAGAGCTTTTTTATGCTTTAATTGAGTTTTTATTCAGATTTTGCACAGATTTCACTCGAAAATCGATGTTTCCACCTGAAAACATTCGATTTTTTTTGTCAATTTTTTTCCTGTTTTCTGCTTCAAAGTGAATTTTTAGTGAAATTTAGACATTTTCCATGATTTCTGACACAATTTTTCACTGGAAAATCTCGATTTTTTGCTGAAAAATCAATTTTTTAAAAAATTTCGAAAACAGAGCAAAATTTCACCTATTTTTATACTTTAAACTGAATTTTTAGTGAATTTTTCGCATTTTTTTAATGATTCGCGACCCAAATTTTTGTAGAAAATCGATTTTATCTGAAAATCTCGATTTTTTGCGGAAAATTTATTTGAAGAAAAAATCTAAATTTCAACTACTTTCATGCTTTTAACTGATTTTGTTGTGAAATTTTTACATGTTTAATGATTTATGACACGAATTTCAGTCGAAAATCAATATTTTTATCTGAAAATCTCGATTTTTTGTTTAAAAATCTTAAAAACATGAGGCGCCCGTTGTCAAATTAAAGGCGCACCGAATTTTTCTTTCTCTCGCGTCTCGCAACGAATACCGTACCCCGAGGCGCGCAAATTTGATTTTTCTGGGTTGTTTACTTGTTTACTCTCAATTTTCGCTCAGTTTTCCTCCTGGAATTTCGATTTTTCGGTCAAATTTCTTGATTTTTCGTTATTTTCGGGGAAATGGGTTTAAAAATATGAAGAAAATGAAGAAATTGGGGAAAATTTGAAGGTAATTTGTGGATTTTTTCGGATTTTTGGTGAAAAGTAGTTATAAAAATTGCCAATTGATAGGAAAAAAGAGCCAGAAATGATAGAAAAATCTTTTTTAAAAATTAGTTTTCTAGCATTTTTCAGATTTTTCAGACTTCTAAAATTCGATTTTTCGGTCTAATTTCTTGATTTACGATTTTTTCGCTGATTTTTCGGTATTTTCAAGTAATTGGGTCACAGAATATGAAGAAAAGCAGAACATTGGGGAGAATTTGATAAAAAATTGTGGAATTTTTCGGATTTTCAGTGAATTCGGGAATTTCGAATAGAAAAATCCTTATGATTTCGGTTGATTTTACCAATTTTTCTCCGAAAACATTAAAAATCGAGGTCATTTTGTTATTCCGTCAAAAAATCACCTGTGGTTTGATCCTGATCACCACGCGAAAGCTCCCTCAGATCCCTCTCTCCCCTACACAACCACAAGATCCACCGCCTGTCATGCGTGTGTTTGTAGATCATGGAAACAGAAAGGGACCCGGCTTCGAAAAAGTGGGCGGAGTCTGATACACCCTGAGAGCTCTGATTGAAGAAAAAAAAAGAGGAAGCAGCAGAAAAAAAAGATAGAAACAAGAGGGATAGAATAGAAGACAAATCGATTCGAGAGTCTAGGGTGGAGAACTCGAGTGTCAGGTGCCCCATGATCAGAGAGGCCCGAGAGAATGTGGGGATTCAGAAGAGACGTAGAGAGGATATCGTCTCATCTGTCGCCGGGGAGCCCATGAGCTACGGAGAGAGAGAGAGAGTGCTCCTCGTGTGTTTTCCAGCCTTGAGATTTATCTATAGTCATCATCTTTTTGATATCATGATCTGGAAATTTCCGAAATTTCCAAAATTCTCCACTGGAATCTATATCCCAGGAATTCTAATTATTCGAGATCTTAATCTGGATTATTAGTCTTATTGTTGCATGTATTTGGGTTATCTCCGTGTTAGATTTCTGCTTTTCGGGTCAGTATTTGAGGTGTATGGTATTAGACGCGTTACTGTAGCCACATGGTTCTAGTTCCACTCTCCACGTGTATGAGCAATGTTAGATTCTAGGGTTTCAGCAGCTAAGAATTCTAGAAGGCTTCGGGACGTTTCAGAACTATCATGTTCTGAAACGTCCTGGAGACTTCTGAAAATCGAAATTTTTGAAATTCCGTTTCTATTTCGAAATTTTCAGTTGTTACTTCCGCTAGTCCTTCTGTTTACGTCCTTTTTCTAAAATATGTGTCATCTTTGGAGAACACGAACCTTCGAATTGTGTCCATCCTCTCCCCACGACTCTATCATAAACCGTGTGAACACTATCCTCTGACCTGCCTATCACTACATTGATAACAGGCGAAAAGTGTCGGCTAAAAATAAATGAGTCAAAAAGAGCGAAAAGCAGCACATCAAACCAAATACAGTCATTCCACATGAATTTCCATATCTTTGTGTGTCTGATTCTCGCTCTGTTTTGCTATTTCTTACCATTCCATTTGACTTCTTCTCCCCCGCATCTCTCTACATTTGGCAATCGGAGAGAGATTGTTGTTCCGAGAAAGTTCTACGCTCTGCGTCTCTGTAGGAATGTTTTCTTTTCCCGCCTTTTGTGGGCGTTAAACTATGCCTATAGGCATGGTTAAGGTGCCAGCTAGGCGGAGATAGCTGATTTTTGGATAAGAATCGGGAATTTAAGCTTGATGACCTGAAATTCTGCATCTATAGTGTTTTCTCTAATAGAAACCCACTTAAACCGTCAACTTTGAGCTCAATTATCTGATTTCCTGTAAAGGATAAAAAAAAACTTGTCAACTGATGAATTATTATTTATCATAGTATCAGCTATATTTTATCAGTTGACAACTTTTTGATATCTTTTAAAGAAACCGAGGTAATTGAGCTCAAAGTTGACGGTTCCAGTGGGCTTCTATGAAGGAAATGCGGTAGTTCGGTTACTAAAGTGTTACATAACGCTAAATTTCATAATTCGGTGTCTTCTGGCATAGCCGATCTTTTAAAAGTTCTCAGTTTTAACCCAAGCCTAGATCCTCTTATTGTCAGCTTACTGGGGTTTTAAGCGATTCATAATATCGTGGTTCTGGTAAAATGACTTCGAGAGGCGGTTCTCAAGCTTCGGAACATCTCTCCACTGTTTCGAGCTTCGAGGTTCTAGAAGGCTTTAGAAAAGCCCGAATTCCCAATTTTATGGATCATTGTGATTTGGTAGGTCTCTATAGGATCTACTACTTCGAGCTCAATAAGCTTATAGAGTACTAAATCTAGGAATTAAGAGATTCGCTGCTTCGAGCTGTGAGGTTCCAGAAGGTTCTAGTGTCCTCTGGCTCTTTCCAACGAGATTTTGGAGTTCCGATTTTTAAAAATTAAGAAAATCCAAATTTACGGATTACAACTTATGGCTATCTTCTCGTTATAAGTTCTATCTTTCTTTCTCTCTCCGTCGGCAACAAACACACGGGTCACTAGGTTGATCTTACTTCTTCTCCGTCTTTTCACCTTCTCTCTTCTTTCCGTTTCCATCATCTTCCTTCCTTCCTTCCGAGACACATGTATCCATCTCGTTGTTCCTGACCTTGAAGACACTGTTGTATCTTCCATGGATTTCCGAAAAAAGTTGTATGTGCTGGCATATTGCCAATATAGCTATATTTTTTCGGCGCTTTTTTGAGTCATCTTTTGTATTTTTTCTCTTTTTTTCATCGATGCTTCTTCGTATAGAAACAAAATAGAAACAAAAGAAGAATATGATGAATCAGAAGGAGGATCCCCAAAAAAAGAATTTTTTGGTTTCTATTGCCACACCCTTCCTCCTCGTCTTCTTCGCTTTTTTTTTCTTTTTTCGGGAACACATTTCAATTCGTTCCAGCCCCCCAATAAAAATCCCCCACAAAACGGTTAATTAAATTTTTTAATGGAGAAATATGGTCTCTTTTCGTCTCTATGTCTCTCTCCTCGAATCGTTTCTCGCTTATTCAGTATCATTTAAAATTGATAGGTGGTGGGTGCGAAATGATGGGTTTATGTCCTTTTCGAAGTGAAAATACCGCGTTATTGAGGATTTTTATGGGTGTGGGAGAGTACGAGTACTGTAGGTTTGATGGTTGTGATCTTTTTTGTTTTTCGCATAGTTTGGCGGGTTTGAGCAATCCATATTCAGCTTGAGCGCCTAAAATTGATCTAAAAGAGCCTGGATCATTCCATTTCCTAGCTTCAAGCTGAACGGACAGACTGTGTATCTGGATGTCGAGATGTCCGCTTATCTGCTTCCGTTTAGCCAAACCGTAGTCGTGATCACTATAAAGAGTTAATCATTTCTCTATTCGGTATGGGAACTTTTAAGTTTTTTGGATTGCTCAGTTTCTCTGTAAATCTAGATGTCCGGATGTCCGTTTATCTATTTTCCTTAAGTCATACCGTTGTCAACTGATAAAATAGTGATCATAACCTGACCTATATTTTATCAGTTGACAGTTTTTTGATATCTTTAACAGGAATCGAGATAATTAGCTCGAAGATGACGGTTTGGGTAAGCTTTTACCGGAGGAAATACGGTATTTTCTGATTTTGACCCACATTTATTAGACACATAGTTCATACCGTATTCCTTCTAATAGAACTCTGCTCAAACTGTCAAACTTGAGCTCTATTTTCTCGATTCCTGTTAAAGATATCAAAAATTTGTCAACTGACAAAATACTGAGCGTAATCTGACCTATATTTTATCAGTTGACAGATCTTTGATATCTTTCGCAGGGTTCGAGATAATCGAGCTCAAAAATGACGGTCTGGCTCTGGCCCATTTCGCTTCTAAAATGCTACCCAATTTTTAATTAATTTTCCCAACTACAGTACCCTCACCGCTTCCGTTTGCTTAGAAGCCGTCCATCCGTGTCATTCATTCATTCCTTCTTTCTTTTTTTGTTTCTTTTTATGAATCATCGCTCTTTTTTCTCTTGTCTTGGTGTCCCCCGAAATTTCCAATTTCCCCCGTCATGTTTTACAGAAGCGAACAATATAGTGGGCAGCTAGCAGTTCAAATAATCAATCGTCAATCATGGCGCAACCAAAACGCCTAGACCAGGAGGAAGAGGTGAGAAATTGAGCTGGAAATTTGGGATTTTTAGCTCTAAGAACTTCAAAAAATACCCTATTTTCTGGGATATTCAGGCTCTAAACGCTCTATTTTCTGCGATTTTCAACACAAAAAACTCTTAAAATACTCTATTTTCTGCGATTTTCAGCACTAAAAACTCCGACAATACTATATTTTCTGTAGTTTTAGCACTAAAATCTCGAAAAAGACCTAAATTTTCGAAATATTCAGCTCTAAAAAACCCCAAAAATATCCTATTTCTGGGTATTTTAAGGACTAAAAACTCCAAAAAATGCCCTATTTTCCTGGATTTCTAGCTCTAAAAGCTCAAATTATGCCCTATTTTTTGAAATTTTTAGCTCTATATCCCTCAAAATAGCTCATTTTCCAGGTTTTTTAGTCGTAAAAACTGCAAAAATACTCTATTTTCTGTAGTTTTAGCACTAAAATCTCGAAAAAGACCTAAATGTTCGAAATATTCAGCTCTAAAAGCCCCAAAAATATCCTATTTCTGGGGTTTCTAAGAACCAAAAACTCCAAAAAATACCCTATTTTCCCGGATTTTTTGCTCTAAAATCTGCTGAAAATGCCCCCATTTTTCAGGATTTTAAGCTCTAGAAAATTCAGGAAATATCCTTTTAGCTCTAAAATATGCTAAAACTGTCCAATTTCTCATATTCCAGGTCGTTCCGGCGATCCGTCACGAGGATGCCGAATGGAAGGTGATCCAACAGAACACATTCACCCGATGGGTCAACAATCATCTTCAGAAGGCGGGCGAATCGATTGGAAGTCTGGTAAGAATTCAAAAATGCCTTTTTTTTAGTCCCAAAAACCAAAAATTCCAAATTTGCAGGAGACGGAATTCTCCGATGGACTGAAACTGATTGCGTTGGCACAGGTTCTCTCGCAAAAGCAGGTCGGAAAGTTCAACAAGAAGGTGGCGTTCCGCTCGCAGAAGTTGGAGAACGTCTCGTTGGCGTTGAACTTCTTCCAGAATGAGGAGAATATCAAGATTATCAATATTGGTAAGGGATTTATGGAAAATCGGGAAAAATGACTTTTGAATCTTGTTTTCTAGCCGATTTTGGCATATTTTGGTCGATTCTAGACGGTTTTCAGCCATTTTGAGTCATTTTAAGTCATTTTAAGCATATTTTCACAGCTGATCCCACGATTTTAACCGTTTTAAACGTTTTTTTTCTGGCTAAAGGAATAAGCTCGAAATCGAACTGAATCAGTATGAGAAATTCTGGCTGAATATGGCTCTAATCTAGCTGAAAACCTATAACAATCTAGAAAAGCACTTTTAATAGTCTAAAATCGTCGAAAAATGGTCTTAAGTTGGTCAAAATCTATTTAAAAGACCCCATTTTTGATTTAATTCGATATGCAAAATAGGCTGAACATGGTCCAAATATAACGGAAAATTACTTTAAAGCGCTTAGAATAATCCGAATTCAGCCAATAATAGACTAAATTTAGGCCCGAAGTATTCTGAATCCTTTTTTCTCTTTTGTAAACTTCAAATTGCTCATTTTCACGCTTCCGAATAGAGCAGAACAAAAAACTCCCGAAAATGGGCAACTATGTGTTTGTAATAATGGGGGGACTGTCCTCCTGTTGGTCACCGGGCTCCGCGAGCCCAACCATACACTAAAAACAAACAAAAACATCATGTTTGACCTTGGGATTCTTCTTCTTCCTCTTCTTCCTCTAGCGGCTCTTTTGGAAGTCACCACCTGCGTTTTCGAGAGAACTTTAGTACACTTTTTTTTTGGAATTTATGAAATTACGGCAAATTCAGGTCCCTTTAAAGCTTAATCCGTTAAATGTCTCGAAAATAAAAGTTCTAGGCAAATTCTGACTTAAGAGATCTCCTAAAAATAAGCTCTATATTTTCAGACAGCACACACATTGTCGATCACAACAAGAAGTTGATTCTGGGCCTCGTCTGGACGTTGATCCTTCACTACTCCATCTCGATGGGCTGGATTCAGGAGAAGCGTGAGGACGGACAGGATAAGGAGGAGACGCCGAAGCAGAAGCTCCTCAACTGGATTCGCAATCGTCTTCCAGGCCTTCCAATCTCCAATTTCACTTCGGATTGGAACGATGGTGTTGCACTCGGAGCACTGGTTAATTCGATGGCTCCAGGAGCACTGGAGGATTGGGAGAACTGGTCGCCAAACGAGGCATTGGAGAATACGGAGAAGGCGATGAAGTCGGCGCAAGACTTGTTGAAAGTGGCTCCACTGATTGCTCCAGCTGAAATGATTCATCCGGAAATCGATGAGATGTCTGTTATGACCTATTTGTCACAGTTCCCAGCCACAAAGCCAGTGATTGTCAAGCCGAAGGTTCATGCGACGATTTCTAATCTTGATAAGACTTTGTTGATTAATGAGCCGAAGGAATTCGATTTGAAGCTCTCCCGTGATGGATACAAGCCAAAGGTGTCGATTAAGGATGCCGATGGACATGATTTGCATTTGGGTATGAAGAAAGTCGATGAGCAGGCTACAAACTACAAAATCAAGTTCACACCGACCAAAGTTGGACCACTCAACGTGGAAGTCGCTGCAACAGATGTTCACACTTTTGAGACGCAAGCGATCCCAGAAGCCAGTGTTACTTGTCAGGTAGATATCTTTCTGGAATTTCTAGATTTTTCCAATTCCGGAATTCTGGAACATCTGGAATTGGCAATCTAAAATCTTGATTTCCAGGTTGTCCCAATCGCTCGTCTTCTGGAATACAGCAAAACCGCCAAGGTAGGAGACACCGTCAAGTTTACTGTCGCCGATGCTATTGAAGGACCAGTTGAGGCTATCATAGTGGATCCAACTGGAAAAGAGCACCGAATGGTGATTCTAGAAGGATCTGCTCCGGGAGTGCACACATTTGAATTCACCGTCCCAACCACCGGACTCCACTCGGTCAACGTGTTCCACAAGAAGATTCCACTCACCGGATCGCCATTCCCACTTCGTGGAAAACCAAAGAACGCATTCAAGATATGGGGACGTGGTATTGCTCCAGAAGGCATTCGCAAGAACGACGTCGTTGGTGTCCATGTGGAATCGTTGGATCCAGAGGAGAACATTGCCAACTCGAATGCATCGCTGGAAGTTGTTAGAAAAGACGGACGAGTTCTGCCAATATCCGTTGACTATGATGAGGATACGTCTACGCTCAATTTCGAATACCAACCCAAAGAGGCTCCAGAAGACCTGGAAGTCGTCGTGAAGGTTGGCGGAGAGAAGGTGGAGTCTCACAAGGTCCACGTGGCTCCGTTGAGCTCTTCGAAGATCAGAGCATTCGGACCAGGACTCGAAGGAGGTATTGTCAATGAGCCATGTGTGTTTGATGTGGAGATGAATGGTGAGAATAAGGATCTCTCGTTTGCTGTTGAAGGACCATCGAAGGCTGAAATTGAATGCAATGAGAGACCAGATGGATCTGCAGTTCTTTCCTATACTCCAACTGTCGCTGGAGTCTACAAAGTTGGAGTGTTGGCTGATGGAGAACACATTCAAGATTCTCCATTCGTACTTCGTGTCAATGATGGAGTTCCAGGATTGAAACCATCGGCAACACGTGTCACTGGAATTGATGAGTCGAAGGTGTATTCTGTCGGCGAGAAGATCCCATTCCGTGTCGATACTCGTCTTTGCGGAGTTGATCTTGTACCGAAAGTGGAGATCCTTGATCCGTCGCTCGATAAGATTTCCTATGGAGCTCGCGAGATCACCCCGGGAATCTTCGAGTACACTTTGATCCCAGAGCACGCTGTCAAGCATAAGATCGACGTCAGTGTTGGTGGAGTTTCCGTGCCAGGAGCTCCGTTTTCTCTCAAGGTCAAGGAGGCAACCGATGCATCGAAGCTCAGAATCTATGGACCAGGAGTCGAAGGACCAGTGTATTCCAAGGAACCAACTCGTTTCACAATTGATGCCACTCAAGCAGGCCCAGGAGCCGTAGAAGTCGCTCTCGCTGATGATCATGGAGAGAAGGTGGACTTGGATGTGTTGGATAACCAGGATGGTTCGTTCACAGTGAAGTACACAGCGCAGAGACCAGGAGCTTATCAGGTGAGTAACTTAGCAGCTTAGCGTTAAATCGTAGGATTCAATTTCCAGCTCAACGTTGTGTTCGCCGGCGAGGAGATCTCACCAATTGCTATCAACGTCAAACCGAATGTCGACGTGTCTGGAATCCGTGTCGAAGGACTTGAGAATGGTAGGCTAGACTTTGAAGTGGTCTGAACAAGTGTTACTAACGAGAATGGTGTGATTTTGAAGTGCGATTTACTGCTCGCAAGACTTTTATGTTGATTTTTATTTCATTTTTGACCTTTTATTTTTTCTTGTTTTATCTCTAATTGATTGCTGTGATTTGTGATCTAATCTTCGATATGGATTGGTTGGCATGGTATCCGATTGCTCATCCCAAAAAAAAATCCGATTTCCAGCCGTTGTCACTGTCAACGTTGAAAAGGAGATTCACGTATTCACCACTGACGGAGAGAACACTCGAATCGTGATCACCTCCCCATCTGGAAGAGTTGTTGAAGCGATCATCGAGTCAACGCCTACAGGATTCCGAGTCCGATTCACGCCTTCTGAAGTTGGAAACTACACAATCGACGTCACCTATCAAGACATTCCGATAGAAAAGTCCCCCTTCACACTGGAATCTCTAGATCCGAATCAACCAGGATCTTCTGAACAAGATGATGTGGATATGGAGCAAGAACCAGGAGAATCCACTCTCGCTGAAGCTGAATACGTTGTATGTGGATCTGGACCAGCGCGCGCTGACCTAGTTACGGTATCTGGGCCAGGCTTGGGACCTCTAGTGGCTCAGAGATCCACCTATGTCTCTATCGACACTACGAATGCAGGATTCGGAGATATCGATGTGTATGTGGATGGACCAACACGAACACCATTGCACTGTGTTGATAATCAAGATGGAATACTGAAAATGTGTTTTACTCCGAAACAACCGGGGCTCTACTATTTGAGAGTGATGTTTGACAACGAGCATGTGCCAGGAAGCCCATTTCAAATCGTCGCAGTTGCCGCTTTGCTAGGCAGTCCGTCACTTTTGGGAGCTGAGCAAAAAAGGAGCAAAACTGAAAGTCCCTATTCGTCGATTTCTAGTGGATCATCGAGTACACCCAATCCGAATCCTCAAGCTTGTACTTGAATTTAAGTCTTGATTCTTCTGTAAATACCGTATCTCTATTCATTTTGTCTTTATTCTCTGATCTCACTCTCAATCATGACCCCATGTTAATCTCTGTGTTTTACTTCTTGCCTTTCATTTCCCCCATTTTTGACCCAAATAAACTTTTATTCTCACAAGCAGAGAATATATATGAAAATCAGGATACTGTAGCTGTTGAAAAACCTTTCAATGTCTACCGAATCCCTCTAAAAGTGAGCTTATATAGATAGCTACAGATGAGCCTTATCAGAACCCAAAATACCGTAAAACTTGTAATAGAAGAGACCCTATCTTTAAACCAATTTATCTCGGTCCCTGTCAAAGATATCGAAAAGCAGTCAACTGATAAAATATTGCTGATATTGTGATACATATTCTATCAGTTGATTCATTTTTCATATCTATCACAGGAACCGAGAAATATGAGCTCAAATTTCGAAGTTAAGGGTGGCGTTCTGGGGTTTACGGTATATGAAAATTGGATACTGTAGTTATCCTCCAATCTCAACGGAATCGCTCTGAAATCAAGCTCGCATAGCTAGCTACAATTTAACTTTATCAGATTCTTATCTAGTTTAGTTTCAGAAGGAATTCTCATTGGCTCACGTCTTCGTCCTACCATCAACATTGGAAAACTGGAACCAAAATCGAAGGGCCTCCAACTCCTCGACCAAGTGAATGGAAAGCTCTATAACATTCCTCTGAAGATCAATCCAGATGGCACCTACTCATCAGACACCCCTCTCATGGAAGTCGGTGAGCACAAAATGATGCTTCTGTTCGACGAGATTCCAGTCCAAGAGGCTACTGTAGAAGTGAAGAAGGGAACTGACGTGAGCAAATGCCGTGCTTATGGACCGGGTCTTGAAAGTGCAGTTGTCGGAGAGAAGGCTCAATTCGAACTGGACTTGGATGGTGCTGGAGAGGGAGCACTGGCGATGGAGATGCGTGGTCCAGCGAAAGCCGAGTCTCGAATTCAAGACAAGGGGAACGGAAAGTGCAGTGTTGAGTACATTACGAAGGCTCCAGGGGAGTACGAAATGGCGATTAAGTTCGGAAAGGATGAGCAGAAGGAGCATGTCAAAGGATCCCCATTCAAGGCGCATGTCGACTATAAGAAGGATCCATCTCAAGTGATTATCAATGGATTGGATGAAGTCAGTTATCGACTCAAACAACCTATCAATTTCATCATTGATACTTCCAAGACCAAGGACTTGCCGGTCACTGCTCATGTCGCTCCAGAATACGCTCAGAATCCACCAATCGTCACGAAGTCTCCATCCAATCCACGTCACTATAATGTGCGTTTCGTGCCGACTGGAATTGCGAATACATCGATTCCAATTCAGATTCTGTATGATGGAGAGAAAGTCGGAGAGAAGAAGGTCAAGGTGCTGCCGGAGGTGGAGCCGCAACTCATCAAAATTCGTAAGTCATAGGAAACAGGGGCCAGATCCACTGATTATTCTTATTTTCAGTTTACGAGAAAAAGAAGGAGTCGTTGCCAATCACCACCTTTGCCTCGCACGAAGGACATGTTCCATTCGATGTTCGCGAGTGTGGAAACGTCAAGAAGATCGAGGCCTGTGTCTTCGGACCGGACGGAAAAGAACGTGTAAGCCATGTACGATCCACCGAACAAGCCGGCATCTACGATGTCTCATTCCCAACCGACATGGCTGGCGAGTACTGTGTCGTGTTCTATTTGAACGGAGAAGAAGTGGCGATGAAGGTGCCGGTGGTAGCTGAAAAGATTGGAAAGAAAGAGGACGTGCTCAAGGATGACGTCATCTTCCATCCAGAAGTCGCTGAAAACGCGCCAACCACGTTGACCTATCAACATCCATCGGAGACGAATAAGAAGAAGGCGAAGGCGACGCCATCTATCAGAGTGTTGGCTGCTCGTCCAGATGCCGTTCGTTTGGAGCACATCCATGAGATCATTGATAACGGACATCGGGTCGCCGAGAGAATTATGTTCACTCCAACGAAGCTGGGAAAGAATACGTTGAATGTTTTCTATGGAGGAGAACAAGTGGATCATGTGGAGTATGAGGTATGCATTTTTTGGGAATTCTGGATAGCTTAGGATGGAATGATACGATTGGTATCTAGGTTATCAAGTTCTCAGTATTCTACTAGCCCACTAGGCTACTCCGATCCTTTTATAAGCTTATTTATATCGAAAAAGCCGTTTTAGACTATTCTGTGACTTCTACACAGGAATATAACTCATTAGTCTGAATTGGCCCATTTTTAGCCTCCTCTAGTCCTTTTTGGTGCTATTTTAGCTCACTTTTATGATAAAGCGGTGTCTCTAAGCTTGTCTATATCGCAAATTCAGTTCTGAGTGATTCTGTAAGTACTAGGCCAATTTATAGGCTTCTCTGGCCTTTTTTTCGCCTCTATACCTCGAAAAAGACCTTCTGAAAAACGCACCGAAGCGCGCGTTGAAGAATAAAAAATAATTGTTTCATTATTGTTGTCTTGCTTGTTTTCTTTTCTTGTTGTCCCCTTCTCTATTTTTCTCTTTCTCTCTGCAATAGTAGTAGTAAACAAGAAGATGTAGGAGTCGGGCGGCAATGGCAAGTGAGAAAGTGTATTCGAGGGGCTCTCTCTTTTTTTTTTCAATTCAGAATAGTGAAGCTTTGGAGACACAGACGGACAAACGCCCTCTTCTATTTTTCGACCACTTCTTCTTCTTCCTTTTTTTTCTGCATATTTTTCTCTCTTTCTGTGCTAATACTTTTCATTTCGAAGGACGCACATCAAACCGACAAATGGCCATCGATGGGCGTTTTTTTTCTAGTGAACAATTTGTCTCGGGTTTTTCAAGGTTTTCTGGGTGTGAAGATCTCGGTTTTTGTGAGAATTTTTGATGATTTTGATGCCAAAAATCTAGCGAAAAAAACTGAATTTTGTAAAATCTAGGTCTGAATCTTATTTTCAGTGCTTGTAGACCCTTTTTAGACCCCTTTTTGAATTGTCAGAAGCTAGGTAGTATTTTGTAGGGTTTCTAGAATTGTTAGATAATGATTGTCTTGAGGTTGAAGTTCAAGAATTCAATTCTCTTCAAATCTCGCTAATTTGAATTCCCGAAAAAAAACCGCGTTTGGTAGCAGCTTTCGTTCCAAAATTCGCAATTTTTTGTTCAAAACTTTAGCTACCCAAAAACGCTTGGTTTTTATTTATTTTTGTTTGCCCCTCTCTTCTCCTTCTCCTCCTCCTCTGCAATTCAATTCTGTACTCCTTCCGATTTTTCATATGTTTGTGAAGTTGTATTGTTGTTGTCCTCTCCACTCTGTCCGTCTTCTCGATTCGTTTTTCTGTCGAACCGACTAATTCACCAACAAAACAGTCTCTTTAGTTTTACCCCTACTCTCACTTTTTAGAATCACCCTCCCCTCGATTTGTCATTTTATGCGGTTTTTAAAACCTTTTCCCCTTTTGTCTACCTCTTTTTTTATGTGTTGGAATAGGTCAAAAAAAGGGCTGAAATTCTAGAATTTTTGTTTAGTTTATTAGCCTCTATTCTTCTTCACAGGATTAGGTTAAAAAAGGGGCTGAAATTCTGGGATTTTTGGCTTATTTATTAATCACTGTTCTCCTTCGTAGAAATAGGTGAAAAATGGCTGAAATTCTAGGTCGGAGACTCTAGGAAAAAGCTTGTTTTCTGAAAATGAGGTTGTTCTCTAGAACTTCTTATGATTATGACCTATTTATTTTTGTGTCCGTGTGATATTAGTTTAGAATGAGTTCAAAAAACAAAGGGAAGCATGTGAGAAGAAGCTCTGTTGAACGTGTGATTTCTCCAGTGAGATCTTGCTCTCTCCTTCCTCTTTGAACCGATTTTCGATCAGGATACCTTTTGTTGTGTTTCCCGAGAAGCTCACCTACGAGGAAACATCTGGAAGCACTTTTGAAAAGGTTTCAAATGATAGGCTTTGAGGCGAATTGGAATTTTTTTCTATACTTTGACCTAGAACTTTGGACCTACTTCCTAGATAATCGGAGTCTTCAGTTATCAATTGCTCTTTCTAGGTGACATTTCGACCCTTGGGATTTTTTTAATGTCTCAGGGACTATCTAAATTGTTCCCATTCGGCTCTTGAACACCTTAGGGACCTTTTTCAATGTCTCAGAAATTTAAAACCAAGATATAGACCTATCCTGAATTCCCTATGATTCTAGGTCGTTTGGAATCCGTTCCACATCATTTTTCCAATTAAAGTGATTACCGTTACCCAATCAACCTGCGTTCTCTATTCATTAATCATCTTTTCTCTGTCTGTTTTTCTTCCTTCCTCCCATTCCCAAAGAATTCCTTCTCCTTGTTTTTATCATGTCGTCCCTCGGAAAACGGGTCCTCTCGGAATGTCAAAAACAAGAACTTCTGGAGTCATCGAGCTTCTTGCTCGAAAATAACAACTGTTTTCTTTTTTTCGATATCACCCTTTTGCTCTTGCTCTCAATCTCTTCCTCCCCGAGAGCTGGATGTCACACACACACACACACTCGTCGCATCCATTATTTTTTTTTCTCTTCTCTTCTAACTGATATCAGTTTTGCTCCTTGGCAGAAATAGAGCATTTTGTTGTTTTCTTGTTCTGAAACCTGTGAATTCAGATTTGCAAGCTGAGAAAGCCCGAATTTCTAGTCTCTGGGCCCTTCTAAATGCTCCTAGAATTTCTAGGCGAGAATAAGATCAATTGATCATTCCTAGATCAGCTGTCTCTAAGCCTAATCAATTAGTCAAGTCACTGTTCTCCGATCCGGTCTCAAGAACCCAGCTCTTCCCCTCTCTTTGTCTCCTTGAACTATCATGTGTGTTGTTTCGACGGACGGCTCTCTGTCTCTTTGTGATAAGTCACGTAAACATCCGTTGAGTCACGTGAAGGCTCCCGACGGGAGGGACGGGACCATGGCTGGAGAGAAGAAGCGCCCAACACATAATAATCATTGCCTCTGGATCCACTCTCATCATTCCAGTCTCTTGAAATCTCACGTGGGAGAGGTTTTTGGGCGAATTCTGATGTTTAGAATTCAGGAAATAAGATTCTGAGGTTTACTGGATTTTCCTAAGCTTCTAATAGACTTTCTAGGTATTCTAGGTGGTTCCAGAGCCATTTTCTAGCCTATCAGCCTTCTGTGAACATTCTAGCTGTTCTAGAAGGTTCCAGAACCACTCTGAGCGAATTCTGATGTATAGGATTCAAGAAATCAGATTCTGAGGGTTCCTGGATGTTCCTAAGCTTCAATTAAACGTTCTTGGATGTTCCAGAGCCATGTTCTTAGCTTTGTCTTTTGGAGCACTATCAGTTCTTTGATAAACTTTTTGAGATCTGGAATCTAAGGAATCAAAGTTCCAGCCATCCTTTCTCACTAGTTTCAGCTCTTCATGGTTTAAGGATTTTTAGCTTTTCCTAGACACCCCATTTGATCTCAATTGAACCCATTTAATATCTTCTATCCCATTCACTTTTTATCACTTGTTTTCCTATTTTTCTGACACATGTTCCATAGCAAATTGCCATTTTTTCAGGCTATCGGACAGCTCGAATTCGAGCGAATCCAAGCGGAACGCGCCAAAGTCGTTGCGGAGCCAGAGGACGACGTCGACAAGTACGAGAAGAAGTATCAGGTAGGGTTATCTAGCTTATCTGATAGTTTGATTCCATAACACTGATTTCGTGATTTCCTCTAACATTCTCGGCATGGTTTGTTTCAAGGAGAAACTGCCTCGTCTCCACCACAAAGAGAACCAGCAGGAGGATCCAACGGAAAAGAGCAGTTGGCAGCACCATCTCCAGCCAAGAGCAAGAAGGAGCAGCCACAGCAACATCTCGCTCCGTCGCCTGAAGTCGAGCAGAAGCCGTTGGAAAAGTATTTCACTGTAAGGCAGACATGATTTTTGATTTGAAAAGAGACCTTTTTTGACCCCAAAATAGATAACTGATTTGAATTGATTTTTGACCTCTAAAACATACTGATTTGCCTCCAGGTCTTTATTTTTAACCCATTATCTAGTTCCAGTTCAACATCCGCGATTTGGGGTGCCAAGCAAAGGATCTTGAAGCCGTCGTCATGCCACCAGCACAGAAGAAAGAAGTCGCCGAGATCATTGACAACCACGATGGAACCATCCTCGTGAAGTACATACCAAAGGTCCACGGATCCCATGAGCTCTCGATCCTTCAAAACGGAGCACAACTCCAAGGAACACCAATCAAGTTCTACGTGGATGCCTATGGAGATGGATGGGCCACGGTCTATGGACCAGGTCTTCAGAATGCCGTTGTTGGAGAGCCAGCCACGTTCACAGTGTGCGCCAAGGGATCTCAAGCCAAGGAGCTGTCGGTGAGCATTGAAGGACCAGCAAAGAGTCAGATAAAGATCCATGACAACAAGGATGGCACATGCTCGGCAGCGTGGGTTCCACCAGTGCCAGGAGAGTACAAGGTTCATGTGAAGTTGGGAGGAAAAGCTGTCAGAGACTCACCATTCAAAGTGTTGGTTATGGGAGAGGGACAGGTATAGGAGATTCTTATTCCTTCAGATTTTTAAACTAGCTGTTTCAGAAGCGCTCTCATCTGTCAGTTGGATCCACATCCGAAGTTGCTCTTCCAATCACCCAATCCGAATTGAAGGGAATTTCAGCTTCAATCAAGTCACCAGCTGGAATTGAGGAGCCATGCTTCGTCCGTCTTCTTGATGGAGGACGTCTTGGAGTCTCCTTCACTCCACGTGAATCTGGAGAGCACTTGATTACGGTGAAACGTGATGGAAAGTTGGTTCCAAAGGCTCCATTCAAGATCAAGGTGGACAAATCACAAGTTGGAGATGCTTCGAAGGTCGAAGTCACTGGAGCAGGAAAGGCTAAGGGTATTACCCTCCAGGCAAATGAGCTGTTGGTTGACACATCCAAGGCTGGATATGGAGGACTTTCTGTGTCGGTACAAGGACCATCGAAGGCGGAGTTGACTTGCAAGGAGGTCAAGGCTGGACTCATCAAGGTTCTCTACACTCCAACCGAGCCAGGAGTCTACGCTATCGCCATCAAATTCGCTGATCATCACGTCAAGGACTCGCCACTCACTGTTCAATGCACTGGAAAATCGGCTGGACGTGTTATCCAGACGATCCAGAAGGGTGTCGATCAACACGGAATCTGTCTCCCGGACCAGGAATCGTTGTTGTTCTTGAAGCTGTTGAACACGTCGCCAATGGACATCACGGCCCGTTTGATGGATCCAAAGGGACACACCGATGATATCGAGATGCGTGATTTGGGACAGCAATACTATCAATTGAAGTTCACACCAAAGTTGGAAGGAATCCATACACTTTCTGTTATGTACAAAGATGCTCACGTCAATGGATCGCCATTCCAGTTCACTGTTGGATCATTCTCCGAAGGAGGAGCTCATAAGGTTGGTTTTTATTCGAGAGCACATTTATATTCCTTCTCTTCTTTCAGATCCGCGCCGCCGGTCAAGGAGTCGTCCGTGGAGAAACTGGAACTCTCAACGCCTTCAACATCTACCATCGTGAGGCTGGAGCCGGAGCCCTTGCTGTCTCCGTTGAGGGACCATCCAAAGCTACCCTGGAATTCAAGGATCACAAGGATGGAAACTGCCACGTTGACTACAAAGTTGCCACTCCTGGGGAGTACATCGTCGCTGTGAAATTCAACGACCAGCACATCCCAGACTCGCCATTCAAGGTGTTCGTCGCGCCAGCAACTGGAGAGGTCCGAAAACTCGAGTTGGCTCAATTCCACGATCAAGGAATTCCATCTGGAAAAGCGTTCACATTCACAGTGCTCACTCATCGTGCCAAGGGACATCTCGAGGCTAAAGTGGTTGCACCGAACAACGAAGTGGACACCATTGATATTGTTCCAATTGAGGATGGTGAGAGCTATGCGATGCGATTCGTGCCAAAGGAGACTGGAAATCATTTCATCCATGTGACTCTTGACGGTGCTCCAATGCGTGATTCTCCATTTAGACTTCGTGTCGGAGGAAAGGATCTTTGTGATCCAACTGCTATCTTTGCTTCTGGAGATGGTCTCGTCAAAGGAACCACCGGACAGAAGTGCGAATTCGTTATCAACACGGCCAACGCTGGAGCTGGAATCCTTACCGTCCAAATGGACGGTCCATCGAAAGCCACGCTGGATGCGTATGAGCTGGAGAAGGGATACAAAGTGAGATACACTCCATTGGCTCCAGGATCCTACTTTGCATCCGTCAAGTACAATGGAATTCATGCGCCAGGATCGCCATTCAAGATTCCGGTCGAAGGAAAGGAGCTCGGAGGAAATGGATACAACGAGACGTCGCATGTGAAGATCGACGCTGTCGCCAAGACTTCGAAGGGAACCGTCGCTGTTGTTCCAGAATACGCAGGAGATGCTGCTAAGGTAAATTTGTCCTAAAAAGTATCTTAAAACCCGTAATAGAAGGGCCCTTCTAACATTAACATTGAGGCGATTTATCTCGATTCCAGTTAAAGATATGAAAAGGTTGTAAACGGATAAAATGTTGCTGATAATATGACAAACATTTTATTAGTTAACAACTTTTTCATATCTTGCATAGGAATTGAGATAATTGAGCTTCAACTCGGCATTGTGGGGGCCCTTATATTACAGGGGTTACGATAGTTCTGAAACGACTTAGACGGTTCTAAAATAGAAATTTGGTCTAACTCTAAATTTCCACTGTTTCCAGGTCACCGCCAAAGGAGCCGGCCTCAACAAGTTCTTCCCTGGCCGACCGGCTGCATTCCAAATCGACACCGGAATGGCGGGTCAGAATCTTCTTATGGTTGGAGTCGTGACGACCAAAGGACCATGCGAGGAGGTTGTCGTTCGTCATCAAGGCCAAGGACACTACGTCTGCTCCTACCGTATCCCGGAACGAGTCAAAGGATTCGTGTTCATCAAGTACGGCGACAAGGAAATCCCCGGATCTCCATTCGCCATTGAGCCATAAATTCTTCTCTATTTTTCTTTCTATTCTTTTCTACACCGCAAGTGCTTTATAAAATTCAATCGACGGTTTTTCTTCCCCATCCCCATCAAGCCCAATTATCTTTCTTTCTGTAGTTTTTTTTTTCTCTAATTGGTTTAAATGTAATAACTCTGATATAGTAGAATCCCCCATATAACCGTTGCCATATTTTTATCCAAGCTTCCCCCCAAGGTCCTGCCCCCTGAACCCCCCCCACCTGAAACCCCTCTCAACTGTTTCTTTTTGTTTTATTATGAAAAATCTGAAAATCCTACATCATTTTTCAGCTTTTCTAGCCTATTTCAAGCTAATTTCCGACCATTTTAAGCCAGAAATTATGAAAATCGGCTTAAAAATGGCATTTTTAGCGCCAAAAATGGAGGCCTAACGGTGTCCGTCTGTGTGTCCGGGTGTCCGGATTTTCAGCCGTTTTTTGATCGCCATTTATAGCGCTTTTTAAGTTATTTTCGGGCGATTTTCAGCCAATTTTTTCGACCATTCTTTTTTCTAATTTTTTTGTTTTATTTTTTTTTAATCCAAAGTCATTTTCAGACAAAAAAAACACCAGTATTGAGCAAACGAAGAAAGACAAAACATGGACTAGAAGCGAAGAAGAAAAAGAGCAAAGAAACGAAGAAGCACCAAAAACGGATTGAGGAGACAAAAAATATGGCAATTTTGGAAGAATCAAAGAAAATGAGAAGTTTTATAGTTCTGTGGATTGAAGATTCACTCCAGATGTCGTCGTGGGAGGAGGCGGAGCCGGTGGAGGGTGATGATGGCGTGACGTCACAATTGGGATTTCTCCATAGGCGGGGTTTCCGCTGCAAAAAGAGGATTTTTGATAGGTTTATCATAGCCATCAGGCTCCTGGCCTGGACGTTTCGGAACCACGACGTTTCGGAACTTTCTACATTTCTGCATGTGCAAAAACCACTATGCAAAAATGCAGGAAGTTCTGAAATGTCATGTTTTAGAATGTCGAGTTCTAAAACGTCCAAGAGCCAACCATATTGCCCAATAACTCAAAATGAGTTCTTGGTGTAATGGCTAACGGGCTAGGCCTTGGATCTCAAGGTCCGGGGTTCGACTCCCCACTAGGGCCTTTCTCTTTTTATTGTTTTTTGGGCTATTTTATAGGCCCAAAAAATTGGAAGAACGACTCACATATTCTTCCCACCCCTCCCCAGGGTTACTGTATTTATGGTAGACGCTTGTGCGGAAATGTGTCTCAGTTTTCGCTCATAATTGTTCCGCTGACGACACCAAATACACATGGAGAAGATGGAGATAGCCAGGAAGAGAAGAACGGCGATCTGGAATTTTCAGAAATTGAATTTTCTAGAATCTTCTAGAATATTCCAGATGTCTAGAATTTTGGAATATTCTAAAAAAGACAACTTACCAATATATACTGAGGCACTCTTGAAGGAATGGGGACCGGTGGGAAGGCTTCTCGTAGACCATACACACTTCTCAGCTCTCTTCTGGATTCTGCTGATGACGTCATCAGAAGATTCACAGCACGATCCACGTTAACAAATTGGCCATCTCGATCCATGAAATGGACCAGCATCAGGGTGAAATTCGAGTTTTGGCGACATTTGTCGACGATGGTTTGGAGGCCGGTCGCGTTGGAGAGATTACTGTAATTTGGAAGTGTTAATTTTAAGTCGATTTATCTCGGTTACTGTAAGAGATATCGAAATTTTGTCAATTGATAAAATGTTTATCGTATTATCAGAAGTTCTTTATCAGTTGATCCCTTTTTGATATCTTTCAAAGGAACTGACAAGGGAACCATGTTTAGCCTTCATCTCAGAATTTCTTCTAAATTTGCTCATTTATAGTTTCAAATACGGGCTTTCTTGTGGTGTATTCGGTTTTCTGCACTAATTTCTAGAAGTCGAGAAAAGTCCATCTGAAAATATGCTGTTTTTTGGTCTCCTCCTTCCCTTCCACTTCCCCCCCCCCCTTTCCTCTATACATTCTCCACTGTGGAAGAAACGAGAAACACAGGTCCTAGGCGATGATGCGCATAAAAGACCCGATCCATATGCGATCCTCTAGAAGTCCGTTTGACACATATCGCGAACAATGAGCTGCGATGAGTCTCATATGTGTGCGATGCGGGAGAGGCTGAATCGAGTGTTCCGAATGCGCGCGTATCCTAGATGGATTCTAGGTGGGTGGGCGATGTGTGCGATATGGGTCTGATACGGTAGGCCGACTACAACACTCCGAAATCCCGGATGCGTCCATTGTTTACCGTAAATCCACACCGGCAACTTTGTCAATTTTTCGTCAATTCGAGCCTACATTTCTGGTTTTTCGATTATTCCTTCGATGTTTTTTGTGAAAAAGAGTTATGGCAGAATAAAAAATCGCTGAATTCTTGCAGAATCATGTCTTTCACTCGTTAATTGCTATGTTTTTCGCCAAAATAGGTGATATTGAGATTTTTTGATTTCACTTTGTAATTATTGTAAAAATCGTATTTTCAGGTGGAGTAAACGGTAAGTTGGTAAGTATACAATAATTACAAAGTTTAAATTATAAAAATTTTCAATTTTTCATGTAATTTCAAAAAAAGTGAAAGTGAGACATTTTTTGAAAAAATGAAAAAAAAACAATTTTTAGCGAATTTTTTCCCATTTTGTTCTGTTTTTGATTGCATATCAAATTTAAATGGAAACTGCCATAAATCTTTTTCAAAACCAAAACATTGAGTTTCGAAAAATCAGTAATATGTCGTTCAAAATATAAAAGAATATGGAATAATAAAGGAAAAGTACGAAATCGGAAGACCTGAACAAAATCACATCACAATAGAACTTAACTGACACTTCTAGGAACCCCCAACCAACGTTTTAGTTCATTTCATCGAGTGCCAGCAAGCCAGGCGAGGAGATGCTTTGCGGCGGCGGTGTGCCCCATATGCCCCGTATATGCCCCATACCGGCGTCCTTTCCCTGTACCCAATTCATTGGCGCGTCCTCCGTCGCCCATCCATTATGCGTATGCGCGCCCAGGACCTGTGAACAGTGGTCGAGTGGATAGTGGGGATGAATAGTAATCACAAGTTTGGGGTTCGATTCCGTCACTCTCCATTTTCTTTTTTCTTTTTTTTTCTTTGATTTTGGAGGAATTTTTTGAACTTTTCGAAAATCAAAACTATGTTTGCTCTATTATTTCAGTAGGAAAAAAGCTCGAAAAAGATAATTTCTGAAAAATTCTTGAAGCACTGCTGAAAAGCCTTATCTACTCAAAATGTCAGTCTAAATCCCCCGTTTTGATCACATTGGTTGCGGAACTGTTATAAATCAGTCAAGAAGTATGTAAATCTATGTTTTCACAAGATTTAAGTGCTATTGGGTGATTTTCTAAGGACTACGATTCATTGGAGTTTTGGAAGAAATCACTTATTTCGGATTTCAAAACGGATATAGGCTACAGAATCATGTGAAAAGACTCATTTTATCGTTTTTATGCGTTTAGAATTCATTTTAGCACATTTAAACAATTTTCGAAAAATTGTAAAATTTCGCAAAGGGTACCCATGGCAAAAATTTTTTCAAAAAATTTTTTTTTGAAAAATGAGGAAACTTTGTCAGATTGTAGAGAAACCTTTAAAATTGCGATTGACACTCAAATAATGCCAAAAGACTCCCGTTAACCCTTTCAAAAACTCACTCCAAAAGTGAGAAATTAGTACTGAAATCACCTAAACAGCCCATAACTCGACTTCTAGAAATTAGTGCTGAAAACCAAATGCATCACAAGAAAGCCCGTATTTGAAACTATAAATGAGCAAATTTAGAAAAAATTCTGAGATGAAGGCTAAACATGGTTCCCTTGTGAGATAAAGAGCCTTAAAGTTGGAGGCTGATAAAAGCCTAAACTTTGTGCCAATTTATTCGGGTTGCTGTAAAAGATATCAAAAAATGATCAACTAACAAAATGTCTATCACAATATCAGCTATATTTTATCAGTGGACCACTATTTGATATCTCCTACAGTAACCGAGATATATGGGCTCTAAAGGAACTCACTCTGCAATCTTCTTTTCGTTTTTGATGATCAACTCGAATGGAGCATCGAACACCAGCTCAGTCTGCTGAGCATATGTGACCACGGATATCTGAAATTGCTCAGAGTTTTCAAAAAATACAGTACGACACTCCGCCTACCATAACCGATGCAGTATCCTCGTGTCCGGCACCATCGGTAACCACTACTGTAAACGAGTAGGAGGAGTCTTTGAGCAGCTCGTTTGCCGTGATTTCTCCAGTTGTTTATCGATTTGGATTGGGGATTCGGATGCCGTGAAGGACTGAAAATAGAATTATCGATTTTTTGAGGTCAAGGGCTTCAAAATGAATATAAACATCGTCAGGGTCGCGGCGGCCCACGACGGCCTCTCTAACTTGGAGTCAATTTATCCCAGTTGTTATATGAGAAATATCAAAAAGTGTTCCACTGATAAAATGTTTATCATAAAATCAGCATTTGTTTATCAGTTGACAACTTTTTGATATCTTCTACAGTAACCGAGATATAGGGGTTTGAAGTTAAGACTTAAGTCGAAGCTTAATTTTTAGCGCCAAAATCAAGCGCAACTTTAAGCTTCCACTTTAAACCCTTATATCTCAGTTCCTGTAAGAGATATCAAAAAGTGATCAACTGATAAAATGTTTATCATATTATCAGAAGTTCTTTATCAGTTGATCCCTTTTTGATATCTCCTATAGGAACGGAGATATAAGGGCTTAAAGTTGAACAATCGGTGCATGAGCTACGGTTCGGTTGCAGGCCTCATAACTTTGAGCCAATTTATCTTGGTTACTGTAGGAGATATCAAAAAGTGATCAACTGATAAAATGTTTATCATATTATCAGAAGTTCTTTATCAGTTGATCCCTTTTTGATATCTCCTATAGGAACGGAGATATAAGGGCTTAAAGTTGAACAATCGGTGCATGAGCTACGGTTCGGTTGCAGGCCTCATAACTTTGAGCCAATTTATCTTGGTTACTGTAGGAGATATCAAATAGTAGTCAACTGATAAAATGCTACTGATATTATGATAAGTAATTTATCAGTTGACCACTTTTTGATATCTCTAACAGGAATTGAGATAGAAAGTTTAAACAGACTAAAATTGCGAAATTTCAAAATATGTTGTACGGTATACTGTATGTTGAAGGTACTGTATCCACAAAATTCAAATTCTCTACCTGACTAGGCGATCGAACAAATCCTCGTATACTGTACTTCAATCCCTCCAGCTCCTCGTCCGCATCCGTCGCCTGTACTGTCAAAATGTGACTTCCACTGGTGACGTGTCCCTGGACTACGGTAGTTGTGTAGATTTTCTCAGAGAACTTTGGGAAATTATCGTTGACATCTAGAACATCAATTAGGGCCACGATGGTTCCGTTGATTGGCTTGTGTGGGTCTCGACACGAAAGATGACAGTCGTAGGCGGTGATCTGGAAAACAAAATGATCCATAACTCGATTAGTTTTCGCATAATTTCGATGAAAATCATATTTTTGTGTTCAGCTTAGAAATAGCTTCAAAATGAGCATAAACACCGGCTAGTTCGAAGAATGTCGATTTTTTACATTTTTGGCGCCAAATTCAAAATTTCATATTTCCAAAGAATAACTCATAACTCGGCTTATTTTTATTCAACCATAACAAACATGCTATCATTCGATTTGTCTTGGCAAGAACTTCAAAATGAGTATAAACATGACCTATTTTGAAAATTATTGATTTTTGGCATTTTTGGCGCCAAATTCAAAATTTCATATTTCCAAAGAATAACTCATAACTTGGCTAGTTTTGAATCAATTACAACATACACTAAACCAATGAATTTGACTTGTTAAGAGCTTCGAAATGAGTGTAATCATGACCTATTTTGAAAATTTTCCGTTTTTGGAAATTTGGGCGCCAAATTTGAATTTTCCTTATGCAAAGAATCACTTATAACTTGAGTAGTTTTGAGCAAATTAGAATGAAACTTATATACTTTTGTTCAACTCAATCAGAGCTTCAAGGTAAGTATAATCATGAACTACTTTGAAAATTTTTAAGTTTTGGCATTTTAGGCGCCAAATTCAAAATTGCATCTTTTAAAAGAATGTCTCATAACTTGGCTAGTTTTTGTTCAATCCCGACAAAAACTTTACCATTAAATTTGTCTTGTTAAGGGCTTCAAAATGAGTATAATCATGACCAATTTTGAAAATTTTTAAGTTTTGGCATTTTAGGCGCCAAATTCAAAATTTCTTTTTTCAAAGAGAATGTCTCATAACTTGGCTAGTTTTTGTTCAATCCCGACAAAAACTTTACCATTAAATTTTTCTTGTTGAGAGCTTCAAAATGAGTATAATCATGACCAATTTTGAAAATTTTCCATTTTTGGGTCCCACCACAAAAATGCGCCAAAATTAAAAATTTCTCAAAATCCAGTCATGTTTATACTCGTTTTGAAGCTCTCCTCAAAACAAACCCAACCACATACCGTAATCTGATGCTGCTTTTTGTGTTCTCTGTCAAAACTGGAATTTGTGAAAAGCACTGGAAGTGTCGGGTCGGCGAAGAAGAAAATGGGCGTATCAGTGGTATAGCACACTTTGGTGTTGTCCGAATGAAAGTCTGAATCCAAGGCGGCTGGAATCCGACCCACTTGTCGTTTGCCCTTCTCGTTTTCTAGGACAGTAAGGCGGACGTCCTGGAAATTTGAAATTTTTGAAAAAACAATGTTTTTGGATTACTGTACCTGTTTGGGGAACATTGGGCAGTTATCATTCCGATCGTTCACAGATATGAAAAGATGTGTTGAGGTGCAATTGTCCACACGGCAAGCGAGGATCTGGAAATTTCAGAGAAATGTAAAAAAAAATTTTTTCCGACAACCCAAAACCTTAAGGAGCTGAAATACAATTTTAATAACACTCACCTTAATCTCATGAACCGTCTTCTTCTCGAAATCAAACGGCTGCTTGGCTCGGAGGCTTCCGTTTGTCTCACCGATGGTGAACATTTGCCAGTCCTGAAAACCCACGGAATTGATTTCATTTTTAAATTGGACAACGAATTCATACTCATCACATTAAGAGCTTTGGAATGAGTATAAACAAGGCATGTTTTTCGAAAACTTTGGATTACGGTTCTTTTTCGTGGCGGGACCCAAAAATCGAAAAATTTCAAAGTAGGTCATGTTTATACTTGTTTTGAAGCCCTGTCAACGACAAACAAAATGGTATTATTTTCATACAATTTGAAAAAAAACTAGCCAAGTTATGAGCGAATCTCCGAAAATCGGAAAATCGAATTTGGCGCCAAAAACGCCGAAAATCAAAATTTTTGAAACTAGGTCAAGTTTATACTAATTTTAAAGCTCTAAACAAAAAAATTGAATGGTAGGATTTTTGGTGAAATTGAATCAAAACTAGCCGAGTTCTGAGAAATTTGTCACAGCTTCGTTCCTTCAGCTTCGCGCCAGAAATTCCAGGAATCAAAAGTTTTGAAACTAGGTCAAGTTTATACTCATTTTGAAGCTCTGAACAAAACAAATTTAAAAACTTGATTTTTGTAAAAATCGAATGAGAATTGGCCAAGTTATGAGTGAATCTAAGAAAATTGAAAAATCGAATTTGGCGCCAGAAATGTCAAAAACAAAAATTTTTGAAACTAGGTCGTGATTATACTCATTTTGAAGCCTTTAACAAAACAAATTCAATGATTTAGTTATTGTCAAAATCGAATGAGAATTGGCCAATTTATGAGCCATTCTCCAGAATTTCGAAAATCGAATTTGGCGCCAGAAATTCCAGAAATCAAAATTTTTGAAACTAAGTCAAGTTTATACTAATTTTGAAGCACTTAACAAGACAAATCAAATGGTAGCATTTTCAATGAAATTGAATCAGAACTAGCCGAGTTATGAGCAATTTTGCACAGCTTCGTTTTTTGAGCTGGCACCAAAATTGCCAAAAATCAAAAATTTTGAAACTAGGTCATGATTATACTCATTTTGAAGCTGTTAAAATGACAAATTCGATGATATTAATTTCATTAAGTCTGCATCCAAACTAGTCAGGTTATGAGTGATTTACCAAAATTGAAAAAAAAGGAATTTGGCGCCTAAAATGCCAAAAATCACAAATTTTCAAAAATATGTCATGATTATACTCATTTTGAAGCTTATCACTAGCCGAATCCAAATTTGAATGAAACCCCCACCTTCTTAAACATCTCATCCAACCGGAACTTCACATTATCCCGCTCTCCTTCCTCCTCCAACACCTTCACCCTCAATAATTCCTCATAAACAATGTTCTCATCGAAATAGTGAATTGAATTCTGTTTCGGAGACACTACCAACGGATTGTGATGAGTGTTCTTAGCCGGGTATACTGTAACACAGTACGGTGACGTGGCAGTCAGTCCCCCTGGGTCCCGAGCGGTTACTGTAGAGCAGATTCGTTGGCCTGCGTGTCCTTTAAGCGGGCTTTGAACAACCAGTTTCTTATCCTGGTCCACATGGAAAAGTGTTGAATTCGCATCAATTGACGTCTTCTGAACACCTCCTTCATCTGAATCCGAAACCACTAGAACTGTGATCACTTGTCCTGGTTGGGCATCCTCCTCAATTGATAAATGGGTGAGATCAGTGTTATGGATAACTGGCGCATTGTCATTCACATCGATTACTGTAACTGTGATTGAGGCGAAGACCTCGTGGTGGGGATCTTGGCCTTGGTTATCGACGCATTTGATGCTCAGGGAATGAACGCGTTGGGTCTCGTAGTCCAGTGGAGCGACGAGGCGGATTGTGGAGTTGCTGAAAGTTAAGCTAATTTATCTCGGTTCCTGTGGGGGATATGAAAAAGTAGTCAACTGATAAAATGTTGCTGATAATATGATAAACATTTTACCAGTTAACAATTTTCTGATATCTTCCACAAGAAGTGAGATACAGCACTAAACGTTCTGTGGACGCGCTTAGCTGGAGGTTGCGGTGGGCGTGACAGAAGGGGACCCAAAACTTTGAGCCAATGTATCTCGCTTCCTGTGAAAGAAATCAAAAAGGTGTCAACTGATAAGATGTTGCTGATATTATGATAAACAATTTATTAGTTTACAACTTTTTGATATCTTTAACAGTAATTGAGATATAAAGATTCGAAATTAAGATGGAGCCCATTATAACAGACGTTCTAAAATGACCCGCTAACTTTGAGTCGATTTATCTCGGTTACTGTGAGAGATATCAAAAAGTTATTAACTAACAAAATGTTCATTATATTATCAGTAACATTTTATCAGTTGTCCACTTTTTGATATCTTCCACAGGAATCAAGATAAACGAGCTCAAAGATTCTATTAGAATGTTTACGGTAAAACTCACCTCTCATCAATCTTAAAGAATCCCTCATCTCCAGTCATACTGTACTTCAACGACGCAAATTTACTACTGTCTCGATCGGTAGCCAACGGATACGGTAGATCGAGTACCGTACCCAAAACCGAGTTCTCCAGAATGGAAACCGCGAAATTTGAGGAATTCTTGAAGATTGGTCTGAAAAAAGTATCTTTGAGTTAATTAATTACCCTTAATTATGATAATTAGTAACCGATTATCGTTAGCATCTTGAATGGTTAGTAGGAATGGACACGTGGCGGTTTTGGAGTTTTTCAGAAGTTTCGATTCAATGATTCCTTCGATTTTTCGCTCGGTTTCGAAATTCAAAGTTTTCAAAATTCGAATTGTTCCGAATCGATCGATTTGGAGTTTTCCTTTTGGTCCGGATGTGATTTTTAGGGTGTATCTGAAAGGGTTACTGTAGGTATAAGCTAGGGTTACTGTAGATAGGGTTACTGCAAGTTGGGTTACTGTAGTTTTAAGCTAGGTTTACTGTAGATTGGGTTACTGTAGGTTTAAATCATGGTTACTGTAGGTTCAAGTGAAAAAACGGGGTAAAATGGGTTAGGGTTACAGTAGGTATAAGCTTGGGTTACTGTTGGTTTGGGTTACTGTAGGTATGAGTTGATGTTACTATAGGTATTTGTTTGATTATTGTAGGTATATGTTCGAGCTACTGGAGGTATGAGCTTTGGTTACTGTGGGTATAAGTTTGGGTTAGTGTAGGTTTAAATTATGATTACTGTAGGTTGAGTTGTTGTAGGTAAAAGTTAGGGTTCTTGTAGTTATAAACCAGGGTTACTGTAATGTTATGTTTCGGTTACTGTAGGTTTAAGTTAATGTTACCATAGGTATAAGTTAGAGTTACTATAGTTACAAGTTAGTGTGGGATTACTGTAGCTTCCACCTACTTCATGTCATCTGTCGATTTGACCCCTTCCACTGGCACCTCACCTACAGTAGTCCCGACAGTCGCCGATTCACTTGTCACAAACTTTCGGGGTACTGTAGGATTACTGTAGATCGGTGTGACGTCATCGGTATCCATCACATTGATGATCAACTCCACTGGCACCTCTCGTTTCCCTTTTCTCATTGAAATGTGTAGTTTGATTTGTTTCACTCTTGATGGGTCCACTTTTTTCAGCGTATGGATTCTTCCAGATTTCGCGTCGATGGATATCCACGTGGCGACTTCTGAATCTGGGAAGCCTTGAGCAGAGGCTTGAATGATTTCGTAGGTGTAGCCAGGCATGCCGGCGTTGAGCCATTTGATTTCGGACTGGAAGAAAAAATTATATAACTGCTCTTTGAGCTCAATTATCTCGGTTTCTGTGCAAGTTATCAAAAAGTGGTTAACTGATAAAATGTAGCTGATGTTATGATAAACATTTTATTAGTTTACAACTTTTTGATATCTTTAACAGTAATTGAGATATAAAGATTCGAAATTAAGATGGAGCCCATTATAACAGACGTTCTAAAATGACCACTTTTTGGTAGCTTTCACAGTAACCGAGATAAACCGAGTCAAAGTTAAGATTTCGGCAGCTGACCGTGTAGCTCATCAGGCAAGCGCCGACTTTCCAACTTTGAGCAGATTCATCTCGGTTCCTGAGTAAGATATCAAAAAGTAGTTAACTGATAAAATGTAGTTGATTTAATGATAAGCATTTTATCAGTTATCCACTTTTTAATAGCTCTTACAGTAACCGAGATAAATGCGCTTCAAGTTAAGAGGTCGGCAGCCGACGGTGTCGCTCATTTGGCAAGCGTCGACTTTCCAAATTTGAGCCAGTTTATCTCGGCTCCTATGAGAGATATCAAAAAGCAGTTCACTAATACAATGTTTATCATAATATCAGTAACATTTTATCAGTTGACCACTTTTTGATATCTCTTACAGGAATTGAGATAAGTTGGCTTAAAGTTAGAGATGTCTTTTTATCGGTGCATTCACGGTACGTTCTTCAAAAATCTAGATCATTTGGCTCCCTTCTCACCTTCTCTCCTCCCGTATCATTACTATTGATCTGTGTCGTCAGCTCGTTTTCAATTGATTTCATCGCTCGATGCTCATTCAACACCACCTGAGCCACTGCCTGATTCTCCGGATCACCACCATCCGATGCGGTCACATTGAACTCCAAATTCACGTTTTTATCCAAAATTCCGGGTCCAATGAACACGATTTCACCGGAATCTGACACTTTGAACTGAGGATTTGCACTTGAATACGTCACATAGTTGTTTGGTGACGTGGCATCAGAATCGGTGGCTTGAAGACGTCCAATGACTCCACCAGGAGAGATATTGGCGTCTAGTGGGATCGAGTAGCGAGAGTTTGAGAATATTGGAGCGTTATCGTTGATGTCCTGGAAAAAGCTAGATTTTCAAAGTTTTAAAATCGTTGTAACATCTCCTAACTTGTTTAAACATTGAATTTTATTGAAAATTTGTACTCAGCACATTTAGCGCTTTAAAATGAGTAAAGCATGACAAACTCAACGGTATTAAATTCATCCAAATTGAATGAAAACTAGCCAAGTTATGAGTGATTCTCCAAAAATTCAAAAATCAAGTTTGGGGCCAAAAATGGCAAATACTGAAATTTTTGAAACTAGGTCATGATCATACTCAATCTAAAGCTCTCATTACGACAAATTTAATGGTATAATTTTTGTCGTAATCAAATCAAAACTAGCCAAGTTATGAGCGGTTTTCAGAAAAATCCTTTTTCAGTTAGGAGCCAAAAATTGCCAAAAATCAAAATTTTCAAAACTAGGTCATGATTATGTTTATTTTGAAGCACTTATTATAACAAATTTAATGGCATAGGTTTTGTTCGAATTGCATAGAAACTAACAAAGTTATGAGGGATTCTCCTGAATTGGAAAATCGAATTTGGCGCCAAAAATGCCGAAAATCAAAATTTTTCAGAAAGTAGGTCATGATTATACTCATTTTGAAGCAATGAACAAGACAAAGACGAAAATCTATATTTCAGGAAATTAGACTTAAAAATAAAAAAGTTAGGGCCTCCTCAACGACTCACCTTAACCCTAATGGTAACCACCACACTGGAGCTTCTCTTCGGCTCTCCAGAATCCGAGGCCGTCACCGTCAGATTCACTTCATTCGTTTCCATAGATTCTCTATCAATCGCACCGATAAAAAGCATTCCATCCGGTGAAATATCGATTGGCAGCTTTTCCATTTTTTGATCTATCGAGTACACAATTTGGCCATTCTTCTCGGCGTCCAGATCAGTAGCCTAGAAGATTTTTTGTAGTTTTTGTAGTTTTTGTAGTTTGTAGTCTCTTACCTTAATCTTCAGTTTCTCACTTTTCCCCTCATCCACCGTTATCACATAATGTGATTTTTCGAAAATTGGCGAATTGTCATTTTCGTCTTTTACAGATATTTGAAGTTGAGCTTTTGCAGAGGCGCCTGGAAATTGGGAATTTAGATTAAAATTTAAACATTTAAAAATTTTAATTTAAATTAAAAAATTTTTAAATGAATTTTCAAAAAACCAGCTTGTTTGCCGCGCCTCCGGCGCTTCAAACAGCTGGTTGGTGCGCCTTCGGCGCGAAACCAGGGAACGTCTCCAGAAGGCTTCAAAATCAAAAATTCGAAAAACGAAACATTGGGGCATCATCTTGCTACTATTTTGGATTATCTGTGAAAATTTGAGAAATTTTGGTCTCCTGGTTCCTTCGCTCGGGCCGGTGACACGGAACAAACGGACCCACACACAGAATTTGTTGATTATTAATAGTAAAGATTTAAATTTTTTTTTATTTTCAAAAAAAATTACAAGTTGAATAAAATTCAAGATAAGCTGAAATTTTTGAAATTTTGTGTCCCAGTATTACCATTCTGATCCGTCGCTTTGACTATCAATTCGAACTTTTCCGATTCCTCCCGATCGATTTTCTCCAAATTTTGAATTTCTCCACTTTGAGCAATTTCAAATTTCGCGGCATTTTCTCCCAACAACTCAAAAGTCACTGGTCCATCACTTATCACTTTAACACCCCCTAAAACTGTTGGCTCTCGATTTTCCATCACTTGAAACTGGTATTCCGATTTTTCAAATTTCGGAATCATTTTTAGTTTTTGAGTGGGCGGAGCCAATTTTGGGGGCGGAGTTGGAGCCATGGAGCGGAGCACAATACGACATTGACCCGATAAAGATTTCACCTGGAATTAATTTTTGAGAAATTTTAAAAAGTTGAAAAAATTAAAAAAAATTGTTTTTTTTTCAAAAATTCCAAAACTCACCAATAACTGCGCATTATCCAAATTCTGAGCTGCTATTTTTTTCGAGTCTATAATGGTTAATTCCATATGAAAATCATCCAAAACTTTCAGATCGAAACTTTCAGAGCCACCAATTAGGCGAGGCTTTTCCTGAAATATCTTACTTTTCAGTTTTATTACTGTAATCCTCTTAAAATTCAATTCTAAACCACGAAACTTATATATTACTGCAAAGCTTTTCAAGAGCTTCAAAATGAGTATTAACAGTTTGAAAACACAGTTTGAAAATTTTCAAATTTTGGCACATTTTCGTGGTGGGACCCAAAAATTGGAAAATTTCAAAGTGGGTCATGATTATACTCGTTTGAAAGCCTAAAACACAACAAATTCAATGGTATAGTTTTCGTTGTAACTGCTTCAAAACCAGCCGAGTTATGAGCAATTGCCTGAAATTGGGAATCTCGAATTTGGCGCCAAAAAAAGCAAAAAACAAAATTTTCAAAATAGGTCATGTTTACACTCATTTTAAAGCTCACAACGAGAAAAATTGAATGGTGTCATTTCTGTTGAATATGAATGAAAACTAGCCAAGTTATAAGTCATTCTAAAAAAAGAGATTTTGAATTTGGCGCCAAAAATGCCAAAAATCGAAAATCATTAGATCATGTTTATACTTATTTTGAAGCCCTAATCACAAGAAACTCAAAATTAGTAATTTCCCTGAAAATGGATAAAAACTAGCCAAGTTATGAGTAATTCTTTAAAATAGCGGAATTTCGAATTTGGCGCCCAAATTGCCAAAAATCGAATATTTCCAAAATAGGTCGTGTTTATACTCATTTTGAAGCTCTTGTTAAGCTGAACCCAATAATATAAATTTCATCGTAGTCCGCAGAAAAATAACAAAGTTATGGGACATTTTACCGAACCTAACCATACCAAAAAATCAAAAATTTCGAATATGTTCGTGTTTATGCTTATTTTGAAGCTTTCAAAAAGATAAACCCAAAAACACCAACCTCATTCACAGATTTCAAGGTTTTAATCCTTAAAGGAGCTGAAAACTGGCCGGTACCCTGAACCAGATGAGCCTCGTAGATTGGGAATTCACAGAACTCGCCAGTTGGTTTTTCCTGGATTTTTTAAAAATTAAAAATTTTAGAAAAATTCTAGAAATACCTGATTTTCAATTTTCGGCTCTTCTTTATTCTCTGGAACACTTTCAGACACTTTCAGTCGCATTTCCACTTCTCTGGATTTTTGATTTTTCGATGACGTGGCTTTGATTTTCAGTATTTGCACGTCTTCTGTACTAGGGAGCTGGTTTAGGGTCAATATTCCAGTTTTGGCATCAATTTGGAAATTTGGGTTTTCAGAAATCCCGAATTCCACCTGCCCATCTGAATTCTCCACGTCTAGAGCCTCAATTTCAGCTACAGTATCGCCAGACTTAGCATTTTTGGAGATTTCAAACAATTTGGAGAAATCCGTCAGGAATTTGGGTGGCTCACTGAAACAATTTTAAAAAATCTAGTAAAAAATTCAGCAGACGTACTCATTTTCATTTTTAACCTGTACTGTGACAGTATGGGTTACTGTATGCGTCCGGTTGGAGTGTGGATCTCCGTCTTTTACGGTGATATTGAAGGTGTGGAGGGATTTGCTGAAAAAATAGGACCTCCAGAAGTCATTATATAGGAGTACGAAGAAAACAAAAAAGAAAAAAGGATTTCTCCCCGGCCGGGAATTGAACCCGGGTCTCGCATGTGACAGACGCGGATACTCACCACTATACTACCGAGGACACATTCCTGTAGGCGCCTCTTATCGTATAAGAACGGCGGCGCGCCGACTCACCTCTCATAGTCAAGCTGCTTGGAGAGACGCAGAGTGCTAGAGCATTTTCCATTGGCGCATTTTCTCTTGTCCACTTGGAAATGTTCGTCTCCCTGGAAAAATAGTTTTTAGGTGAAATTTTTTGAGGAATCTAATGAAAACAATGAAAAATACCTCAATCGAAAACCTAGAAATCCCTGAAATACCAGTGTCTGGGTCCAGAGTGTGGATTTTGAAAAGTTCCGTTCCAATTTCAGCATTTTCAGATATTTCAAATGTGCTGGGGGTGTTGATAAACTGTGGAGCGTTATCATTAACATCCACGACCTGAAAATCGCAGATTTAGCGGAAGTTTAGGACCATTATACGCTATTCCGTCGAATATTATGCTGGGAAACACGAAATATAGAAGAAACAGTGTTTCAAAATGACTGTAAATCCTTTTAAACCATTTTGCGAAAAAGCAAAAAGAAAATTAGCCGAGGTGGAGTCGAACTTGTGAGCCTCAGATCCAAAATCTGGAGTGTAGGCACTGCGCCACACAGGTCATTTGAGGAAAGAGTGGTGGAGGGCGTACAAGAAAGGGGGAGAAGCGGCAAGCCTCGGGCTCTGGCCACACCAATTGGAGTGAGGGCACCACACCAAGGGGTGGCGCAATGGTAGTGCGCCAGACTTCAGTTCAGAGGGTCATAGGTTCGTCTCCACCTGGCATAGTTATCTTTTGCTTTTTTCGCTAGCCATGGTAACATGTCTAAACTCTTCCATAAACACTTCTAACTTGTTTTCGCTTGGGGTTTTCAGCACTTTTTGAGAGAAAATTGGGTACAGTAACCCAAAATTTTGAATTTTGCGCTCCAATTTTCGCTACAGTAACCCCAACTGCCCTCACCTGCACTTCCAATGTGGCTCTCGACTTTTTGGGCCCCGCGACAACGAGCGAAAAGGATTGTCCCCGTATTCCATCGGCGTTTTCTTTCTGAAAATATATTAATATAGGATGATGCATATAGATACACTTGAAACCATTCCTATGAAAATAGTATGGATAATTAGGAGAGTGGTTTGCAATTCAGGAGGCAAAATACTTGAAAGTCAATTGGGCGGACGTGTCTAAGAGACTCTAGATGTGTCTTTTGGACATCGGCAAGCCTTTTATCTTGTCTAGAATGATTTAATTAAAAATAAAAAAAGAGTTTGAGCCCAAAGGGGGATTGAACCAGGGACCTTCGGAACCAAAAGCAAGGTCGCTAGCCAGCACACCACGGCGCGCATTAGAGGATTAAGGGTGAGAAGGCGGATAAGAAGGAGGGTAAATGGCTGCGCCGCTAGGGGGTGAGCCGTCGCCAAGGGGTGGAATAAATCTGAAATCGAAAATTTTTTTTTGGAATTTTCCAAAGTTCAATTCTGAATTTTTCAAATCGGTCCCTAATATTTCCTATTCTCTAGGTCTTCGCCTAATTACTATTACTGCCAAACGAATAACCATTTCTCTGCCCCTCTCCTCACTTCCCATACTATTTCCCAATATTATTCATTTTCCATTTTCAATTAGCACCCCCGTTTCCTTTTGATTTCCTTCCTCTTCTTCTTCTTCTCATTCTTCTAGAATAAGAATCCATAGTCACCACCAATCAGTCGTCAAAACGTGTTATGTTTTTGGGATTTACTTCTTCCTCTCTCCTCTAGAAAATGCCTCAAGGGCAACAATCCTTTTGGTTTTGTTCGAAATCCTACCAGGAATCCAAAAAAAAACTTTGGCATCATCTTATTCTCCGATTTACACGCCTGTTATATAGAGAAGGGGGTGGCTATGCTATTCAAATCGAGAAGCAAGGACGATTATCTCCTCTCAATACGCTATTCAGGTGGAAATACGGAAGAAAAAGTGTTTCGAAATGGTTGTAAACCCATTTAAATGTGGGGGGACATGAGAAGAATAATGTTGTCGAAATTCCGTTTAAATATGCTCCTCGAGGAGTTGAACTTGTCGAGGCGAGTGTTGGAGGTGCGGCGCCGCTACCGACTGAGCTACGCGTGCAAAGAGAAAGGCGTTGCCCGATTGCATACATAAAGGCGAGGGCGACAGCTGTACGCAGAGTGACATTAGGCGTTGTACACCGTTACGGTAGAATGCATACTCTGGCCCCAAAAATCCCCCGTAAAATCTCCTGTCCCCCCACCTTTAAACACTTTTGCAAAAAAACAAAAGGAGCCCGGGTGGAATCGAACTTGAGAGCGTCATATCCAAAAGCGGGAGTGTAGGCACTGCGCCACACAGGTCAATTGAGCAAAATGTGGTGGGGGCGTATAAGAAAGGAGGGAGAGAAGCGGCAGCCGCGGGCTCTGGTGGCGCCACCCCAAACGGTGTGAGGGCACCGCACCAGGTATGGCGCAGTGGTAGTGCGCTAGGTTATCGTTCAAAGGGTCATGGGTTCAATTCCACTTGGTGTATTTTTCTTTTACTTTTTTCGCTAGCCATGGTAATATGTCCCAAAACCCTCCAAAACCATTTTGAAGCAGTTTTCCTTTCTAGATTTTCGAGTTTTTTGCAATTTTTGCACTTTTCGAAATTTCAAACCCCTAGAATAAGCAAAGGGGGGGGGGGGGGGGGGTCATCACATCACACATATTTGACCATCTTCCCCCTATGGGGACTGACTGACCAATCTAATCTGTACTGTAAACAACAAAGAAGTCTTCTTCTCCTTCGGTCCCTACCCGAACGATTTTTCCTTTCATATTGACTTTCTTACGGGAAGGGATACAAAACAAGACAAAAGTTCACACTTTTCTTTCCATCTTCTTCCTAGCTTCCGAGAAACTCCGTGATGAGCAACAGCGAGGATTACTGTAGGTCGAAAGACGGTTGTCACGAAAACTGGGAGATTATAGATTATTGGTAAGAAGTAGGAAGATCTTGTGATTTCTGGAACTTTTTTTAGAAGGAAAAAAGGAGGAAAAGCTAATTCGATCAAGTTTATGTGATGAAATCGGTAATGGTGTTGGGATAATCTGCTTATCGAAGCCTAATATTCTGAAGCTTCTAGATGGCATAGCGAAAAAAGCAAAAAGAATTTGGCGAAGCGGGGATTGAACCCGGGACCTTCAAAATGGAAACATGGCGCCCACCAACTGCGCCACAGGATGCAACGAGAGCTATGGTGTGGAGGGCGTATAGGTGGTGGAGGGCGCGCGGCGCCGGGCGACGAGAGGTGAGCGCCATGGCGCTGTCATCCAATGAAGTCAAGTGGTGTAGTAGATGTGTTCCACGCTATCATCCAAGAGGTCCCGAGTTCAATTCCTCTTGACCTAATTATTTTTTTGTTTTTTTCGCTGTCATGGAATATCCAACTAGCTTGGCCATCCAAAAGCCAAAATAGTCAGTTTCAAAGTAGACACTGATCAATTTCCGACCTAAATGAATAATAGATAAAGTTAGGTTTAGATTTCGCTCCTATTATTCACTTCCTAGATTTAATGACACCCCTGTCCATCTCTTCCCTCTAATTGGGGCATCCTCCTTAATTATTAATTGACCATTGGCCTGGAATAGTACACTCCCTCCATCCTCTGCAAGCCACGAACTTCTCCAAGAAAGTACCCGCAAGTCGCCCGCTTATCATCGCCCACCGCACTTTCAGCTGTTGTCGGCGCCTGTGGCGCAGTGGCAGTGCTCCAGTTTTTGGTTCCATAGGGTCCCAAGTTCAACTCCAACCCCTTCTAAAACCTTTTTTGTTTTTCTGTATGATGGCCTAGAAAACCCTGAAAATCGTTTTTTAAGGTTCCTAAACCATCCCATCCCAGCCCCCCCCCCACCCGCTAGGAAAGTGTGTTCCTTGCGGCTTTAGTTTTCTTTACCGCACGCAAATTTCGCGCATCATTGCTAACGTCTTCTTCTTCTTCTTCTCCTCTTCTTTCCGTTTATACGCTATTTCGGTAGCCAGCACCGTTCTTTTCCAAATGTACTAATCACTTGCCATATACATCGGGGCTGACAGAGAGAGAGAGAGACCATAAAAGTATATAGATCTTGGGGATTTTCGGATTTTCTAAGCTTCTACAGATATTTACTTTATAAAATAAATGCAAAAAAATTACAAAAAATTAGGCCGAAATTGATTTTTTGGATTTTTCGGGATTTTTCGAAAAAAATCCCATTTTTGGATTTCCCTTCATCCTCCAGGCAGTTGCCAACGAGGAGCGGCGCCCTCCCCGTTTATCACGGCCCTCCACACCTCTCTCACCAAGGTGCCCGCGTGGCGCAGTGCCTGTGTTTTAGTCTTCCGTTCAAGAAGTCCGGGTTCGATCCCCGTTGGGGTCAATTATGTTTTTTGTTTTTTTTGGAACTTACATCAGCATCCAGAGCCAAATTCAACTGCAAAGTGGAGCAGGTCTCATTGATTTTCACCACACTAAAGTAGTTGGATGGGTCGCCGGAGAGAATCTTGACATTTTTAGGACAGAGCGTTACAGGAAGATGGGTCCCCACTGGCCAATCCTCTTCAACAAGGAGGAACGAGGGTTCGACCAAAAGTTGGGCAGATTCTGAAATTTCAAAAAAAATTAGGTCAAGAATTTTTTTTTTCAATTTCTATTAATTTAATATTTGTTTACCTAGCAATAAGTAGGTGTATATGGAACAAGGTTATTCTAGGTAAATAATCTTTTTTTGAAAAAAAAATAGTAAAAAAAATGTTTTTTGATTTTCCAGAAATTCTCAGATTTAAAAAATCCAATAAAATTAGAAATTCAAAGAGACTTCCAACTGTGATATACATTCGCCTACCTGTCCCTTTAAACCAGAAAAACCAGAAAAATAGATGGAACTTTAAAGGAATCATAGTTGTTGATTATATATCCTCATTGAATTTTTAGAAATAAATTAGAGTAATTAAATAATTAGTAAGAAATTGAAAAATTCAGAAACTTTAGAAATACTGTAGATTCTCCTCTTAGGACACAAACGGAGAAGAAAGGGCTTTGGGGGGCGGACGAAATGGGGGGAGAAGCGAGAGAGTACATAGAAAGAGGAGGGCGCAGAAAGTGGGCGGAGCCTATTTTGGGTGGGGAGAAGGGGAATAAAGCAGTGCAAAGGAACGGCTGCTGATGGGGTGAAGACGAGGAAATTTGATTATTAATAATTTGAAACGTTTATGGAAGGAATTTAGGAGGAAGGAAGGGGGGAAAGGTCTGATTATAAGGTTTCGGGGTCTTATGCTGAGCAATTTGGGAAGGATGTATTCAAAATTTCGGGAAATTCTCAAAATTGGGAGAATTTGGAACATTTATGTACAATTTTTGTCGAGAAAACTTTTAAAATAAGAATTTCCTGAGACTCTGAAAATTAGAAATTAGAAATTTTTGGAATTTTTTTTTTGATTTTTGAGATTCTAAAATTTTAGGAATCTGTTGGGAATTGGCAAAATTTGAATAGAAACCAATTTTCCACAATCGTCAGTATTCTGATCTGACTATTAACATTGTTATACCAAGTCTAATATACCGAACAACCTGTAATTGAATCCCCCCCCCCCCCTTTCTTAAGCTTCTTAACTTTGAGCCTATATATCTCGGTTCCTGTAAAGGATATCGAAAAGTTGTAAACTAAAAAATATTTATCATAGTATAAGCTACATTTTATCAGTTGACAACTTTTTGATACCACTTATAGGAACCGAGATAAATTGACCTAAAGTTAATAGAGCAAAATACAGCAAGAGCCCACCAAAACCGTCAGCTTTCAGCTCAATTATCTTGGTTCCTGTGAGAGGTATTCGAAAGTTGTTAACTGATAAACTCTTTATCATATTATCAGAAGTTATTTATCAGTTGACAACTTTTTGATATCTTTCACAGGAACCAAGATAATTGAGCTCAAACTTGACATTACAGGTTTTATGATATTTCTACACTGTCGGATGCTTCAAAAAATTTCAAAATGTGATAATTAATTAAGAAGAAAAAAGAGATCATCTTTTCTTATCCGACAAATGATTCCTTCTTCTTTCTGAAGTGGGAGATTTATCACCTTATTAGCAGACAAGTGATGGAATGATTGATAGCATTTGAAGATCCTGGATCAGGTAGGATGATATAAAAGAAGAAACGTCTTATAAATCTCTTCGAAAAATGATAAGAAGGTGTTTAAAAAAAACTTAAAAATTTGAAATTAGACAAATCTGGACCCTGAATTTTCAATTTCAAACCTTTTTCGAATACCATAAACACTGTAATAGAAAGCCACCTAACCCGTCAACTTTGAGCCCTTATATCTCGGTTACTATGAAAGATATAAAAAATGTCTCAATTAGTAAAATATTTATCATAAAATCAGCAACATTTTATCAGTTGGCCACTTTTTGATACCTTTTACAGGAACCGAGATAAGTTGACTCGAATTTGGCGGGTTGTTAGGAACCGCCTGACAGAATGACATCCCCTTTACATTGAGCCAATATATCTCATTTCCTGTACAAGATATTGAAAAGTTGTCAACTAATAAAATGTTTATCATAGTATCAGCAACATTTTGTTAGTTGACCACTTTTTGATACCTTTGACAGGAAACGAGCTAAATGAGCTCAAAGTTTGCGGTCTGGTGTATACAGTATCTTGAACTTCAAGTTTCCTGGTCAAATTTGGAGTCAAAATACTTCAAATTTTATCAGATTTTTTACTTTGCTTGAAATTTCTCATCTCTTTGAATTCTGGAACAATTTAACCTGAATTTATGTGATTCATTTTTCTTGTACTCTATTTCCTATACACTAGAATCGCCTATACTTGATAAGATAGACTATACAGAACGAGAGAGAGAGAGAGAGAGAGAGAGTGTAGAGAAACGAGAGACGCAGGGAAAACGAGCGAAGACGATTCCAATATAATCAGTACATTGTAGGCAAGACAAGACTATTTCTTTTGGGGAGGTTTTGGGTGCATTTTGACAATTTTCAATGGCCTGGAATTCCAAAAAATGGATTTCTAGGCCATAGACTTTGGAAATTTCTGAAAATGGCTTCGATTTCAAAAATTTAAATTAAAAATAATTTTTAAAAATTTTCTTCCTTAAATTTCTTATAATGATTGAGTTTTTAGAGCAAAAAGTGCTTAAAATTTTTTTTTGGAATTTTTGGAATTTTTTGATTTTCCAAAAATTTTAAATTTCCGGCTTATTTCCCATTTCAGGAAGTGCATGTGTGAAATCATAATTCAAATTTTCTTATCATTTTTTCCCATTTTTTCCGTTTTCAATGCTCCGCCTTCTTATCATTCTTTATCAATCACTTTCAACCCCAATTTTCAGCTTTTTTTCACCTTTTTTGTCTTAAAATTTTTGTCTGGAACTGTCTTTTTGAAAAAAAACTATCTTTAAATTTTTCAATTTCCCGCCAAACCGAGAATTCAAAAAAAAAAATTCAGATAAATCATGATCGATTCAGTTCGATTTCTGATCGAAAACTGGGAAAACATCGGAAATTCGTTGCTCTACAAATTCAAGGACCAAAAATTCCTGCTAGCTGCTTTAAAGGGTCTTCGGAATGGATTGGTGTAGGATTTTCAGATTTTTCAAATTTTTAAAATTTGAAAAAATTCCAGATATGGAGTTCGAATTCGTGCGCCACACGCCTTGGTGATGGTGTTCCTGTTCGGAGAGGGAACGTAAGTGATTTTTGAGTTTTTTGGGATCTTGAGCAATGTCAAATGTTTTGAAATGTGCAGAATAATATGAAAATGTTTTTCTGAGCATTTTCTGAGCATTTCACAGTTTTCAGAATTGAAAAATCTAGATTTTACAGGTGGGGGGACAGGAGATTTTTCGTAGTTTTTTTGTAGCTAGAGTATGCATTCTACCGTGACGGTGTACAACGCTTAATGTCACTCTGCGTACAGCTGTCGTCCTCGCCTTTATGTATGCAATCGGGCGTGCGCTTTCTCTTTGCCCGCGTGGCTCAGTCGGTAGCGGCGCCGCACCCTCAATCATCGCCCTCACAAGTTCAACTCCTCGAGGGGCATATTTGAACGAAATTTCGAGAACATTATTTTTTTCATGTCCCATCACCTTTAAGGCAAGTTACGCCAATTTTATTGTTGGTGACCTAGAAAAAAATTTCGACCCCAGTTATTTGAAACACTGTGCAAGCATTATAATTTTTATATTTAGATTCAATTAGCTTAAAACTTTAGCTTTTCGATGATATACAAAGTGGCCTAGTTTTGGGTTTCTAGGCCACTAGCTTTGGAGAAGCGTAACTTTTTTGAAAATCGAGGTATAAAAAATACGGTAGCTTGAAACTTCAGCTTTCTAATGATAAACAACATGGCCTAGTTTTCTAAAGTTTTTGGGATTCTATGTCACCAACTTTGGAGACGCGTAACTTTCTTTAACATTTCGACATTTTGGAATGCTTATAACATTCTTCAAAATTAAGACTTTGCAGTTTTAAAAATTTGGTATGGTAGCTTAAAACTTTAGCTTTCTAATAATATACAGCATGGCCTAGTTTTCGTTATCTAGGCCACCAAATTTTAGATTCCTAGGCCACCAACTTTGGAGACGCGTAACTCGCTTCAAGATCAACATTTTTCGATTTTGAAAACTTTATTTAAAAGCCCTTGACCTCCTCTCCATTTTAAAATACATTCCAAAAGTTCAGAAATTTCCAGTGTGCTCGAAAAACTGCTCACCATCTTCCGGCTCACCAAAACACACGCATTGAACCTTGCCAAATTCGTCTTCTCCTACAAATTCCTCCAAGGAGCTCTATCCGAAATGGATGGCAAGAAAAAAGAGTGGCATAGTGCGGCGGCGGCGTTTGTCATGGGCTACTATGTGTTCGGAGAGAACAATGCGGTTAACATGCAGGTAGATTTTTTCGGGATTTTTTTTTTTTGGATTTTCGGTCATTTTTCCCATTTTCAGAAGCCTTTTTATGCACTTTCAATATCAAATTTGAATCCCACTTGCTTTGCGCTTCAAAATGAGCCCAAACACGACTAGGATCCGTCCACTTTGATTTTTTGAGGCGCGTCGCGGTCGGTGCGTCGCGTGTCGAGGGGAAATTTTGAAACTGGCGGAGCCTAGCCGTGTTTGGGCTCATTTTGAAGCACTATAAAAGCCAATTCGATTCGTCTTATTGAAAATTAAATAAGGCTTCATTTGAAAGCTAGAAATCTCAAATAAAGAGCTCTCCGGACCACTGAAAATGGTCAGAATCGCTTAAATTTCTTTAAATTCCAGATCAACTTGTACTTGCTATCCCGTGTCGTGGTAGGGCTCACCAAACTAGCTGCCAATGAAGAAATCATTCCTCAGCCAAGTGAGAATTTCTGAAAATCCCAAAAAAGTTAGAAACACTTTTCCAGACTTCCCGGTGTTCCCTTGGTTTGCCGCGGCGGTTTGGGGTCTGGTCCTTTGGCTGTTCGAATTTCATCCTACAGTACTCCAAGGATCTCTACAAAAATCCATGACCTATTTGTACCATGACTCGAACTTTTGGACTGATATTAAGACTTTCTTGTTGAGAAACAAGTAGATATTTGTGTCTTACGATGTATTTGAATGAAATTTTGGCTTAACTCGTTCTAATTTTGCTCCAATTTCATTTTCAACTAAGCCATTCGATTTGGCTTGTCCATCGCTTCAAAATGAGCTCAAACACGGCTAGGCTCCGCCCACTTTGAAGTTTCACCTCGACACGCGACGCACCGACCGCGACGCGCGCGAAAAATCAAAGTAGGCGGACCCTAGTCGTGTTTGGGCTCATTTTGAAGCGCAAAACAAATGAAATTTGTATATAACGTTTAAAATTCGTAAGAATGAGTTTAGACCCCAATTTTGTACTGAAAACACAAAGAAAGAGGTGTCTTTCAGAAGTTGGAACATAGCTGGAAAACTAGGACTTTCAAAAAAAATCTGTGAATGTAAAGTTTTTAATGTAGGTCTGTTTCACAGCCACTCAAATTTTCAGAGTGATCCGCCAAGCTCCAGACTTCTGAAAATAAATTGAAAAACATGTTTTTTTTTGTATATCTTATTGACCGGTTTTAGGCGTTCATATCAAGATGTCATTTGAAAAGTATGGACCAAAAAAAGCTGGAATTAAAAAAAGATTAGTTTATTGAAATTTGAAAAACTGGAGAAAATGAGAAAAATGATTTTAAAAAAACGGATTTTGGGGAACTGAAGTTTTCTCAATCTGACGTTGTATGCTGTGTGCTTTATTCGGTCGAATAAAGGGAGATTAAATCGGTGGACAAGAATACTAAGAATCTTCCTTATACAGGGTGGCCGATAAGTATAGGACGCTCGCTTTCAGCGTTCCCTGGCACGGTGCCAAGGGATATTTTCGAAAAATTTCGAAACTTTTCGAAAGTCCAGAGACTATATAAGTAAGCTTCTCAGTCATTTGTTCTCACTTCTCCATATCGCCGAGCTATGAAAAGTTCTCCTCATCGTCCTTCCATTGAACTCTTGTTCAAGAGAGGCCTCGGAAGTGCTGAGATCGCTCGACGCCTTCAAATTTCGTCTTCGACGGTTCGAAACGTTGTCGCTGCTATCAAAAAGCGAGGAGATGCTTCTGAAGTAAAAAAAAGCGGACGTCCACGTTCTGTCAACACCCGGAATACTCGTGCAATCATCAAGAAACGGATCATTCGAAATGATGGATTGAGTCTCAATAGGATGGCGTCACAGCTGGAATTGCCCGATCCACTGTCCAATCGATTGTCAAGAACGACTTGAAGCTCAAAAGTTACAAACTACGTCGTGGACAGTACCTCTCGGACAAATCGAAAGCGATGCGACTCGAAAAATGCCGAAAATTACTCCAGCACTTTCAAGTGCGCCGCGTCTCTGACGTTATCTGGACAGACGAGAAGATCTTCACTATTGAACCTCTTCCCAACCGTCAAAACCAGAGACAGTTATTGTCAAAGGATGACAGCATGTCTCCGAAACGTCGTCTTGCCCATAACCGCCTTTTCCCGAAAAGTGTCATGGTTTGGGCCGGTATCACGGCAACCGGTAAAACTCCGTTGGTTTTCATTGAAAGAAATGTGAAAATCAACTCGGAGGTGTACCAAAAGATTGTGTTGATGGATAATTTGTTACCCTGGGTCACTCAGCACTTTGCTGGTGGTCCATTTATCCTTCAACAAGACTGGGCACCGTCCCATGGCTCGAGATCGACATTGGCCGTCTTGGAGGCGCATTTCCCTGGATTCCTGGACAAGAACTTGTGGCCTGCTTCCAGCCCGGATCTCAATCCGATGGATTTCAGCGTTTGGGGCATGTTGGAAGGGAAGATCGCGGGAAAAGTTTTTGCTACTGTCGATGACTTGAAGGCCGCTCTCGAGGTAGCATGGGCTTCGATCGACGACGGATACCTGCGGCGCACTGTCAATTCGGTGAAGAAACGTTTGAGAGCCTGTGTCAAAGCTCGTGGATCCAACTTCGAATTTCTCTTGTAAAATCAAATTTTCTGCTTATTTTTTGTTGTTTAATAAAGGTTGTTCTCGAAAAATCCTCAAATTGAAAAAATGGGAGCACTTTCAAAACGTCCTATACTTATCGGCCACCCTGTATATAAAACGCTAGACGCGTCTGTTGGTCCCGGTATCAGTCTGTCCGGTTTTGGGTTTTTAAATGAAAGGTTGGCCGGCACCAAAACCGAACCAGCGGCCTGTCGCATAATGGCTGCGCACACACACAGCTGCGCCATGAGGGCCACAGAAATAGAAGGGATGGAGGGCGTAGATGTTCTACTGTCTGAGAAAGAGAAATCGAATAGAGGGGTGGAGTGAAGAACCAGTAAAAAATATTGAATTGCGCCGAAGGCGCAGAAGCCAGCAGGCTGGTACTAGATATAAAATCGATACTTTAATATAGTTTTATTCTCAGGATTTAATTCTTAAATAAAATCAGTTCAATATCAATAAGTGTGTAATCCAATCAAAGGGATAACAATTATATCTTATCAGCCTTCTTTTATACTACTCCCTCTTATCCTTCTCTGTCTCCGTCTCTCCTCATCCTTGCCTTCTTCTGGTTACTGCTCCCATCTATCCCATTTCTTGGTATTGGCTCCTGGCTCCCGTCTCTGCTCTTCTTGATTGTCAGGTGGTGGTTAAGTCTTGATTGATTACTTTATACTCTGGCTCTTTGATCCTCTGGACCATGGTCGGTTAAGACAGACGGTTTCTTCCAATATGGCCGATTTCGTTTTTGACATGTTCCATTTTTCCTCGTAGACTGCCTCGCTGAAACGATGTTGGGGAGGTCTGCATGGTGACTTTTCCCTCGGGTGAGGTGGACCTCGTAAAAGTTAGGACGTTGGTAGAATTTTCATATCATCTTTGGCACCATATGAGCATCGTCGTGACTCTCTGTCATCGGTAGTGTCGATCTCAATATGGACTAGGTCCTTTGGAATGAAGAAAGGGTCCACTTTTTAAAAAATCCACTTCAATGTCCAATCGGATGTCCCACGATCGCTCTGGATCAGTCAACTCAGCATAGGTCTGAAATTGTTTTCAGATTTATATTATTAGTTCGCCAAAAATCCTTGAGAATTTCATTTTGTGGAAATTATTTTTCAACTGATGTTCTTCTAATCATGTCTAGGATCGTTTTTATGCACTTTTAACATTAAATTTGAGTTCCACTCGTTTTGCGCTTCAAAATGAGCCCAAACACGACTAGGCTCCGCCCACTTTGATTTTTTGAGGCGCGTCGCGGTCGGTGCGGCGCGTGCCGAGGCGAAATTTCAGAATGGGCGGAGCCTAGTCGTGTTTGGGCTCATTTTTAATCTCTTAATGCTTCAAATGCAACTTTTTTATAAAACTAAGAAACATTTGAAGGATGATGGGAGATATAGAAAACTCAACTTTTTGAAATTTTCAAAAAACGGAATTTTTCGAAACTTTTTCGAGTGGATTGTGCTTGTTTTTCGCTTCAAAATGAGCCCAAACATGACTAGGCTCCGCCCACTTTGGTATTTTAGGCGCGCCGCGGTCGGTGCGTCGCGTGCCGAGGTGAAATTTCAGAATTGGCGGAGCCTAGCCGTGTTTGGGCTCATTTTGAAGCGCTAGACAAGCGAATTTGATTGATCTTGTTAAAAATGAAGTTGGAGAAAAGTTAGAAGCCAATCAAAGTGGATATTTCAGAATTTTCAGAAATCTTCTTGGAATTTCAAAGTTTCCATATTTAATTTTTTTTTCAGATCTTGAAAATAACTAAAAAATTCAGAGAATTTTAAAATTTAAAATACAGCTTTTGGAAGTTCTACAAAAACAACTCACTTTTCGAAAATTTCGAAATCAATATTCTCAAAAAAAAGCAAATCAAAATCTCGAGACCTTTTCAGTCAAGGTTTCATGAGACTTGATTATAAAAGATTTATGTAGAAATCCTAGACCATTTAAATAGCAGAAAAATAAAGAAAAAAAGACACCTAAACCACACGGCGTCTGTTGGGGAATGAGGCTTCTGGAGAAAGCGAGCGAGAGAGCGAGAGAGAAAAGGAGACGCAGAGGAAAAGAAAAAAAAGCGGCTTGCTCGTTTAGTTCCCCGGAAAAGAGTAGAAAACAGTGTGAAAAAAGAAGAGAATTTGAGAAAACGCTTTGCATTTGAAAAGAGAGCCGTCATTTGTCAGAGGCGAGTGGATAGAGGAAATGTGCAATTTCGGTAAAAATTACATTTTTGCCAGTCTGAAAAACTAGCCCCAACATTTTCTATTTGTCTGAAAGTTTCAGAAGATACTAAACTAAACTAGCTCTTCATTTTCGTATTTGACAACTTTTTTGAAAAACCAAATCCAAGAGAGATATGACACGTGGAAGATCCCCTCTTTGGGCGCCCATCTGCCGGAGGGTGAGGCGCTTCCACGTGGCATATCTTTCTTCTATGGATTTCTATCAAAAAGTTGTCAACTAAGAAAATGAAGCTCTAGTTTTGTTCTTTAATATCTGAAATTTTCAAAAATATTGAAAAATTATGAGCCTATTTTTAGAAGTCTTGAAAAGTTGGCAGCCAAGGAATTCTGAAAAAAAAGTTTGGCTCAAAAACTTTGTTCATACATTTGCACAAAAAAGAATTCCAGGTTTCAACTTTTGATGTGGACCCTGGAAAACATATTGGACCTTGAAAAGGGCCTTAAAAATCCATTGGTCCGCCGGTAGTTCGCCATCGGTCCGTTGGTTCCCCGTCGGCTCCCAACTAGCAAATATTCCCCAGTTTTTGACTCTCAAGCTGTGATTTCAGCAAATTTTCAGCAGTACCATTTTACATATCACCTCCTGGCACCTAGTCCAACAAGTGCAAATTCTCGAAATTTCTAGAAAAAAATTTTCTTCATGTCCCCGCACCTTTAATCTCTTTTTTTCCTCTTTCTTTCCAATCCTCAGAGCAAAACTCTAATCATGTGATAAGATACTGATAAACTCTGGGATTAGAATTATCTGGGATTGCAGTCATGTGAAAATGTAATCCCTTGTTTATATCACCTGCCAATTTTCCATTTCTTGTGCTATACGAATTTTCAGAGATGGATAATCCCGTGGAGACGCAGAGGAATTCAATTTGAGCTTTAAAAAAGAGAAATTGAAGATTTTCAGGAATACTTTCAAAATTATATATGAATTTTCAGGCATATGTATACCGTGAAACCTGTATTAGAAAGGCCCCTCTAATAGACATAATCAGTGAAAAATCTTCCAAAATGTTCACAATTACACAGAAATTTGTGAGAAAATTTGGCTCTTTTCTAGTTTAGAGGTCCCAAAAAAGAATAGAGGTCCCAAAAAAAATTAGAGGTCCCAAAATAAAATAGAGGTCCCAAAAAAAATTAGAGGTCCCAAAATAAAAAAGAGGTCCCAAAAAAAATTAGAGGTCCCAAAAAAGTTTAGTGGTCCCAAGAAAAAATAGTGGTCCAAAACTTAAAAATGCACAGATACCGGAATAGTGTACTAAAATTTGAATTGTGTAAGAATTTAAAGTTTTGAGGTCTTATAGCAAAATAATTGTTGATGATATATGTTATACTTCTAATAGGCTTAGGAATGCATATTTTCTGACAATTATCTAAGCCTGTGAGACAGCATAATCACGGAGTGATTACTGTATTGCCCAAATTTTCCTCATATGTAAATTGGGTTCATCGGCAAGATGCGAGAGAATTGGAGCTAAAAGTTAGGAGTAGTCATGTCATCCTATAAGACCCTAAAACTCAAACTACTTGCACAGTTCAAATACTAGTACATTATTCCAACATCTGCGCGTTTTTCGTATTTTGGACCTCTATTTTTTCTTGGGACCTCTAAACTTTTTTGGGACCTCTATTTTATTTTGGGACCTCTAATTTTTTTCGGACCTCTAAATTTTTTTGGGACCTCTAAACTAGAAAAGAGCCGAAAATTTTTCTGATTAAAATTTTTCGAAAAAAAAGAGTCCCCCCAATAGAAGAGTCTTCGGAAGTACTTGGGAACTATAAACCGCCCTTCTAATCCAGGTGTTACGGAAAATGCGGAAATCGAAGATTTTGAGAAATACGAATTTTCAGAGAGTTGCTAATAGTTCTTTTTATGGAGAGACGCAGAGAAATCTGTGAAAATGGGAATTGGGAAAAAAAATATATTTCACTTTTTATTCAGTTTTTTACAAAGTTAAAAATAACAAATTAAATTATTCTCCACATTGTCCTGGATCGCTTCCATTTTGTTCATGAAATCTGAAAATTGAGACTTGAAATTTTCTAATTCTACAAAATTACCTACCTTTCAAACAAATTCTACCTTTTGTCATATTGACGATGTTAGGAATGTTTAAAAAATCTAAAATTAAATTTTCAGAAATTCAGGTAACCTGAAAACTTTATTTACCTTTTATTAAGGCAGTCATCTCCCTTGGTCATGTTGGTTTAAAAAATCTGAAATTCGTATTTTCAGAAATTCTGAAATCCTGAAAATCATACTTACCTTCTGATACGCAGCCTTGCCCCTTTGGCATATTGGTTGATGATTTGTTTTTTTTTTAATTCCAAAAAAAAAAAATAATTAGGAATAAATAGAAGGAATTTCAGAAAAATCAATTTTTAAAAAACCATTCATCTATAGGTTTTTGAATATAAACTTATAGAAATTTCAGAAAAATAGAAGAAAAACTAGAGGACACCATTCAGAAGGCGTCCAGAATCGAAGAATGAATATCCAAATGAAAAATAAGAAGCCGTGGGGGAAAGTGGGCGGAGTTTAGTCATGTGAAAATGTAATCCCATGTTTATATTACCTCCCAATTTTCCATTTCTTGTGCTATACGAATTTTCAGAGATCGATAATCCTGTGGAGACGCAGAGAAATTCAATTAGGGAAATTGAAGGTTTTCAGGAAGCTTTTCAAGATTATATACGGATTTTCTGGCATTTGAATCTAGAAATTGAAGATTCTAAGGAATAGGGATTAATAGAGATTTGAGAATTTTCTGGTTCATGGATACAATGATAAAATGGTCCTGGAGGAGTTTTCTGGCTTAAAATAACTGAAAAATGGCCTATAATCTATGGCCTATAAATCCGAATTTTGAACTTCTAGGCTATTGAAAATTGCCAAAATGAACCCAAAACCTCTTCAAAAAAAAAATTAGAGTTCATTTTTAGCATGAACAATATAACAATAACATTCACCAGATTCTATATGTGCGCATGTATGTAGCGCACCTTATCACCCATTCAAAGCTAACCGATCAAGCTGAAACCTGGACAGATCGGGTCAGAATTGTGTCTTAGTTTAAGCCCGAACTTTTGGTTTTTCATAACTTTGATTTTGAAGTCTTCTGGAGACGTTCCTTGGTTTCATAAAGTGTGGTGGACAGAAAGGGCGTTGGTGGAGGACGACCGGAGGCCAGGAGGTTCAGCCCAAAGGTGCATAAACCGACTGGTTTTGAAACATTCAAAAGTCGATTGGATTTTAGAATTTTCAGAATACGTCAGAAGGATCGATTCATTGAAAATTGAAAGTTTGAATCTTAAAAATCTTCATTTTGTGTAAAAACTCATTTAAAGGTGGGGGGACATGAAAAATAATGTTCTCGAAATTTTGTTTAAATATGCCCCTCGAGGAGTTGAACTTGTCGAGACTAGTATTGACGGTGCGGCGCCACTACCGACTGAGCCACGCGGGCAAAGAGGCAGCCGGCGCCCGATTGCATTCAGGACGACCGCTGTACGCAGAGTGACATTAAGCGTTGTACACCGTTACGGTAGAATGCATACCCTAGCTACAAAAAAACTACGAAAAATCTCCTGTCCCCCCACCTTTAATGGAAACTTAAGCGAAAACAAACAAAGCATAAATACATCTTTTTTTTCAAAAAATTCAAAATTATCATAAAGTTGTACTGTCCTCCTCATTGAGATTGATTTTCATCTGACATGGAGATCGATAGGCGACGAAAGATGAACTTTTTTGAGAGCTGAAAATTTTGAATTTAGGCTTAAAAATTTTTCTAAAACTCTATTGAAGATAGTTTCATAAATACGATAGCTCGACAGAAAAGACTACCCACATTTCTAGAAAATCTCCAAAATCGCTCTAATCCTCGCAAATTTTCGAAATATCCGTGGTTTTTTCCGACTTCTCCTCTGCAAAACTTCTGAAATTGACATGATTCGCGTCGGCCGTCGTTGCTCGACGTCTTCTTTGGTGCTCCAAATCGAAAGAGCATTTGAAATCGACAGACATTCCACGTCTCTGATTTCCACCAGTACCAGGGGACCTGCTCACACGAACGCCACTGAAAACGGAATAGAGGGGTACAGATATGATAAGAAAGAGCAAGAACTTATCTTCAATTTGGTATAAAACATTTAAAAAACGGATAAAATTAAGAAAGTTATGAGGGTTTGAAATTTTTGGAATCAAAATTTTTTGAAAAAAAAAAATTTTTTTGCGAAAAATTATTTTTTTCCAATTTAAATCTATTCTTTTGTACAAAACTGTGCTACAGTATTACAAAAATTCCAATATCTCAGAACCTACCATAAGCTCTCTTTTTCCACCAATGACATCTTTGCATGAGCTGTGTGGATGCGTGCAGAAGATGTGAAGGCATTGAACTCCTCATCGGACGCTAGAAATCTCCAGCCTGGAATTTTCAAACATTTTCAATATTTCAAAAAAAAAGAGCTTAAATAAGCTTTTCAAAATGAGCCAAAAATCAAGAAAATCGAATGAAAATTAGGGGTTGTGAGAGAAGATTATAGTCAACGGGCAGCGCGACAATCGCCTCCGTCTGACCGCGCCTTTTTGGATTTTTGAGGGTACTAGACCTAAATATTGTACTGATTCTGTTTTTTATAGCTTTTAACGCCTACTCTAACGTTCTCATCTAGTTTTGTTTCCCCAAACAACTAACCGCATCTGCTGGCTTCTGGAACCACCGCTCACCCTATACGTTCACTTTGAGTTGAATTATTTCGGTTCCTATCAAAGATATTAAATTTTTGTCAACGGGTAAAATATTGGTGATATTATGATAAATATTTTATCAGTTGATCACTTTTTGATATTTCTAATAAAAACCAAGATAATTGAGCTCGAAGCTAAGAGGTCGGCAGCCGCCACGCAGCTCTGTGGGCAAGCGCCGCCTTTGAGCTCAATTATCTCGGTTCCTATAAGAGACATTAAAAATATGTCAACTGATGAAATGTTGCTGGTATTATGATAAACATTTCATCAGTTGACCACAGTTTTGTATCCTTTACAGAAATCGAGATAATTAAGCTCAAAGCTGGCACAGTTCTAGTGAGCGCCTTTTTGACGGCTTTAAAAGGCGCAGAAGCTCAAACTCACCCAACAACCTTCTCAATGATACTCGAAACTTCCTCGACATGAACATATAAACAGCAAATGATATTGGATGAAGAGAAATGACAGTAATATTGGCAAAAACCCGTAAATATACATTATTGACAATGGCAAATGCCACCTGAGGCACTGGCATATAATCCATGATTTTGACAAGAAGAATGAGCAATGTGGAGGGGACCCTGAGCAATTTGAATATTTAAAAAAATGTTTTGTTGTTTTATGATAAACATTTTATCAGTTCATCACTTTTTGATATCTCTAACAGGAACCGAGATAATTGAGCTCAAAGTGCAGTTCCAGCCTTGGCTTGAAAATCCTATATGGGAATTTTTAGGTTATATATCTTGGTTCCTATAAAAGGTACCAAAAATTGGTCAATTGATAAAATGTTGCTGATATTATGATAAACATTTTATCAGTTTACAATTTCTCAATATCTCTAATAAAAACCGAGATACATGAGCTCAAAGGTGGCGCTTGCCGGGAGAGCTGCGCGGAGGCTGCCGACCTCTTACCTTTGAGCTAATATATCTCAGTTACTGTAGGAGATATCAAAAAGTAATCAACTCACAAAATATTTATCACATTATCACAAACATTTTATCAGTTGATCACTTTTTGATATCTCTCAAATGAACCGAGATATTTGAGCTCAAAATTGACAGCTCTGGGTTCATGGGTAATTAAGAATGAGCAATTACCTGGCCAACATGTAAATTACAATTATCACTGTTAACATTATAGTTGTATTTGTTGAGGTTTTTCGATTCTTGTGTCGGTGGACTCTGAAATTTGAAATAAAAATTTTCAAAAAAAAAATGTCCCACAATTTTTTCAAAAATTTTGAATTTGGCGCCAAACCTACCCCTGCTTTGGATTGTCATGGGTCCGAATCGTCTGTATTAATAAAACAGTGACCAATAAAAGCAATCCACTAGAGACCACCACCAATCCAATTCGAAAATAATCAAACATCTGGAAAAGAGGGATTACAGTAGAATTGAACATTTCAAAATTTTGAATTACCGCCGAAAACGCATCGGCACCCATTGCAGAGGTTAGAGAGGAGTAGCCAATGAAGCAGCGCGCCACCCAGAAGGATTCGTCGCCGTACTGTAAACATAAACAATTTAAGGAATTTAGAATGGCCAAAAAACTTAAAAACTTAAAAAATCAAAATCAGCGCAAAATTCTACCCTAGATAGCATTTTAAAAATTCTTTAAACCCCCTCTAACAGTACAAAAAAAAAAGAAGGCGCGGTGACGCGGAGGTGATTGTCGCACCAGCGACAATTTCTGTTGTCGCGCGCGTGACAACTACCTCCGTGCCAACGCGCATTCTGAATCTTTGGGGGTTGGATCCAACTTTTTTAGATGTTTCAAAACGATTTCTAGAGTAAAATTTAGCGTTGATTTTGAATTTCTAATTTTCAAAAACATATTCCTTCAAATTCAGCTCCTTACCGTCAAACAAAAATGAAAAAGTAGTCGTATATCGTACGACGAGTGGATTGCTGTTAAGCAACAAGCCACAAAAAGGATCAATTTTGAATATCGACGGACCATTTTCGGTGTACACCATCGAAGGGATTGAATGGGAAACTGGACGGCTATGAATCTGAAAAATCGATTTTTGTGAAAATTTGATTTTTTTTTCGAAAATTCCAAAAAAAAATGCCTACCTTTGAACACCTAACAAAATTGTGAATAATGTGACAAGTGTGTTGAAAAAGAAGGGCAAAATTTCCATGCAAATCTGTAAATGTTTTGAAATTTCGGAATTTTTTGGAAAATTCAAATTTTGGCGCCAAATTTCAAACCCTCACCTTCTGTAAATAACACATAAAAAGGGTCTGATTGAAGTCTTGATGATGGCTCAGATTATAATAATATATTGTGAATGGAAGTGGAGAAATTGCCATTAGCAGGGAGGAGATGGCCATCCAGAGGAGAGGTTCAATGCTGGCGCGTTTCTGGAAAATTTTGCTTTGATCATAACTTTTTGGGTTTTCGATCAATTTTTAAAATTCAAATTGTTTTGAAATCAGTGTTTTAAGAGCATTAAAATTAGTATAAATATGACTATGTTTTAAGCCAACATAATCCTGAAAAATCCAATATTTTGATGTTGATCAGGAGGTGTAGATTCTTTTACTTTTAAACAATTGTAACTTTTTCAATTTTTGCTCAATCTTAAAAATTCAAAATGTATTGGAATTAGCGTTTTAAGATCTTTATTATGTGTTTAAACATGACTAGGTTTCAAGCCAACATGCTTTTGAAAAAACCAAAATTTCGAGGTTGACCCTTTTTAGTGATCGGTAGGTGTTTAATTTTCAAACTGTTGTAACTTTATCAGTTTTTGTAGGGAACGGGAAATTTTAATATTTGAATATAAACATAATTAGGTTTTGAGCCCAAAAAAAAAATTAAAAATGGAAAAAATCGGTGCTGACCTCTTCAGTGGTTCAAGAGGTGTGGAACCTTTTAACTTTGAAACAGTCGTAACTTTTTTGATTTTTGATAAAATTTTGAAACTTAAAAAATATTGTATCAGACGTTTTAAGACCTTCAAAATGAGTATAAGCATGACTAGGTTTTAAGCCAAAATGTATCCGAAAAATCGAAAATTTCGGGGTTGGCCCCTTCTAGAGGAAGTGTGGAAGCTTTCATTTTTGAAACAGTTGTAACTTCATCAGTTTTTATAGGAAACACAAAACTTTAATATTTTTAGAATAAACGTTTTCAGAGCTTCAAAATGAATTTAAACACAATTAGGTTCTAATGCAAATTTTTTGAGAAATCTAAAATTCCGATGGTGACCCATTCTAGTGATCGAGAGGTGTAGGAGCTTCAAATTTTAAACAATTGTAACTTTCTCGATTCTTGCTCAATCTTGAAAATTTAAAATATTTTGTAATTAACGTTTTAAGGGCTTTAAAATGAATATAAACATGACTAGATTTTTTGAAACTTTAATACAAAAATCGGGATTTGCCCTCTAACGACCCTCTAGCGGCTCAAGAAGGTAGAAGATGTGGTGAAGGGGCGGTAATTCAGGGAAAACTATAGAGAAACTTTAAAGTCAGGTTTTGAAAACATGAAAATCAGATTCAGCACAAAATTTCAGTCTAGGAACATTTTTTCGAAACCTGAAAACTAAGAAAAAATTTTTCAAATTTTTAATTTTTCAGAATTTTGAAGTTTTTTTTTCAAAATGGCCGTAACTTTTTCAATTTTCGCTCAAACTCAAAAAATCAAAAAGTGTTGCAATCAGCGTTTTAAGAGCTTCAAAGTGAATATAATCATGCCCAGGTTTCAAAAAATCCGAATTTCTGGTCCCTTACCGATTTCTGTTGACTCAAAACCAGAATCACGACACTATTGGAGACAACAACCAGGATGGCGAGCAGTGGCAGTATAATTCCATAGATTATTTGCATTTTCACCTCGTTTTCCTGCAAAAACATTCTTTTTTCACTCCTTTCCAATGTTTTTTAGAATTCCGAAAGATTCAATTAATGCCAAGGATTAGAGGGTGTGGAGGGAAAACAATGGGACATGTTTTTTCTCTGAATGTTGCGAAGTTGAATTTTTCAACATTTTTAGATTCCTCATAAAAATTGGGTTCGAATGAGTATAAACATGCCCTAGTTCTCAAAATTTTGAAAAATTCGAAAAAAAATTGGGACCCCAAAAAACCTCAACATTTCGAAATGATCCAAAACGGGTCGTGTTTATACTCATTCTGACCCAATTAATGTGCTGATTACGAATTTAAAATAAAAAATGGTCATAATGAAAAAAAAGTTAACCTAGGATTTTTGAGATATTTTTTGAAAATTTAGGCATTTTTTTGGTACTTTTTGGACCATAACTCCCAAAAAAATTTTTTACCAACTATTCCGTTTGGAATCTAAAATAACTTTTTACGCTCTATCCAACCATATAGGTCTCGATTTTTTTCGAGGGTAACACTTGGGAGTCATTCCATGTTAGTAGTCAACTGATTGAACATTTTTGAAATTTGACGCCAAACTTCGAAAATGGCCAATAAAAGTTTTCTAAATGATCGGAAGTCGAGTTTTTACGATTTTCGGATTCCTCATAAAAATTGGCTTCGAATGAGTATAAACATGCCCTAGTTCTGAAAAATTCAAATTTTGAAAATATTAGTCCCCCCCCCCCCAAAAAAAATCCCCAAAATTCAAAATGATCCAAAACGGGTCGTGTTTATACTCATTCTGACCCAATTAACGTGCTAATTACGAATCTAAAATAAAAATTCAAAAATTCTCAAAATCCGAAAAGTTACCTGGTCCTCAAACTGTATAATCTGTGCCGTGACACATGTCTTCGTATATCCATCGTATACGGTATGTATGAGATCCGAGCAGTTAACAGCTGGAATTGCATTTGGGCCGTATGCCTGGAAGATTTGAATTTGAAATTGGCGCCAAATTCAAAAATTACCTTATCATATTCACAAGTCTCCAGATCACTCATCTTGCCATTCCTTGGTGCTGAAAATAGAAAAATTGAAAAAAAACGGTGAAAAAGTAGTAGGCGGAGCATGGAAAAAGAGAAGATTGGCAGAGAGGAAATCAAACCTTGACTTATGGGAAAAAAACTCATTTCGGCGGTTTTCTTTGATGTTCTAGAATAAGTAGATTAGGTTGTCAGGAGACTTGAAAAATGAGCTTTTTCTCTTTAGGGGTAATTTTTTGAGGTTTTTCAATTACTTCGACCAGTTTCAGCACAAAATTTTGATTCTAGAGTTTTTTGAAAACTGAAAAATTAAAAAAAAATTTTTAATTAAATAAACCTTTTAAAGGTGGGGGGACATGAAAAAAATAATGTTCTCGAAATTCCGTTCAAAGATGCCCCTCGAGGAGTTGAACTTGTGAGGGCGATGATTGAGGGTGCGGCGCCGCTACCGACTGAGCCACGCGGGCAAAGAGAAAGCGCACGCCCGATTGCATACATAAAGGCGAAGACGACAGCTGTACGCAGAGTGACATTAAGCGTTGTACACCGTCACGGTAGAATGCATACTCTAGCTACAAAAAAACTACGAAAAATCTCCTGTCCCCCCACCTTCAAAAATAAAAAAATTTTTTTTTTAATTTTTTCAAAAATTCTCAAGCATAAAAGCTAAAAAAGAATGCAAATTCTTAGAAATTTTCATTAAACCTACTTTTTGAAAGTGTCTAAACTAAGAAAACAAACAAAATTGTGTTCTATTGACTCGAGAAAAATTTTCAGTCCCAAAAAAAAAAGAGATGTCCGGTTTTTCTGGAAATTTTTCGAAAAAAAAAAGATAGAAATACATAGAAAAACATAGTCGTTTTTCACGGGTCCAAAGACAATTATGTCAAACATTTTGGATGAACAAAAAACACAAAAAAGAAGAAGAAGAAAAAAAAAGTTGGCAGAGAAAAAAAAACTTGAAATCTTGAAATAAGTTTTGATGGTAAATATCAAAAATTTCTGTAATTTTTGAAGTCTTTTGATTGTTTGGACTAGATTCAGCGTCAAATTTTATGTCTAGAAAGTTTTGAAAGAAAAATCCAAGAATTTGGGTCACCCCTCCCCCCTTTTTAGGATTCAGAAGGTGAGGAAGCTTCAAATTTTCAAACGTCGTAACTTTATTAATTTTCGTTCAAATTTCAAGATTTTTAAATTTTTGGAATTACCGTTCAAAAAACTTCAAAATAAATATAAAAATGACTAGGTTTGATTTCTAATGTTTTTAAAAAATGCCGAAAAAATTGAGCCTCCCTTCTTTTAGGAATTCAGGAGGCGAGGAAGCTATTACTTTTCAAACAGTCGTTACTTTATTAATTTTTTTTGCACTTTTGAGATCGTTATATGTTTGAAATCAGTGTTCCAAGAGCTTCAAAATGAGTATAAACATGACTAGGTTTTAAGCCAAAGTGTATCCGAAAAATCCAAAATTTCGGGGTTGACCCCTTCTATTGGCCAGGAAGTGTGGAAGCTTTTATTTTTGAAACAGTTGTAACTTCATCAGTTTTTATAGGAAACACAAGACTTTTATATTTTTAGAATAAGCGTTTTCAGAGCTTCAAAATGAATATAAACACGATTAGGTTCTAATGCAAATTTTTTGAGAAATCTAAAATTCCGATGGTGACCCATTCTAGTGATCGAGAGGTGTAGGAGCTTCAAATTTCAAATAATTGTAAAAATTTTAAGATTTTTAAAATTGTGAAATTATCGTTCAAAAAAAAACTTCAAAAAAATATAAACATGACTAGGTTTGATTCCTAATGTTTTTGAAAAATGCCGAAAAAATGGAAGCTATTAATTTTAAAACAGCCGGTAACGTTATTCGTTTCAGTGGCATTTTTGAGATTGTTATATTTTTGTAATTGTCGTTTTAGCAGCTTTAAATTAAATATAAACATGACTAGGTTCTAAGCCAAAACTGTTGTGAAAATTCAAGATTCGGCAGAAAAGTTGAGTCTAGGAACAATTTACAAAACCTCAAAATTGAAAAAAAAATTTCGGAAAAATTTTCCAAAAATTGGGTTTGGTGGGGAACCTTCTACTATTCAAATAGTCGTAACTTCATCAATCTATGTTGCATTTTTGAGATTGTTATTTTTTTGAAATCAGTGTTCCAAGAGCTTCAAAATGAGTATAAACATGACTAGGTTCTAAGCCAAAAAAAAAGTCGAAAAATCAAAAATTCGGGGTTGACCCCTTCTATTGGTTAGGAAGTGTGGAAGCTAAACAGTTGTAACTTCATCACTTTTTATGGGAAACACAAGACTTTAATATTTTTAGAATAAGCGTTTTCAGAGCTTCAAAATGAATATAATTACAACTAGGTTCTTCTTGAAAAACTGAAAAAAACCCCATGTGCCTTTAAGCGGCTCTCCTCTGGCGGCTCAAGAAGGCAGATGATGCGGTAATTTGGGAAAAAGCTAGGTAAAAAACTTGGAATTTAAAGTTTGAGAATAGAAAAACAAAATTTGAGTCTAGGAACAATTTATAAAACTGGAAGATTGTTTCGGAAAATTAGAAAAAAAAATTTTGTTTAAAAATTTTCTTTTCCAAAATTTGAAATTTTTAAATTTTCGAAAAAAAAAATCCACATCTGTTTTTTTTCTTTTTTCGTTTTTCGAAAAAAAATTTACCCAAAAAAATCAATTGAATTAAAATTCAGACAACCAGCATCCATCAAAATTAGGCTAAAAGGTTCCATGAATCCTCTGGACTGAAAATTTTGGGACTAAAAAATTTTTTTTTCGTTCCAGAAAAGAAAAAAATGCAGACGAATAAATTCCCGGTGCTGTCAGGAGTCAGGAGAGGAATGAAAGAAAAGGAAATTATTGGGTCTTGTGGATATATTTATGTGTGTATGTGTGTGTATTCAGATATTCAGGGAAGGCGAAAGTTATCGAAAATTCAATTGTAGAAAACCAGAAAAAACTTTTCTCCCTTTCTTCCTCTCTATTTTTTCCTAGCATCAAAAGCTCAGGAAGTACGGAGAAATTGAGATTAGAAGAAGAATATAAATAGTTTGGGGCCTCTGGATCATAGTTTTTAAATTGAAAAATCTAACGAAACTAGAAGATAAGTAATTTCGAAAATGCCAAAATCGGATTCAGCGCAAAATTTGGGTCTAGAAATTGTATGAAAAATGTATTTCCAAGAATCCAGAAGACACAGCGGCGCGGAGGTGAGGGAACGGCGCGCGCCACAATCACCTCCGCGCCACCGTGCCTTCTAGCGTTTTGTGCTGCCAGGGGGGTTGGACCAAGTTTTCAAATAAGTTTCTAGAGTAGAATTTTACGCTGGTTTTGATTTTTTCTGTTTCAACACCGCCCTCCTGCTGGTTTTGCCTGATTTTCACTCTTAAAATAGAACAAGTGCTATGACACAACTATAGGTTGAGTGCAAAATGTGCGGATAATCCCAGAATGATGAGAATTTTCGAGATTTATATAGAAATTGAAGAAAAAATATGATCAAATTTTTTTTTGCACAAATAGTCAGACGGATTATTATTATTATTATTATTATTTCATATTTTTTACCTGGAATTTCCTTTCAAATGATTTGTATATTGAAAAATATGAAATCACAAATTTCCAAGTCAGATAAACAATAGATAGCTTGGACTTTTTGATCTTTTTTAAATTTTGGAAAAAAATTAGAAACTTCAAGAAAAAACTTTCTAGTGAAGATAAGATGACTAATAATGATAATTAATTAATAAGAAGATGTTGGAGGGTGGCGGGAATTGATAAATTATGAGATAATATACAAAAACATATAAAATTTATAAATTAGGTCAAAGTTTGAAGACTAGTCAGGAATTATATACTCGATGAGGTGGAAGAAGTGGGAAAAACTAGGTGAAAACATGAAAATCAAGAGTTTGAAGTACAAAAATCGAATTTAGCACAAAAATTGAGTTTAGAATCATTTTTGGAAGTATGGAAAAAATTTGGTCCAACCCCCAAGGACGCAACCATGCGGAGGTGAGAGAAGCGACGCGCGCGACAATCACCTCCGCGCCACCGCGCCTTCTAGCGTTTTGTGCTGCCAGGGGGGTTGGGCCAAGTTTTCAAAAAAGCTTCTAGAGCAGAATTTAGCGCTGATTTTGATTTTTTTTGTTTCAAAACCATTTTCCTTCAACTTTATCACTTAAAATCAAACTTTTTCTTCATAATAAAAGTTTATCAAATTTGCCAGCGCAAAGTTAGATAAATAAATTTTCTAGTCCTGAAAAATTCTGAGAAAACCGAATCTATATTTTTTAGTTTGCACCACCAGACGCCTAATTAATTATGAACATAAAGAAGAGAGGAATAAATATGTTATTTGGAAAAAAAAAATTTTTTTTAATAAATAAAGTTCTGGATTACTGTACTTTTAAGACAAAAAAAAATTATATTATTCTAAAAAAAACGTAAATAAGATTTATGACGCGGAATAATATTTTTAGGTCATTTTTCAGGAAAAAAAACTCCAGTCAGAAGTCAAAAAATCTCAAATTTTTCCAGAAAAATTAGGATTAAAGGGGGGTACAACTTGACGACATTTTTTATAATCTTTCTGTTATTTTTTTCAGGTTCACTTTTTTTGAAAAAATTCTGGAAATTTCTGAAAAAATCCATTTTTAATCCCGGAAATTTGAGTCAGAAAATGAGTTTTTTTTCAAAAGATTCTGAAAATCTCTTTTTGATTCTACTCTACTAAAAATTTGAGTCATAAAACTAGGAAGAACGTGGGGTCAAATATTCAGAAAAATTCAGGAAAAGTCGGTCGAAAATATGAATAGGAGAAAATTAGGAAAACTATTTTGAGGTATAAATATCGGGATTCGTGTCATTTTTCACCGTTATAGGGTACTGGGAATAGACTAAATTCTGCTATAGAAACTATTTTGAAAATTATGTAAAACCCCTTTTGCAGCTCGAAACACTAGAGGACGCGATGGCGCGGAGGTGATAGTCGGCGCCCGCGACAGAAGAATATTTCTGCTGTCGCGCGCGCCGTTTGTGCCGCTAGAGGGGGCTGGACCCAACTTTTTTAGAAGTTTTAAAAAAGGTTCTAGAGCAGAATTTAGCGCTAATTTTGATTTTTGTAGTTTCAAACTCTCAAAGTTTCTTGTTTTCTTTGTAAAGAAGGAAATGTCTAGAATAAGTGCTTGTTTTGAGACTTTAAAAAATTGTAGCAATTATATTCTGACAGGAAACACTTGAAAAAGAATGAATGTACTTTTTGGAAAAAAAAGAAAAATTGGCTTAATTTCAAAATTTTCAAAGATCCTCCCGGAAAAAAAAATTATAGACAACTTTTTTTTGTCAAAAATCACAGTTTCTTATTCATGGAATGATGAAATAGACTTCAGAGAATTTCCCAGTAAGTAGGTCACAGGACAAACCGCCCATATTTTCTCTCAAAATTGCCCCAATTTCTCCGGGGGCAGGATTCGTTGGGGGATGTGCTCACCTATAAAGGACACTAATTACGAGAATTTGCAGGATTTAGAGCAGAAAGAGAGTTTCAAAAGTTGAAAAATTGAGTTTCCCTGGAAATTTTGGACCTGGAAAATTGTTTAATTTTGCTCTAGACAATGGACAGAAGTCTCTAGAAGCGTTTGGATAAAAGATCGGGGAAAAAAGTAGCTGAAAACTGGAAAATAAAGTGTTCAGAGTAAAAAAAATCGGATTCAGCATAAAATTTAAATCTAGACACAAATTTGAAAACTCTAGAAATGTTTGGTCCAACCCCTCTGGGAGGACGCAACCAGGCGGAGGTGAGAGGAGCGACGCGCGCGACAGCAGAAAATTTTGCTATCGTGTGCGCCGACTATCACCTCCGCGCCACCGCGCCTTCTAGTGTTTCGAGCTGCAAAAGGGGTTTTACATAATTTTCAAAATAGTTTCTATAGCAGAATTTAGTGCTGATTTCAAATTTTCTAGTTAAAAATGATGAAATCTTGTAGTTCAGGAGTTAGAGCCATTTGAAATCCCCAGAAATCATCAAAAATCACAAAGTCATTCCTAAAAATCACGTCTTCCTGGTTGTAAATTCCAGGAAAAGACCACAAAATGACTAAAATCCTTGCCTCTTGACACCATATTAAAAATTCCACGGAATGGAGGGGATTGGAGGCATGCGGATGACACTCTGAAACGCCAATGAAACATGCATTTTATATAGAAATGAGAATCATCACTATTTTAAACATTGCTCAGAGTTTTGAAAAGAAATGGGTTTGAATTTTGAAGTTTGAGTTGGAGTGAGGGACCTAAAACTAGATGAACACTTGAAAATCGAAAGTTAAGACTATAAAAATCGAATTCAGCACAAAATTTGGGTTTAGATATATATAACAGTTTTCAAAATGTGAAAAACTTTACGACAAGCGCAAGAAAGCAGAAGGCGCGTTCAGACGGAGGTGATTGTCGCGCGCGCCGTTACCCGAAAAAATTTCTGCTGTCGCGGGCGCCGCTCCTCGCCTCCACCTGATCGTGCCTTCTGGATTCTTAAAAGTGTCGTAAAAGAAAATTTTAAACCAGTTTCTAAACATAAATTTTGCGATAAATCCGATTTTTTTAGTCTGAACTCTCTATTTTCACTTTTTCGTCTAGTTTTCCCAAAAAATGTGTCTCAAGTATGCATTCCAAAGGTTTAGGAGGACTAAAAATGAAAGATGAAAAAAGTAAGAAAAAAAAACATATAAAACGCTAGATGCTCAAAAATTTATGTCCCACCCCTTAGAAGCATGTTTATGACCCAAACTGAAAAAAAAACTTAAGGACCGGAAAAAAAAATTTTTGAGCATAAAAAAAATATTGGTTCTCTAGACTTTTTGAACCTCGGGGAAGCCAAAAAATAAACCAAAAAGTGCATGAAGGAATATTTAATTACATTCATGGCCTAGAGGAAACCGGAAGTTGAACTAATGCATCATTTATGAGAGAAGGGCAGGAATCTGAATTTGACGGCTACAAAGAATGAACCCTGGGAGGTCCCATCTACACTTTTAAGATTTCGCACGTAGGATCAGATTTAGCTCAAATTTCTGACCTGAAAACCATTTTGAAAATTTCAAAAAAGTTGGGTCCGACCTAATTTGTCGGCTCAAATTGGGCTCAAGCGCTACATGAAGGTGAAGGAGCGGTGCAAATTGGGGTTTTTCTAGGTGAAAACGTGGAAATACAGAAATAAAAGTTAAATACTCGGATTCAGCACAAAATTTGGGTCTAGAAAAAAATTTGAAATTCATCTTTACGACACTTTTAAAAATCCAGAAGGCGCGGCCAGATGGAGGTGATTGTCGCGCGCGCCGCTCCCCACCTCCATCTGACAGTGCCCTCTGGCTCCTTTTGCCGCTAGTGGGGGTGGGACCAAACATTTAAAAAATTTACAAAACAGTTTCTAGACCCGAATTTTGCGCTGAATCCGATTTTTATATTCTCAAACTTCAAATTCTACGTTTTCATCTAGTATTAACCGGTTGAAAAAAAAAGTTTCGCCTGGTTTAGCATACTATAAGGAACACAAAACGGTTAGTGGTTCATAAGTCAAAACTCAATTTTCTATAGAAAAAAATATGCGCAAAACTCAATATAAAGAGAAAAAAAGAGCATGAACAAATATGTTTTTTTTTTTCAAAAACACAAAAAAAAGTTGTTTTCAACCGGCGGCGGGACGTCTTCTTCTTCTTCTGAATCCTCTTTAGAAGTGAAAGAGGATTCAGATGAATAGGAGGGTGACATGACCAAAATATGGCTAAAGGACAGACACATTTTTTTAGCTGAAAAATTTTTTTTTCAGAAAACTTTTTTATTAGAACATTCAAATGAAAAATTCTGGAAATTTATGAAAAATTGAAAGCTCTGTGTGGGAAAAAATGTGAAAAAGTTCTGTACTTTTCTTTTTGCGAAAAAAATTCATCTAGAGAAAAAAAACTATAAAAAATATTCTCTCGGATGTTAGTCACGAAAGATTTCGTTTTTTTTTCAGAAAATTTATTTTTGAAAAAAACTTTTAAAACAAATTTTGATAAGGTTTATAGGGTCAAAACACATTTTTGGGGTCAAAAACTGAAAATACGCCTTCAAAACCAAAGAAGCACCACGTCACTGGAAGAGCGCAAAGGCACCAAATATGCGTCAACACACTAGAAATGCGTCAAGGCACTAGGAATGCGTCAAGATCCTAGAAAAGCGCAGAAGCACCGGAAATGCGTCAAGGAACTAGAAAAGGGCAAGTGCACCAGAAATGCGTCAAGACACTAGAAAAGCGCAAAGGCACCAAAAATGCGTCAAGACACTAGAAAAGCGCAAAGGCACCAAGAAAGAGTCAAGACACCAGAAAAGCGCAAAGGCACCAGGAAAGCACGAAGGCCCTAGAGAAGCGCCAAAGCACCAGAAATGCGCAAAAGCACTAGAAATTCGCCAAAAAACTAGAAAAGGGCAAGAGCACCAGAAATACGTCAAGACACTAGAAAAACGCAAAGGCACCAAGAAAGAGTCAAGACACCAGAAAAGCGCAAAGGCACCAGGAATGCGTCAACACACTAGAAAAGCGCAAAGGCACCAAAAATGCGTCAAGACACTAGAAAAGCGCAAAGGCACCAAGAAAGAGTCAAGACACCAGAAAAGCGCAAAGGCACCAGGAAAGCACGGAGGCCCTAGAGAAGCGCCAAAGCACCAGAAATGCGCAAAAGCACTAGAAATTCGCCAAGAAACTAGAAAAGGGCAAGAGCACCAGAAATACGTCAAGTCCCTAGATAAGCGCAAAGGCACCAAAAATGAGCTAAATCAATTAGCACATTTCAGGTTTTTTGACGTAAATCTAGTTGATTGACGCAAGTTTGGTGTCTTGGCGCGTTTTTAGTTGCCTTAGCGCATTACAAGTGCCTTGAAGAAGTTTTGCAAGTTTTGTGTATTGGCGCATTTTAGGTGCGTTGAACTTGAACTAGTTGATTGACGCAAATTTGGTGTCTTGGTGCATCTTTAGTGCCTTGATGCGTTTCAGGTGCCCTGAACGTGAACAAATTGATTGACGCCATTTTAGTGTCTTGGCGCTTTTCCGGTGCCGTGTTGTAAACTAGTTATTGGACGCATTTCAGGTGCCTTGGCTCATTTTTAGTGCCTTGGCGCACTTCTAGATCATGATATCAAAACTACTATGATTTTAGTGGCCTTGGCGTTCTTGGTCCCTCGGCGCATTTTTAGTGTCTGGGCACATTTCACGTGCTTTGACGCATTTCATGTGCCTTGAATTTGAACTAGTTGATTGACGCAAGTTTGGTGTCTTGGCGCATTTCAGGTGTCTTGACGCAAAACTGGTTCCCTAGCACAGAACTATTCTATTGACACATTTCTAGTGCCTTGGCGCTTTTCCGGTGCTTTGACGCATTTTCAGTGTCTTGGCTATTCGACTAGGACGATTTTTGATCAAGAACGACTCGAATTTGAAAAAATGGGAACAAAACCGATGAAAATTTGAAATTGAGCCACTGTCGACCCGACGGCGGCTCAAATTCAGACAACTTCCGAACTAATTAAACCGAAAAGAACAATTTCAACTCAATTCCAAAAAATTCTCTCTTCGTGCGAAAAAAAAGTGGGAGAAACCCAATGAACTGGTCCATTTGGGAAGCTTCTACATCTTCTTTTTTTCTCTTCTTCTCTCTTTTTTCTCAGTTTTCCTAATCAGTTCAATTACCAAAGAAGGCGAAGACGGAGAAGAAGACGTTGTGGTCCCAAGAGGATTAAACGAGACAAATGGGACTGGAAAATGGTGAAAATGGAGGAATTTGAAATAGTTCTTTCCGAAAAAAATGGAAAAAAAAGAAAAAAAACTTCTAGACTTAATTGAATTAGTTTTTGCAAAAAAGAATAAGAAATTGTCTTTTACAGTGTTCTGGTGGGTTCAAAGTATAGGGCAGAAACAGGGGAAATTCAAGGTTTACAAGCTTAAAACTAAAAAAATCGGATTCAGCATGAAATTTGGGTATAGAACCAATTTGAAAATTTGCATCGCTAGGAGCTAGCAGCGCAAGGAGCCTGAGGGCGCGGTGGCGCGGAGGTGAGGGAACGGCGCGCGCGACAATCCCCTCTACCTGACCGCGCCCTCTGGCTCCTTTTAGATTAGATTAATTTATTTTCAGAGCGGTGACCAACAGTACATAAGAAAAAGGCAGCCCCCCCCCCCTCACGAGGAGCGCCTAATAAGTTAAGAAGAGAAAAATAATGGAAAAGGGAGGAATTATATACAGTAAAATACATGTGCCTGGTGCATCTACCCTCCAACTCCTTCTAAAGGTTCCCTCTACCCACGCAACGACACTCCGCTATCCCGCTCGGCGCGCGCACAATTTGAATTTAGTTTTGAGGGATTGCGAGCTTGGATTTGGCTCGTGGTTGTTCGAGAGACTCTTTTAAGGGTTTTAAGTGAGTTTGCTTGAATTCTAAGCCTGTATTGGTTGTTTCTTTCTAACTTGTTCATAATAAACCGATTTTGTTACATTTCTTGTTGATTTTCTTCTATTTTATCACAGGAACCTGATACCCCGGACATACCGCGGGCAATTGGATCATAGCTAGTAGCGAGAAATAGAAGAATCAAAGAGATTTTCAAATTGGGACGGGGTGAGGAAGTGGGGTACATTGGCAGTTATGGCATTCCAAAATGGTGGATGCAAAGAAATCATTGATATGGGGATTGAGGCAAATTAAAGTCATGGGGGCGACGGGCAGAGTTAGATAAGCGGAAATGAGATTCAGGGTGGGGAATGTAAGAAGTAAGGTTAATTATTTTGTACAGAAGCATTAACTGAGATTTAAGGCGTCTATGACGCAAAGAGAAAAAATTGAGAATTTGGAGTCTGGAAGGATAAGAGGCACCGGGGGTAGACGAAAATGGTATATTACAACGTTGGCAAATAGTTTTGGAGAAGAAACGAAGGGGGGACGCGAGCTTTTTAGACAGTTTGGAATCGGGATGTTTGAATAATGTGTCGAGATGAGGAAGAAGGGCGGCAGATTCGTCCGATGAAAGGTCAGGGGGGCCGGTAAACAATAACAACAGTGGTGGAATGGTGGCCCAGGAGAGTGGGAAGACGGAGAAAGAGAGCATGACAGAATTTCGGAACGATGGGATGGGTAATGGTGATCGAAACGGATATCAATAGGGGAGAGGGAGCAGAATTTATTTTTGTAGAGAAATGCAACCCCGCCACCAGAGGCTTTTGAGTACTTGGAGATGCGATCTTGGCGAATAATAGAGATGCCAGTATGATTGAAAAGGGAAGAGGAAACGGATTCAGTGAGAAAGGATTCAGTGAGAGCTAAGACATGATAATTAGAAGAAAGAATGAAGTCGATAAGGATAAGTATTTTTGATAGGGAAGAGACGCCACGGACATTTGACAATAGAAAATTGATTGCAATAGGAGGTGAAGAAGGGGGGGTGAAAGGTTAAATAGGTTAGAGCAACGAGGACTTAGGCTAGAAAAATTAGAGGAAGGAAGATGAGGATGTGTAGAAGGGATACAGGAGTCTAAACAAAAGGCTGGGGGCTTGCTATTCAACTTATACAGTACCGGACAAAAATAAATCAACTTTTAGTTTTTCGAGAGTATCTCAAAACTATGAGAGCTAGGACTCTGAAATTTTGTATGTATGTTTTTGAAAGGCTCAGAAATACTCCAAAAAAAAAATCAAGTCCGCAGACACCATATCAGACGCGCAATTGCTAAAAAATCATATTTTCGAATTTTTCAGTTTTTCAGAGTTTTCACTTTTTTTGTTTTTTTCTTTCAATTTTTTCGGTTTGTTTGTAATGAGTTTTGTTCCTATATGTAGCTCCTTGTGCTGCTAGCTGGGGTTGCACCAAACGTTTAAACTTTTTTTTTCAAATTGTTTCTAGACCGAAATTTTGCGCTGAATCCGATTTTCATACTCTCAACTTCCAAATTTCACGTTTTAACCTAGTTTTCCCTATGGAAAAATTTGCACTTCAAAATGATAAAGTGAAGTGTCCCCTCAAATTTCCGCTCCAGACTCATTATTCCTGCCAAAAAGAGTCATTGAGCGTCTTGCTCTTTATACGGATGAAAAATGAGCAATAATTATTCCCAAAAAAGAAAGAAAACGAAACTAAAAAGAAGAAGCCTTGAAGACCAAAAAGTGGTTTCTGGTATGTGTATAACTATGTTTTTGACATATTTTTTCTGCTGATTTTTGAATTGTTTTTTTGAAGATTTGATTATTTTTTGGTTGCAAAAAGTAGGATAATATGGATAATATAGTTTTTAACTGGAAGGGATTTTTGATGTTATTTTTGTGGATTTTTGGGAGAAAATTAGCTGAAAATTGACTGAAAATTGGGGAAAATGATCCAATGATCTACCCTGAAAGTAGTCGCTTAACATCATAATCGAAGCAGGCATTTGTCCCGTTTTTGCACTTGAAATACCTCTTTTCAAGAATTTTTCTATTGAAAAACGCTTTGCACGCGCCACAAACTTCAATCCCTAAATGAAAATTGGTTGCACCGCCAAGACATACTCGGCAAATTTGTGGTCTTCGCTGCAAAATTTGAAACTTCCGGAAATTTAAAATTTTGAAAAAAAACCTTCACCTTTTCATTTCTTAGACGACCTGAATCATCTGGAGTCGTTGAAAGACTCGGGCTTGATGAATCTGACTCTTCGCTCATTTTGATGCCTAAGTTCAAGTTTTTAGGCCAGAATAGAAAAAGGGAAAAGGAGGTCTCTTGAAAGCGATTAGGAGGATTAGATACCTAAGGGAGATAAGCTACAGACACTCATGAAGTGCCTGCGCTCTGGGTCTCTCCTCTAACTTTAAAGGCGCATATCTCAAAAAGAGGTAAAGCTAGGAAAAGTTTGTTAACTAACAAAATGTGTAGCATTTTAAGGACTACATTTTTGAAGTTAGCATTTTTTGATAACGCTACCCGTTTTTGAGATACGCCTATTTTTCAAAAAATAAGTTTTCAGCACTTGGCAAAGTGTCCTGCAAAGGCTGTCGATTGGAGAAATGGTTCAAGTGTAAGATTAATCCAAATTTGGTAAGTCAAAACTACAATTATCATAATTTTTGTTTTAAATGTATATTTTGAAAATTTCAAAAAAAAAACATTTCAAAATAAAAAATTTCAAAAAAGAAGTTTTTCAGGTCCAACAAAAAGATCCTGTAAAGTATCCCACTGATTATCCCGGTTATGTTCAATTTTGTGATAACTTCGATGACAAACACAGACGTGCTGATACATTAGCTGAACTTGAAGGTTTGAAATACCAGAAAATCCAAAATCAGGCAAAATTGTCCGCCTTAAAAGTTGATGTCGGCTTAGCCAACTTTAAATGCGCATATCTCAAAAAGGGGTGGAGCTAGAAAAAAGTTGCAAACTAAAAAAATGTATAAAATTTCAAAGACTGCATTTTTGTAGTTAAACGCTTTTTAGTAGCTATTTTAGTTTTTGAGATATGCGCCTTTAAAGAGACGCAGACACGCAAGAGGGCGCTACGCTGCAGGTCTCTCCCCAAACTTTAAAGGCGCATATCTCAAAAAGAAGCTAAACTAGAAAAAAGCGTTAAACTATCAAAATGTGTAAAATTTTATAGTCTACATTTTTGTAGTAAAACGCTTTTTAGTAGCTATTCTAGTTTTTGAGATATGCGCCTTTAAAACCACGCAGACACGCAAGTGGGCGTCTGCGCTCTGTGCCCCCCCCCCCCCAAACTTTAAAGGCGCATATCTCAAAAACGGTCAATGCAATTCAAAAGATGCCAACTAACGAAATTTGTAAAATTTTACGACCTACATTTTCGTAATTCACAAAATTTCGATATCTCAAAAATGAACAACGTTATAACTATTTGAAGAGACTAATAGACATTCAGCTCCACAAGAAATAAAGAAGGGAACGAAAAACAAATCAAATGAGGAAATTCAAATAATTCAAACCTCGCTGGATCAAGCAGCCGAAGGATTTCAAGTTGTGGAAACTGTAATTTTCGAAAACTATCGGAAATCGCAAGTTTTGGGCCAGAAAGTTGAGGTACAAAATTTTCAAAATTTCGAAATTAAGAAAAAAATTCCAGAACTTTCTGTCAATTTTTGATTTTAGAGGAATCAAAATCCGAGATGATTCTGTCAAATTATGGACTAACGACAGGTAACAATAAGACGCGGTCAGACGGAGGTGAGGGAACGGCGCGCGCGACAGCCACCTCCGCCTGCGCGCGCCTTCTAGACAAACTTGGTTATAACTCGCTTCAAAATGGAGCTAGCGAACCTATTCTTTGAGTTCCTTGCGTAAAAATTCATGCTCTTCAAGATAAAAAATATTCCAGCAAACCGAAAATTCTGTCAAGCATATTCTGTACAATCGAATATACCAAATGTTTTCAATTCACCCGAATGCTGAAACATTGGGAACGACTGAAACTTCTTGGCTACATCGCCACAATCTTCATTGTCCTGAACATGTCCTATTTGGATTTGGTGAAGAAAATTCAAAATTCGAATGGGAACTGATTTGTGAGATTCAAATATTTTTTGGAGAATTTGAAATTTTGAATTTCAGAGAAATCCACGATCCTCTCGACTGGCTGTTTATTTATAATTTGCAACCATTTGATCTTGCCTGTATGAGAGCATTGGCAGTTTGCAATCCAGGTTTTTGAAAAAAAAGAAACTTTAATTTTACACATTTTATCAGCTAGAAACTTTTTGAAAAAAAAAACTCTAATGGTATCTTCAAAGGCGCATATCTCAAAAACTAAAAGAGCTGTCAAAAAGTTATAAACTACAAAATTGTAGTTTTTAAATTTTTTCACATTTCGTTAGTTTACAACTTTTTGATAGCTCTTTTAGTGTTTGAGATATGCGCCTTTACAAAGTTTGGGGAGACCCAGCGAGCGCAGGCGCCCTCTTGAGTGTCTGCGCCACTTTAAAGGCGCATAACTCAAAAACCAAAAATGCTATTGAAAATGTGTTAACTACAAAAACGTAGAACATAAAATTTTAGACATTTTGGTAATTAAAATTTTTGTGATAGCTCTACACAGACTGCTATGACGTCCCTTCGAGTGTCTGCGTCTATTTAAAGGCGCATAACTCTAAAACTAAAAATACTATCAAAAAATCGCTAATTATTAAAATGTAGATCATAAAATTTTTAAAGTTTTTGTAATTTACATCGTTTTGGCAGCTCGAACCAATTTTGAGATATGCGCCTTTAAAGTTAAGACGTACACTGATTAGCAGGCGCCCTCTTCACTGTCTGCGTCTCTTTAAAGGTGGGGGGACATGAAAAAAATAATGTTCTCGAAATTCCGTTCAAAGATGCCCATCGAGGAGTTGAACTTGTGAGGGCGATGATTGAGGGTGCGGCGCCGCTACCGACTGAGCCACGCGGGAAAAGAGAAAGCGCTCGCCCAATTGCATACATAAAAGGCGAGGACGACCGCTGTCCGCAGAGTGACATTAAGCGTTGTACACCGTGACGGTAGAATGCATACTCTAGCTAAAAAAAACTACGAAAAATCTCCTGTCCCCCCCCCCACCTTTAAATGCGCATAGGTATCTTAAAAACTAAGAAAGATGCTAAAAAGTGTTCAACTACAAATATGTAGATCGTAAAAGTTCAAATATTTTATCAGTTTTCAACTTTCTGATATCTCTACCGATAACTGAAATATCTCAATTTGAAAATTTTGAAACCCAAAATTCCAAAAAAAAAAAAATGTATAAAAATTCAATTTTCAACCATCTCGGAAGAATCCCAAAAACACATGGAACCCTGGAAAATCAAGCATTTAGAACTGCTCTCATCCTACTGTATGAGAACCAAAGGACCCGGTCGTTTGGCTGAAATCCTTGGGATTCTGGAAGCCCTTCAAATGAAACAACCCAGATTTGAAATCACCGAAACCTTTGTTAGCCAATTCGGAGGGGAGATGGCTAATGGATTTTATTGATTTATTGATTTCTGTAATTATCAAAAAAAAAAAATTGATCTCAAATAAAACTATTTTTTTCGCGAAAAAAAAAATCTTTGTAAAACCAAACAAAAAAGAAGAAAGTTCAGCATGATTCTTGAATCGGATCTTCTGGAATCTCATCTTTAGAATCTTCTGGAGGATTCTGTAAATTTCAAAATAAGGAAAAAAAGATAGAAACTCAAAAAATCCTACCTGGAACGGATCTTCTGGAATTGGGTCGTCATCTGGAACCTCTCCCTCTGGAGTATTCTGAAAACATGCCCGTCTATTAGAGGGTAGCAGAAATGAAAAATTGAATTTCTAATGAAAAATACCAAATTCTGAATTTTTTCACTGAAATTCTTCAAATTTCACACTTCAAATTTTAAAGTTTCGGAATTTTCAAAAAACGAGAATTGCCACTTTTGAAATAACCAGTCGGTTACGCCCATTTGGGGATAAACCTCCCGGCCCCCAAATCAAGGAACGTCTCCAGAAGACTTCTGAATCGAAACTTCGGAAAACGAAAAGTTCGGGCTTCTAATTAGACACATTTCTGATTTATCTGTCCAGGTTTCAGCTTAATCGGTTAACTTTGAATAGGTGAACAGGCGCGCGACATACATACGCACATACAGAATCTGATGAATGTTATTAGTAATGATTTCAGACCAAAATCAAATTCCTAACGCTTTTTGGGCCCATTTTCAGTCATTTTTCAGCCCGAAATTCAAATTTCCCGGTCATTGTTACCTCCAATCTCTTCTTCTTCTTCTCTTCCTCCTGGATTTGGTCATCCTCTTTGGGTCCAACTGGATGTGGACGCTTTCTAGAGGTTTCTGAAGTAATTAGGGTAATTAGGAGGAGATAATTAACATTTTTAGTTTGAAAAAAATCAGAAAAATTACCTTGATTTTCGTCAGAATCTTCCACAATCTCTCCTTCTTCTTTTTCTTCTTCTTGCTCGATTTTTTGGCGATTGGGATCTCAAATTTTGAAATTTTGAGTCTAGATTTCATGAAATTTGAATTTGAGATTCTCAAATTTTGGCTCAAAATTTTCAAAATTTTCAGCTAAATTTCTTCTATTTTAGGTTTAAAAATTCGAATTTTTGCCTGAATTTTACCTTGAAAAACAAAAGAATCGCCGAAGAATTCAATTTCCTTCAACACAATCTCCTCCTCTTTTGCCATCCTTATCAGTATCGGATTCAGTGATTGTGACTGGATGAAAAAAAATTGTTGGCTCAAAATTCCACGAATCCAGATTTCTTCTGCCTTCGTGGGTTTGGTATGTGGCTTTTGTTCTAGATTTTTCTTTAGAAGGAAAATGTTGGTTTTCACGCTTTTTAGGTCTAGAAAATCCTTTTTTTTTGAATTTAAAGCGGTACAAAAATTGCAGATTTTCAGTAGAAAATTTCAAATTTAGAGCCACAAAATTGACTAGAATTGTTTCCAGAACTTTCAATATACTTTCAGTCTGGAAATTATACATCTTCCGAATTTCCGAATTTCAGAGTTCTCGAATTTTGTAGAATTGAAGCAAATTTGATCATATTTTCCATCAAACTATCTGAAATGTCATCAGAAAATCAAGATTTGGAAAATTTTCAGTACAGTAACCCAACAGGTTACAGTATGATTCTCTTTTACAGTAACCCAAGATCCATCCACATTAATCTACTAAGAAGCTAAAGTAGCCTCTGGAGTTTCACTAATCCAATTTACAGTATCGCAGGATAGTACAGTATCTACAGATGAGATTTCTACAGTAACCCAACCTGATAAGGTAGCTAGAATATCTTTAGAAAGCACAGTGACCCCCGGAGGTACAGTAACCCATCTACAGAGTAACCCAGTCTGATATGGTAGCTAGAGTATCCTCTTAAGGTACAGTAATCTCTGGAAGTACAGTTACCTGGCCTATAGTATTGCAAGAGAGTACAGTATCTACAGATGAGATGTCTACAGTAACCCAACCAGATACGGTAGCTAGAGCCTCCCTGCAACTACAGTAATCCTTGGAAGTACAATACCCGGCAAAAAGTTTCTGATACGCTGGCTACAGTATCTGCAGTTAACTCGACGAGTAAAGTAGCCCAACAGGTTACAGTAGGATTGTCTTCTACAGTAAGCCAAGATCTACTATTTACAAATCCAAGATATAGCATTTATATTAATTCAAAAAGCTACAGTAGTCACTGTTCATCCTACAGTATCGCAAGAGAGTACGGTATCTCCAGATGGATTGTCTACAGTAACCCAATCTGATACGGTAGCTGGTGTATACTCAAAAAGTACAGTAGCCTGGCCCGCAATAGCTGCGCTGCTCTCTCTCTCCCTCTCTCTCTCTCTCTCTCTCTCTCTCTCTCTCTCTCTCTTTCTATCTCTCTCTCTCCTAAAAGTTTGAAAAATCAAAATACCAAAAACCCTACGTGTTCAACACCCCTAGAGCCTTTAATCCAACAAAAAAAGCAAAACAGTCGATGAGCGACGAAATCAATCGATGAACGATCAGTTCACAATTTGAACACATCGTCAAAGCAACGATCCAGCCTTCAAAAGCTTACAATCGCAGCGGTGATAATGGTATTCCACGTTGCCATCAGTTTATTGATTGCAGCGCAATACTCAGGTAAATGAGTGTCTCTGGGGACGCTGGGATCTTCGGGTAGGGTCTGGAATATTGGGATCCGGGATCTTAGGGGACTTTTCGCAATTGCAAAAGTAAAAAACTGCTAAGAGAAGAATGATAAAATCCCATTATCTTGCGATTTTGGGTATCATCATCAACGGTAAGGCGGGATTTTAGTAAAATAGTAGAGAAAATGATTGAAGTATGAATTTTTAAACTAAAAAATTCGAATTTTCAGGCGTCTGTGCGCACGGCCAACACCTCCAACATCCCCCGGATGCACCCCATAAAGGATCACCTCCGATCTTCAAGGATCCCATGTCTTCTGGACAAGGTTGGCTTTTGAATTTTTCCCTTCCTTCGAAACAAGATTTATTTTCAGATCCACCACCCGACATTCCTGGTATCCAGGATTCCCCCAATCCCAATGATCGAATGCTCTTGGATTCGATGACTTACTCTGTTCCGAACAATGGTGAGTAATTGCCCTTGCGCTCTACTGAACATCTAAATTTTGAAACTTCGATTTTCAGATTCCCCCGCTTCTCCCCTTGACTCAAACCGCCCATCCAACACTCCGATTATCCGAAAAACTCGTGCCGGTAAGTAATTTTTGAACAGATTTCTTAGAATTCGAGATAAAACTATATCTTCCAGCCTCCACCAACTCTCAAGAATTCCTCGAACACGTCAGCATCATTGCTCGCATTGCCAATGGAATTTCTGTCCAATCTGGCCTGATGAACAATGTAACCAATATTGAGGAAGTGGCTGGTGAGCTTCTGAGTTTTGGGGATATTCCGGTTTCGACGATCGCCAAGTTCAAGCCTGATTCTCTCAACAAGTTTGCCACAAAGTTGAAGGAGGCTCCGACTGTTTTAGATTCCAGTATCATAGACCAAGAACAACAAGTTCTGGACTTGACTGAGTTACTCAAGAAATCTAAAACTATCGGTGATCTAAAAGATCTTTCTGGAAAGGATGCATATTTTTCCTACCTGAAGGATTTGTTGAATTTTGATGATGGTCCTCTAAGGGCTCCTAGTTTTTCAATGAAACAGGCTATGGAAAGAATCGACAGCATTGACAAAGCAATTAGAAACGAGGATGCTATAGCTTCCGATGCTTCCTTTGTTGCTTCTGCTTTCGGTTCGTTGGGTACTCACTTAAATGGTATGAGCCAAAAAATCGAAGCATTCAAAACGAGCTTGCAAACTCTCAAAGATTCCGAGCTCAAAAACGGTCCCACTGTTATTGGTCCTCTCAAGAAGATGATCGATCTCATTTATTTCCGAGTGGAGTACAAAACTCCTCTAAGTAATCAGGACGTGGCAAAGTCAAATCTGAATAAGGTTTTAATGCTTTCTGCTGATTCAGAGGCTGCTGTTCAAGATGTTGCCACTGTTACCAGTTTAGCTCGAAGTAGATCAAATACTGGCTTCCAAAAAAGGAAAATCACTAGTGGATTTCCAAATGGAGTCTCTGATTTGAAACAATTGGTCCGAGATGTTCGTAATCCATGGATCGGTAAGATCCTCGGAACGAATGAATCAGTTGATTCATTGAATGATGGTCTACTTCCATTATTCAAAATGAACAAGAAACTGGCTGATCTAGATGAAAAGCTAGCGGTTCTTTCGACTCCAAAACTCTCTAAAACACTATCCGGTATCAGAGGATTCCAGAAGGAGCTTTCGAAAGTTGATCAAAATGTCGCCGATATTACTGAAACTGTCTGGAAGGAACTGCACCTTTGTAGAAAAGAAGCCTATCCCATAGATTCGGGCGATTTAAAGGATATCAAAGCAGTCATAAAGGATGTCACAATTCTGTATCAAATATCTCAGTTTGAATTGGAAGTGAATGTTGATGATTTGAATAAAGAAATCAAGCGCTTCAATGATTCCTTGAAATTCAGCGACGTGTCGAATATCAAACAATCCATGGCTGAGCTTCCAGGAGTAATGAAAACACTGAAAGAAAGCGGAAGTCTACAAAAGATCAACACAACTTTAAGCGAGCTTTTGGTTATATTCGAGGGTTCTCACGTCTCGGAACTGAAAAAGAAAGCTGGTGATGTGGTATCGAAAGAAGGAAACATGTATGATTCTGTATTCGATAAGGAGGTGAAATTGTATGCTTGCCTGGAGAACGTAAAAGACGCCGAGAAAGTAGTCCAAGCCATTGCTGCCACTCGAAAGTTACGAGGTTTGAAGTCCGATGACGTCGCTCCTGTTGAATCATCCATTAAAGCTGTCTCTGGTGTCTCGAAGGATCTTTCGAATCTCAAAAGTCTAACGACGGAAATGCAGAAGCATCCTGACGTGGCGCCAACAGATCTCAACAAGTTTCCAAATTCAACAAATCAATCCAAAGTGATCGGACAATCAGCCGCTTCCCTTCGATTTGCTCATGGACTGAAGGAATTGGATCCAGAGATTGCTGATCTGAAAGATGTCGATGCTATCGTGCAAGCGGAAATTCTGAAGGTTTCTGATCCGGCTCAAATCAATGACCTGACAGCTCAATGGGGTGATCATCAAAGCCACATGGATTCTCTGGATCAAACACTATCTGGTATCCGGTCTTTTGATTCCAACCTGAATGTATCCAAAGCCGAAACATTGGAGGAGTTGAGCAGTCCCTTGAAGAACCTCGGATCCATTCCCAATGCCAAAATCAATGCTCTGGAGAAGTCAAAAGTTCTAGAAGTTCTGATTGCTCAGCCTCAAATCGATCCATCCGTCAAGTCGGATTTGAAGAAGAGTAAGCAGACTCTAGACAAGCTAGCACCACTGGATCTTGGATTTTCAAGCCACAAATCTCAGTTTGAGAAGGCTCCAGATGCATTCAAGGCTCTTCATGATTTCCTGGTTGGCTTTTTCACGGTTCAACGGAACAACATGGCATCAAGTGCAAACAATGGAAGGTGAGTACTTTTTTTTAATCTTTGCCTAGAATCCAAGGGTACATCGAAAAAGGGTACATGTGATTTTGGGGTATAGGATGTTTTAACAACTGCCTCTTTTTGATGTACCCTTGGATACTGGACCCGAAATATCTGATTTTTTAAAGAAAAAATATTCTTTTCAGTTCGATAGTCAGTGGACCAGCAGAGGAGCCAGATAACACGATAATGTGATTTTCTAATTTTCTAATCATACTTCAAATATTCCAATTTCTAGGTGGATCATTATCGGCGTTGCTGCATTCCTATTGGTTGGCGTCAGCATTGGTGTAGGCGTTTGGGTGTTCATTTCGCGTCGGAAGAAGAAGCAGGAGGATGAGGAGCGGCTAGAAGAAGAGGAGAGGGATAGATTGAGACGGGAGAAGGAAAAGGAAGATCGGGACAAGGAGAGGAAGGAACGTGATGCCAAAGAAGCCGCAATGGAGGAGGAAAAAAAGGAGCTGGAAGCCCAGAAGAAACGAGAACATGATGCTCGGGAACAAGAGGAAGCTCGGAGAAAGGCAGCTGAAGATGAGAGGCGGGCAGCGTCAAAACGGAGACGGGCAGCGGAAGCCGAGGCAGCAGCTGAGAGGAAAAAGAGGGAGACCATGGCCAAAGATCAGAAGGCGAAGGATCAAGCACAACAGGTGAAGGACAGAGAGCAGTTTGAAATTGACATGAGAACAATGCTGTTAGGCGTCGAAAAATGGATCCGAAATCACAAATACCAAAACGCCAGCCAAATGGTCGGGATTCTGGGTGATCAGATGAAAATCGTTGTGAATTACCAGAAACAAAACAACAAAGATCTTATAAAGTCTTCGTTGATTTACTTGCCAAGAGAGAAGCATCGGTGAGCACAGTTCAATTTTTTAATTGCAAACTTTCCATTTTTCCAGCTACCCTAATGCCATTCCGTGTCATCTGGAAACAGTGGTCAAGTTCCAGTTCAATGGTGTGGATATCAAAATCCATGCGAACCACGTTGTCACGAAGCCAACCTACTCCAAAAGTAGCAAATTTGGAGACGTGAAGGTGTCCATGCGGTTCATTGCAACTCAGGTGAGAGAATTGAGACGCAGACAGCTAGAGTGTCTGTCTGTCTGCGCGCGCTGGCTTGTGGCGCTCAGAAAAACGGGTTTATCTTGAAAGCTAGAAAAGTTTGGAAAAAGTTGTCAACTGAAAAAATGATCAGCGTAAAATTTCACACAAAATGAAATTAATTGTGAAAAAATTTCCAAATAAAATTTTTTTTGAAAAATTTGAAAAATTTTAGGGGATTTTTTGGAATTGTTTTGAAAAATTTTTATAATAGAATCTTATATGTAAAAGCTAGAGAAGTCTGTCGGTCCTAGTTTAAAATAAAAGAAGTCAGTAGTGAGAGACGCAGACAGTTAGAGTGTCTATCTGACTGCGCGCACTGGCTTGTGGCGCTCAGAAAAACGGGTTTATCTTGAAAGCTAGAAAAGTTTGGAAAAAGTTGTCAACTGAAAAAATGATCAGCGTTTTTCATTTTTGCATTTTTCAGGGTCCACTCAAAAACACCCTTGACGATTTCTGGTCCATGGTCTGGCACTTCAAAGTCGAGTTCATCATCATGCTGTGCCTTTTTAAAGAAGACGGCAAAGTCAAGTGTGACACTTACTTCAAAGCGGATGCCACAGGAACCTTTGAAACGGAACTGTTCAAGATTGACACTGTTGATTTCGAGCCAATGTTCAAAGGTCGAGAAGCAGGCTGGAAGCGAAAGTTCGAAGTTACGCTGAAGAAGTAAGACTGCTCTATTGCAATTGTGGATTTGAAGAATACTATGAAAACTTGCAGGGATCCAAAGGGAGAGAAACGGACTCTGACCCATTACCATTACCTTGAATGGCCTGATAAAGGAGTTCCGAATGGTCACGAGGATGTCAGCCAGTTGCTGGAATTCGTTAAGGATAGCAAGGTGAGATTCGGTGGAAGCAGAGATGATTAACTAATTAAATAACTAAATTTCAGGCCCCAGTGGTTGTCCACTGCTCTGCTGGTATCGGAAGAACCATGTGTTTGATTGGAACCGAGTACATGGCTGCTGAAGTGAAGCACAATGCAAACTACACGGTGGCTCAAGGTGGCATCGACCTTCGTAATGTCCGTTGCAATGGAATCCAAACTTTCGAGCAAATGGTCTGGCTCGTTGCTAGTGTCGTCTATCGCCTGACTCATGTATAACTTTTCATATGCAAATTCATCTTCTAATTTTTCCAATTTTTCAGAAGTTCGGTTTGGAGTCGGAAGATTATGACGCTCTCGTGAAACAGATCAAAACAGCTCAGAAGATGATTTTCATGAAAGATTTGGAGCTGAAACTGAAGCGTACGATTGACTTCAGAGAGGGAGACATGGATGAGGATTTGTTGAAAAGGGCGATCGAGAAAGAAAGAGAGGATGAGAAAAAGATGGAGGATAAGAAGCAAAGAACGGAGAGTGGAAAGGATACTCGGATTGTGATGGACGTCGAGGAAGATGGAGAAGAAGTGGCTGGTCCAGGCGTCGAGGTGATTGAGATGGATTCTGATGAGGAAGAAGAGTCTTGAACTTCACTACTTGAGCCTAACTTGATTAAAAATGCGTTTTGCATGAAGTGAATAAATGAATTTTGTGTTGAATGTTGTTGTATTTTTTAATAACTTTGAAGACTGAAAACGTCCAGTCTAGGAATATGATTTTGGTCACTAGATCTTACTAAAGAGGGGCTTTGAAGCTTTAAGCTATGAGCTATGCGCTATAAGCTATGCGCTACAAGCTATAAGCTATGCGCTATAAGCTATAAGCTATGCGCTATAAGCTATAAGCTATGCGCTATAAGCTATGAGCTATAAGCTATGAGCTATATGAGAATAAAAATCTATCTCCTCTTTAAGTTTTGGACATTTCTAGGAGTTCTATAGCTCAAAAAAAACCGCAATTATTTTCTCTACATTTTCTATGGACGAATTTTTAATTTGTCTGATAAAACTTTTTTATAATTCAAAAAACATCATGAAATTGCACAAAATAGCATTTTTGTGTTGTTTTTTGAATTATAAAAAAAGTTTTATCAGACAAATTAAAAATTCGTTCATAGAAAATGTAGAGAAAATAATTGCGGTTTTTTTGAGCTATAGAACTCCTAGAAATGTCAAAAACTGAGAGAAAAGATAGATTTTTTCTGGAAAAGCTTTCAAAATGACCATTTTTGACATTTTTTCTTCCGGAAAACGATCATACATGAATCTATAAACACTAATTAACTTTTTAAGAATCATTTGAATTATCTTGGAACTCCACAAAATCAGATAACAAATTCTGAAATTATGGTTTTAGACCTGCAATTGTAATCGCGCCAAACTTTTTTTCTGTAGATCAAAAATTAATTTGCAGTTCGGAATTGTTCTGTGGGAGAGCGTGCGTTGGGAGAAAAAAGAAACCTTAAAAAATCTGAAATTCTGAAAATATAAAAGGCCGGGATATCTATGTGGATTTTGCTCACGTGGATTCAGAAAATAAAATTTCAGCTCATTAAAATTTGATTTTTCTGCTGAAAAATAACCAGAATTATGGACTTGGAGCCGGGAGAGATTGTGGATTTGGAGCCAGGTAAAAGATTATATATTCTTTCGATTTTCTAATCAATTTTGAACATTTTGAGCCCACAATTAATGATGTTTCCGAAATTAAAACTTGCAAAATTTCCAGAACAAGTGGAATTGCTCACCGAGTTTCTCAAAAAGCGAGAAGAAGATTCTGGAAAACCGATTGGGCTGGAAGAAATGAAAGATTGGGAGACTGAAGTGTTGGCTCAATTCCAAAAAACCATGGAACATGCAAAAAAGATCACAGGGTGGAGAGAAGAGGAAATTTTGAATCAGGCGGATGAGTTGATTCTGAAAGCCAAGGAAATGTTAGAATTAGAGAAGGAGGTAAGCATTTGAATCGAAAACTAGCTAAAATTTCAAATTTTTCATTAGAAACTGGTCTAGGAATTTTCAATGTTTCTCCATTTTTAGGCTCCGCCCCCTCCTTAAAAGGCACCTGCTCATCAATGTCTCAAATAGAAGTCATTCGAATAATTGTTTCCTGGATTGAGTAACTGTATTTTTGTAGAATAAAGTGTTTTTGAAATATGGAATCTTAAAAATTTCAGAACTTTGAAATTCTATGAAAGTTTGAATTTTGCCTATAGACCTGGAATTCTCCATTTTTAGATGAAATCTTGAACGAATTTCAGAATCTCAAAAACTGATAACTTACCAACTTACCACTCTAATAGAACGCCACCCAAACATTTCGCTTTGAGCCCATGTATCTCATTTTCTGTAAGAGATATCAAAAAGTGGTCAACTGATAAAATGTTGTTGATATTATGATAAACATTTTATCAGTTGACAACTTTTTGATATCTCTCAAAACAAGTGAGATATACAGGCTTAAGGTCAACGGTCCGGTTGGCGTTCGATAAGAGTGTTTACGGTAGCTTTTCAAAATATTTAAGAACCAACAAAATCTGAAAATCTGTCTCAAAAATCTAAATATATATCTAAATATTTTTATTGTCATTCTATTCAAGTTCTCTGATTTTTGACGTTGCAGCATATCACATACCTCTTTGTTTGTCTCTTCCGATGCCAAACGGGATCTTTCGATGCCAGCGGAAGTTCTCAAAAACAAATATTCAATTCTGAAAAACTCATAAAACTTTGAGTTCACATAACTTTATAAATTTACCTAGTTTTTTAGATATTCGCCCATTTCTGACAAACACACGTTTTCAATACAAAAATGGGTCAAAGAAGATGTCTCTCAGAAATCGGCAAAAAAGATATTCTCGAAAAATTCTGCAAAGACAAAGTTTTTAGTCTAGGTCTGTTTTACATCCTCCAAGATTTTCAGAGTGATCGGAAACTTGATAGCCAAGCTAGAGACTCTTGAAAACGCCACCACCAGCTGAGCTACGAGGGCGACCCTCTAGAAATGGGGATAACTTTGCTCAAAGTGGTCCAAAATTCCTAAACTTTTTTGTAAAACATAGCTGAGGTCTTAATCTATACAACCATAAAAAAATTTTCTAGAAATTCAAGCTGCTAGCTGAGCAATGTGGGACCAAAGGCGAGGACGGATTACGGACGGACCGTTAGCGGCTTGAATTCCACAGTGATCTGTTAGCGTTCATAGGCTCATATCTTTGCTTAAAATCATTCAAAATTAGTAAACTTTTTTGAAAAATGCAGCTGGCTTTTACAGCTGGAATCCTACCGCACTTTCTATATGATCCCTTACCTTTAGCTTCTAGAAAAGTATTGAACATCAAGATGAGCAACAATTGCTTGAGTCGATTGGAAAACGTTGACTTCATTCGTCTCATTCAGTCCGCTAACTCGAATTGAATCCAAATATTCAAACTAGTCGATTATTTTATCTAGACTTTATCTCGGTCAATGACCGGGTTTTAGGTTTTTTGGTTTCAACTTTTTTCTCTCACATCCAGATCGTCCACGCGACATCTCTATTTTTTGAAATCTTTCTGGAAAACAAATTTCAGACAAGTATTCTGAAATTTCTGGAATCGATCGTTCCAATTCAATCAAATAATAGAGAAAATGGGATCAGCATTTCTGATTGCTCCATTGATATTTGTCTCGATGGTTTTTGCGGCACGACACAGGAAAAATGGTTTGTTCTTGACAATTTTAATGTTCTGAAAATCGAAAATTGCAGCTACCACTACACTTACCGGAAAGACAAACAATTCATCTGGGAACCCAACAATTATTATATCGATTGTGAGATGATTGATTTGGATCCATCCTACACCCATGTCAAACCAGCCGACCGCTATAAAATTTCCGTTTTTATGGAGAAGCAATTGCTTGGAAAAGGCAAGGATCTCGCCAAAATACATGTGGGTATTTTGAAAGCGGCGTCTTATGGTCCACAGTCTGAAGAACGGGAAGCTCCTTATAAGAAGTTAGCATGGACCAGATATCGGTAGGTTTGAACTGCAAAACGGTGCAAGAAGCATAATAATAGTTCAATTGGCTTCCGAGTTATGAGCTTGGGGCACTAAAAACTAAACTAAGCTTCAAACGCCTTCATCTCAAAAGCAATTGAAGCTAGAAAAAAGTTGTAAACTATGAAAATGTTCCGTGTAAAATTTCACACAATTTGGTACAAAACCCATTTTTCTAGCTCAATTGGTTCTTGAGTTACAAGCTATTGAAGTTTAGGGAGACGGGAGAGAAGGGGAGGGGAGACGCAGACAGCGTGACGCTCTCGCTTCTCTGTGTCTCTCATTGGAACGCGTCAGGTAGTTTTAGGGGAAAGATGGGTCAAAACGGGATGAAAATTAAAAATTTAGCTGTGTTGTCTTCAAAGAGACGCAGATGCGTACCGTAGAACCTCTAATAGAAGGGCCCCCTAGCTTTCTACTTTGAGCAAATATATCTCTTTTCCTGTGAAAGGTATCAAAAACTTGTCAATTGATAAATTGCTTATCATTATATCAGCTTTATTTAATTAGTTAACAATTTTGTTATATGTTATAAAGGAACCGAGATAATTGAGTTCAAACTTTACAGTGTAGGGACCCTTCCGATGAATGTTGTAAGGCATGCCCAATGGGATTGATTTGTTCTCATTGGGGTATAACTAAAAAGGCGTCGCTAAAAATTCAAGGAGCTTTTTAAAAGGTCTCACATCTTGTTTTTCTTTAAATTCTAAACATTTTGCACTATTTTTGGCGTTTCTAGCTTAATTTTGAGCTTAGATATGGCATTTTAAACATGACATCTAAGATCGGTAATGCTAACATAATACCCCACCAACTTTAAACCTATATATCTCGGTTCTCGTGAGAGATATTAAAAAATGGTTAACTAATAAAATGTTTATCATAATATCAGCTACATTTTATCAATTAGCCGCTTTTTGCTATCTGTTACAATAACCAAGATATATGGGTTCAAAGTGCAAGTACAGTAGCTAAATTGGTTCTCCAGCTTATTCCTGGTTTGCTAGCTCAGTTTTAAGCTAGCTCAATCATATATGTTTTCAGCGACCGAAACATCAAACTGAAACCTGAAAACGCGTGCCAACCGTTTCGTCTCCATGGAAACTTGATTCGGACTCGAATGAACACCAAATTCTACGCGATGCAAGCTCCGACAACACTTACGGAGCACACCGAAGACACTCGAGTCGAATTCCTGGATCTTATCGCCTGGGACGATGTGAAATACATTGTGATGCTTTGCAATAAAGCAACATCTGGAAATTACTTTTGTAACAATGCCGGCAGATCCGTTAAAATTGGTCCGTATACGGTTAAAACGGTTTCCAAATGTATTTTTGGTACCAAGGACAAAAACGGGAACTCAGTGACATGGGGAGATGCTATTATAGTTCGCGAGTTGGAGCTTAGCAAGGAGCCAAAGTGAGAAGCGGACCCTTTTTAAGAAAATTTGAATTTTTTCCAGAAAACAATTCATTCTGTTCGGAAAGGAAAAGGAAACGATGCCTACTAAAACAGTGACCCATTACCAATATACAAAGTGGCGTGGAAAAGGGCTTCCGCCATTGAAATATGCCTACGATCCGTGTTGCGCTGATGAGAACGGTGGCGTTGTCTTTGGTGAGTAGGCAGAGAAGCGAGAGCGCTCTCGCTGTCTGCGTCTCTTCTGAACATTGTATCTCGAGAACCCCCAGAGCTATTTTTTTTTGATTTTTGTACCATTCGATAGGAAATTCAATTTTACACCTTTTTGTCCAATTAAATTTTTCAAATTCATCAGCTTCCTAGTTCACAGATTCCAAAAATAGGGAGAGACATGGGCGGTGAGAGCGTTTTGCCGTCTGCGTCTTTTCTCCTAAACTTCTGAAAAGCGTATCTCAAGGACCAATTAAGCTAGAAACATGATTTTTGTGCCAAATTGCGTGAAATTTTATACTAAACATTGTCATAGTTTAACACTTTTTTCTAGCTTCATTGGATTTTCAGATAAAAGCGTTTGAAGTTAGAACCTCTTTTTTCTGTAGTTTCTCAAGCTTGACTTTAAAGGTGGGGGTGACATGAACAAAAAAAGTTCTTGAAATTCTGTTTAAAGGTGGGGGGACAGGAGATTTTTCGTAGTTTTTTTGTAGCTAAAGTATGCATTCTACCGTCACGGTTTCTCTTTGCCCGCGTGGCTCAGTCGGTAGCGGCGCTGCACCCTCAATCATCGCCCTCACACTTTCAACTCCTCGA